TCGTTCGTGCTGGAAACCTGTTCATATTAGCTTCCTATCATCACAATCGATAGAAAGGACTTACCTATTCGGTTTTCTGCAAACATTTTCTTAAAATTGTGCTTTCAGAATATTAATAAAAGAAGTCACGATATAACGAATGATTATAATCATAACCCTTTATAACCATCTTGTTCGTTTTTTTTATTTATGAGTTTAAAGGTGCAGCCAAGTTTGTTTTGATATTTGATTTGTTGAATTTGTCTCTGCATCTTATAATAGAATAACTATTAAAATATCAACAAAAAATATATATTTTTGATAATGTTATGTTGTTTGACAAATTTAAAAAGCGTTTTATTTTTAGTCCACTGGAATATCTAGATAATTTTTAATACGAAATTGCCAAAAATGTTTTCCAATACTCTTACTGAAACCAAGCGAATAACTTCAAATATCAAACGAACTGAAAATCAATAATTTTACCAGAAACGTTGAGTGAAAATTTCTGTCATTTTGCTTTATATCATACTCTGGCTGCCGAATCCTGACATTCCGTGCATTGTCTTCAAGGGTGATACGGTGATGCAACCGCATTAATAACACGGGCTGTCGATTCGATTCTGGCGTGGTATCCCCCGCATGGTATGTACGTGATGGAAAAGCCATTAGCATAAAACCCGGCGGGGTTTAGCGTCGCCCGACGTGTAAGTACGATTTAGCACGACATTGTGGCGCGCCGGAATCCTTCGAAGACACTGAAAACACAGAAACAAGGAACATTTTTACGCAGTGTCGAACGAACGAATTTACTATTATGGAAGTTTGCCCTGCAAGAGCCGTGTATCGAATGTATTTTTTCGAGTGTGTTTACAGTAAATAGAACACGGCTTTACCGAGTTTTACTGTGTTTTGTTTATAACATTACATGTGTTACATTTTCGTTTTACTTGTGCTGAAATGGAGCTATGAAAAGAAAATCTCTGGTTTATATTTATTAAAAAGTTATTTTCGCTCCCAAATAAGTTAGCTGATTTTATTATTCTGAAGATCATCTTGTTGTAGAATTACACACACGAACGCGTTTGAATATACGTGTTGTAAACATGTACGCACAATTAGATATTCACGTATGTAAATGGCGTGCGGAATATTCCATTGTAAAGTTCGACCCATTAGTTACACCAACGTGAATATCGGCAAAGGAGCATGTCATTTATCATGGAAATTCTGTTGTCAATTCCACGGCGTCGGGGGAGAAACAATGCGCTGGCCTTCCCGCTGGTCCTGCGCGTATTGTCCTCGGGCCGCACAAAGGTGTCGGCCCAATATGAAGTTTGCCACGCGTTGGCCATATTATTACGTACAAATTTATAACGATATAATAAGCGTGCGATACGGCGCTCTAGAATGTCCCCGGAATGCCGAACATTTCGGGCATTGTTCAGAGACGGCGAAGCGCGGCCTCCAGGAACTGCGCGATACACATTGCCGCGATTGTGATTTTAGCGCCTCGGGGGCGTATCAATTAGGCGAGGCAAGGTGGAATGTTTATTGTTTTTACGACCACCTGCCACCGCGAGCAGAACAAATCTTTACTGGATTGTACTTATAAGTGATATTTATGATACCGATATTATTGCGAACACATATAGTCATTAGATCATAAATTACCACTTTCAAATTTAATATCTTTTGAAATTATTCAGGTTATCATTAATTTTGAATGCCTACTGTTATAGATATTACGAGTATGATAAAATTGAAGAAATCCATGTTTTTAGCTTTATTCTATTTTTTACATAAAAATACACTGTACGCTCATTTAGCGTGTGATTTGTGATTGGTAATACTCGGAATTGTTTCAACACGACTTCAACCCTTTGCATTTCATTACTGTCCCTTTCCTGGCGTGCGTAATAAATCGTATAACATTATAGCACATCGCACAAAATGCGATTTTAATTAACTTTTGCTCGCAATCGTGCAACGCAAATGTTGGTACCAAACGCAAAACTATAATCAATGCGCATTCATTTCGTTATTTCACAAGCTGTCTAGCGCCGCGACAGACTGAAACAAACCGAAATTTGCGATTGAAATGAATTACGCGTATTACAATGGTGGCGCGGTTACAATGCGGAAGACGACAAGCGAATGAGTCTCTCTGACACAGCCACGTTAATGTTCTCCGAGGCAAGTCTCGGGGAGAGAAGAAAAATGTAATTTCCATTTCGAGACGACGTTACCATCGTTTGCAGCGTCTTCCTTCGTTAGCAAACCATTAATTAAATACTGCGAATCACATTAGCGTTTTATATCTTAACGGCAGAACTAATTATATCAATAATTAATGATTTCAATTTGATTTACTGTCTTTTTGCTCGTCTGACTCGTTTGCGGCTTCTTGTAATGCGATGGAGTGATGGAGACGTTTGTTAGATTGAGACGAGCGCTGCGCATTGAAAAGGACTTTTATTAAAACACGCTTGTCAAGCGAGATACGTCTGACATGGTAATGTCTCTTATCTTCCAGCGCACCAACTCTTCTGTGGGAATTTTAAAATATTTTCTACTTGAGAGTTTCCACTCTACATCGATTAAAATTCTGTCGTGCATAATTTTACGCCACAATTATGTTCTCCAGAGCACCGGGGTGACATTATAGGGTATATTTTACTATTTTCTTTATGATTTTATCTTAAAATTCCAAATATTTCAATATTTCAGCGAAACGTAGCGTGACAACATTCCTAAAGTAGTGTTTAATTATTTATGCAAGTTAAGATATTTTTAGTAGATGGCAAATTTTAGTTTGATGCGTTCGATATACATACGAAAGTCATTTATCAAACGTGAAGCGGACGGATTCCCTAATGGAATCGAACATGATAACATCCACAAACGTTGTGCGTTGATTTACAATCGAATTTCTCATGCAGGCTCGAGCGAAATTTCGCCGCAAAGAAATTTCCTCCACTGCGAGTGTGTTCCTTTTTCCGCTATTAAACGCGATGCGGTTTTCCGCGTTCCGTACCAGCCTATCGATGGGTACCAGTTGAACGCGTCGAAAAAAGCAGCTAACGTGCACCGCGCACGAAGTCGTTCCGCGTGCTCCCGTTCTAGAAGTTCGGCAATTCGCCCCCACACGCGATCACGCCATTTCGTTACCTTTCCCAGCACGATAACGATTTTCACGATTTTCTTCCTGCGTTGAAAAAACCTTCAATTTGTAGGTAACCCACCTACTTAATAATACATCACTGCACCGCAGGAAAGTACAAAAATCAAACTGACAAATCTTCGAATGGAAATTGATATTGCATCTGATATTGGAAACAAGCATTATCTTGTGATTTGTTTTCCGGTCTTCGTTTTTGTGGCTTGTTTTGGTGTTTTGTCAAGTCGCATTAAATTCGCCGTCAGTAAAACGTCCTACGTATCGGATTAAGATCTTTAGTCGCCAGATCGGGTTGCTATCTGCTTACGTTGCGAGAGGTGGGGGAGGAGGCGCTGGAGAAGGATGTTTGCGATTGACTTTCCTGGTCCTGCTCGGAGGCGGGTAGGAACGACGGACGCGAAGGACACATTTGTCTGCACCCGCCGCCTCCGACCACCATTGACCTCGATGTGCTCGCCACAGAAAGCAAGCTTCGGCGATTTCCGAATCGTGTAGATAACGGTCGAATGCATTTCTTGATCCCGAATGAATCATTGTTAAAGACGACTAAAGCGGCAAATTACTCGGATGCGGGGAAATCTGTGTTTACGATTTAATTAATTTAAAGGAATTGTGAAATGAAATCATATTTACCCTAATCATAAAATAAAATAAAGCGTATGGGTATTAAATAAATTAAATATGCAAATAGTACTACTACTGCATTTACTGGAATCACATGTATTGAAGAGAAATTTATTTTGCGTCACAAATTCTTAATATACTAAACTACATTGCCATCTAGTGTTTGCTAGATGTAGTTAATACATTCGGAGGATTCTGCTTGCGATTAAACTACGATCAAGGTGAAACTTTGATAGCAAACATCGAGATAGCGCTACAATACTAAAAAAAGTTTTTGTTTACATTTATCCACATTTATCAAACATAAAAATTATATGCAATTATAAGTTCATCACACAGATGTGTTTTTATTAAAACTTGGCACCCTAATTGAATACTTTATTCGACAAGCCAACTTTTGTAAAAACAAGTTTTAATTAGCTGCTTGACTTCGATGCACCACAGAAAGTTTCAAAAACAAGAACTGCTTCCAGGAACTATTTCCAATTACCCGAATCAATTTTCGATTTTAACTTTTGCACATTTACTTTAACTGATTTGAATGCATTATGTTACCATTAAAATTAACGTTATACAGTGTAGTTTTGATATTAAAAACTTATGTTCTAGTTTGTGTTAACAAACAACAACAATTACAAGTGTCATTTAAATCATATATTGAACTAATAGAATTAATTGTTTGAAAGTAGAATTTCACTGCAAACGCGAAAATAAACGGTACAATGTAATATTGACAAGTGCACAACCATTTGGAGTGCGTCCAATATTATTTACCATCATTGTTGATGCATTTTTAATACATGCACTTATCCGGCACAACTATTTAGTACTTATCAGAGCGTAAATATACAAACGATTAGCCAGCAGCAGTGTGTGCAAAAATTATTAATTTTAGCCAAACTTTACTTTCCATCAAAATGCACAATTTGTAATTGCGAACTAACTTCCATGTACCTAGAGAAGTAATGAAGTTTACCAGATTTAAAAAAGTTGCGATGTGGACATTTTCAATGATTGCTGGGAAATGATTGTTAATTACAGTTTTTCGGAATGTAGGTGAATTTACGGTCGAGTTGCACGCATGCATATTTCACGCACCATATCTGTAGAAACACCCCCTCGATGGCGGCGTCGCAAGGTCGAATGCAAGCAAACGCATTCCGCCGGATATAAAAAGCAAATAACGCGCTATTAGTGCCTCCAGTACAAACGCGTATAATGTGACATTCAGTTGCATTGTTTCGATCTTGGTAAACAGTCGACATATTAAAAAATATTTCTTAGAATTCCATATTTTTCGGAGTATTAAAAAATGCTTTTCTTCATCTTGTTTCTCTCGACCATAGTAAGTGCCGAAGAAGTGCCCAGTCGGTTGGATAATGTGACCGCTTCGCGTGAATGGATGCTGGAGGTCCTGCGCGCTGGTAAAATGGTGGTCGCCGGCTGCAACAAGAAATTATCGATCCCCGCCACGGGCGAAGAACTGCTCGCCTGCGTGGAAGCGCGCATGCTGCTTGCAATGGACCGACTTCTCTCTAGCGATGTCCTCGAGCTGCCTTTCGGCGCTAAATTAATCAAAAACCATAATATTGATGAAGATGCGACAAATACGACACTCAACAAGACCGCACAGCTTTTCGACGCTAGGTATTGAAGTATATGTGTATTTAATAACGAAAGTAATTAGACGTAAATTTCGATGGTTTCGTCGGCTTAATTACGGCTAATTTCTGGTAAACACACGCGCCCGGCTTTTCAGGCGTCAGCGTGCCGCTTCGTGGAGCGTGGACTTATTCAACGAGACTTTAAGTAGAGCGGCGCGATTGCTGCGCACGCACTCCTTGCAAATTCCGCTGCCGAGGAATGTCAGCTTTGATATTTTCGAAGGTAATTTTTAATATCCTCTCTTGTGCAGCACTTTGGTATTTAATTTTAAGCGCGTAAACATCTCCGATGGGGATTATAGAAAATTGACTTTTGTTCGGTCACGTTTTTTAATAGAATTAAATTTTTGCGATTTTAAGGACGTAGACGTCATCGTCAGAAGAACGACATGATGGGCTTGATGTTATTTGGAGTGATGGCAATGTCAGTGATCGCAATTCCATTGGGTTTCCAGTTTCTAGCCGTTCTAGGTGGCAAGGCACTTATGTTGGCGAAACTGGCACTAATCCTGACCTCGATACAGGGTCTCAAAAAGATCGCTACCAGCAATTTCAGCTATGGGCTTTATCATAGTCCAGGCAGATGTAAGTTGATACTGAATAGTTATTCAACGACACCTATTAAGTCATTAATCACAAATTCGGTGCACAAAAGATGTTATTACTGTCAAGAAAACGTCAATAAGTTAATTATGTCTTATTGTCAAGTCTGCCAGCTAAATTTAGCGCCATTTACATTTTTTAGATCATTATGATCGAAGATGGCAACCACCACAACCTGAAGCCGAACAACCAGGATTGTTTGATGCTTTCGACATGTCACCCGAATCACCGGCCTTGGACGCCATCAGACCAAGGATCAGTTTTCCTGAACGCCAAGCAGCAATGCAATAATAAATGACTCACAAATCAACAGGTTTCTGATACAGATGTAATTATTTTGATTATTTTTCTACAGCACATTTATTTATTTATTTATTTATTTATTTATTTGTAATTTAAATATTTACGAAAAATGATTTTTATTGAACGAAGTAGAATAATTGATTATTAAACGCGCACATAGCAGACAAACATGTTACTAGAGTTTATTTAATGATAGGAGTGTCAGATAAGTAGACACTATAATTATTCGTGCAGTGTGTATTAGGATCAACTTGAATTTTTTATATTTTGCACAAAAGTATCTATCGCGGGTGGATGTGTTGAAAATTTGTAAACAGTGATCGATCTTTACACTTTATTCTTCAAGACTTCCTAATCTGTGCGCTACATTCCTTTGCTTTATATATGCTCTTTTGTTTTGTTGTTTGTATAGTTTAAAGTTCACTTTAACGCAATAAGCCATCAGTCTCGTTCAGTTTCTCGAATAAAACAGAAAACAAAAGTTAAAAACTTCAATACGACAGAGCGTTAGTGATCGGATTGAAGGGCAAGAAGACAAAAGAAGTGAAATCGAACACTCGCGTGCAATTTCAGTGTTAAATGCAATAAGATCTTTTTTCTTCTTTCAAGCAGCTTACACAATAAATACAAACTCAGCAATGATATCAAAAACATGACTTACACAATTCTTTCATTTATAAATTACCAGTTTTATATTTTTGCTTCCATTGAAAAATATATAAATAAATGACGAATATAATATTACTAATTATTATTTCAGTTGATACTAAATAAATACACGTGTCAAGAGTACAGGTACTGTAATAAACAGAATGTGCAAGTTGTGCGATGCCGGTTAGTTTTTTATCGTTTAGATAAATATTTGTTTAGATTGCTGCTTGTGCTTTTTCACGAGCGTGCGCGCGGTCCGACAAAATCAAAATAAATATTGACCAACAGGAAATTACTTACAGCCCAGCTTTTGTAGGAACAAACACGAAAATATATTTTCTATAATTGGCGTACCTTGAATGCAATTTAATGTAATTGCTAATTTGGTATGAACATTGTTATCTCGTGTATGCAAATTTCTGCATTCATGAAATTACCCCAATTGTTACGCAAGTGTTTAACCCTAGAGTACCAATGACAATAATAATATACATTATCATGACCTAACTTTTATCATCAATTTGTATTCTGTAATATTATATCTTTGTTTTATAACTGTAATGAAAAATATTCACTTGGTTATATCATTATCGATAAATCACGTGCTTTCACACGCTAAACTAAACTAATCACTGTTGGTTGTTAAGTTAGGTTACGTTATCTATATAATATCATTTCGGGAAATAATTTTAACAATTATATTAAAACTGATTCTTGGGGTTAATCACGAAGGTACGATTATGACGCGCAAAATTGTTGTAAATTCGTGTCCATTTATAGCCTAAGATCGAACGTGCTCGGATGTGATCCGATGGACTCGGTCGGTTGAAAATATTTTAAAACGGGCGAAGTTGTTGAACCGCTCTCGAACTCGTTTACCTCATAACACGAGAGTGCACCGCGGCGCGGGCGGCTGGTGGAAAGTTGAATGCACCATGAATTACGCGCTTCCTATTCCTTTTCCTCGCCGTCGTCTTGCCCGCGAATGTTTTTCGCTCACCGCTGCACTCCACCGATTCACTTTCGAGCGGATCGCCGGATGCGAGATAAAGTGGAAAATTTATCGACACTTTGAGTCCGCGAAGGTAAGACTGAAATGGCGTGGCATACCTACTATCAGCAAATTTCAATACCTACTTATTCAATATACTCATGAATTCACATCATTAACTCGATCAACTCATCCAATCAGTAAATGAGCATCACTGAAATGGAAGTGAATTTTCTTTGATTTTATTCGTTTTTTGGTATTTTTCCCACGCTTCTTTTAAATCCGATGACGTCAATGGAAACTTAACAGATCCGCTTACTCGAACAACTTACTTCCGTGCAATTTAAGTGAAACTTTTAAAATGTTTCAGCTTTAAAAATAATGTTATAAAGTTAAACTAAACCCGAAGAACTCTAACTAATTCATTACTTACTGATATTGCATACTGATGTGAAATGAGTGAACAAATAGTCTGGTACTTTAATTAAGTTAGTCATACTCAATTATCAGCCTCACAACTGGAGTAAATTAAGTAATATTATGAGTTTCTAGACAAACACCAAAAAGTTCGAAAAAAGTGCAATTGTCATGAGAAATAATCTTTTTCGAGACATGGGTAGGTAGACAACTCAGTGACAGAGGTCGGCCGGAAAGACCGGAAGAAACGTACGCATCGTGGAAGAAAGCAATTTCGTCGCTAATTAATCAAAAAGAAAAACGCCTTTTCACCTTATTGTGCTCGTGAGCTGCGGATCGCAATTCTTCAATTACCTTCTCTAAATATTTACAGCAATTCGCTCAGTATTTTTAGATCATTGCCGACTTATTTAATCAAAAAGCAAAAAAGCAAAACAAAACAACATCAAATAAATGAAATAAAATATGGTGCGCGAGTAAAATCATAAATTATTATTTAATTATTGATCTAATCAATAATCTGCAAGTGTGACCTGTTGCGATGAAAGATCGACGCCTGCTGTTTAATTAAAACACAAGCGTCGATGTGCAGCAATTACAACCGCGTATGAATGAATCGGATTCGGCGCTTGCTGGCGTTCTGCGCGACAGGCAGGGTGGAGCGTCGGTGTATTTAAAGCTTGTCCGTCGTCGTCGGCGTCCGCACAAGCATCCGAGCGTCGGGACGCTTTCGCACACGCCACATATCACCCTCCAGCGTCGGCCGGCGACCGCCAGTGATCGCAGAGTAAGTCCAGAAGTGCAACAGCCACCCACCGACGCGGAGATGTATCTGTGCAGCGTCGCGACGTTCTTCTGCTGCTGGGCTATTGTCTTAGTAAAAACTCATCCGCACATCTTGCCATCTCTGCATGCCGGTGATCAACACGTAAAGGTAATATTTTTTGTTGTATTATTCATTATATGTTGCACTAAACAACTTGTTGGAGTACGTATATGTCATTTTATCTTTAACGACTTTAATTACACACCCACGCAATGAAGGAAATAAAAACTTAACGACGCCGATTGTCGATTAACGAGCGCATAATATTCATGGACGTTTAATGATCCCATTTGATTGCGTCGATTATGCTATTAACGGCCGGCTTCCGCGCGCGAAAAGCTTTTCTCGGTCATAAATTGTTTTTAATAACAAAGTTAATGGACATGGTGCGAGTGCGGACCCTTGCATTATGATTCAATTAATTACTTTCGATGACAACACTCACCACAACCCAAACTTCAACTAACTTGCCAAGAAGCTTTTATAAGTTTACTGTCCTTGGGGATTTCAGAACGCCATTTACGATAGTGCAAAATCATCAAATCGATTGTTCAAACATTTCGTATCAGTACGTGTAAATAGAGAGTGCAATCGTAGTTTGCACCTGTTAAATTATTATAACATTAAATCTATTATACCCAGATAGGTATAACAAATTTTATTTGTGCAAAAAAGTTGGATGTAGTAAAGTAATTTAAAGTTTTTTATTTGTTGGCGGTGCACACGCATTGTTTTCGGATTAGTTTTGAAAATTTTCCTTTGTATTAGTTTGCGTGCGCCGTCATTAACGCGGCTTATTCATAATTCATCCACAATGGAAATTGAAGGTTCAGGTATCCATTACCGGTATACGGACAAAAGGATAAGCTTAATTTTTATTAATATCTATTAACTTTACTGTTGTTTAAAAGCCCCATTAGTGCTAAATATATGTAGTTTTTCCTAATATATAAAAAATATAATTATACTGAAAAAACTGATTTTATTGTAGATTACGTTCATACTTAATTAGAATACAAAAATAATCTTAAAAAAAGATAAAAAATTTTATTTCATCGAAATCTCCATAAAAGGAATTAAAAAATTGAATTTTAAACCTTTCAGGCTTAAAACAAAGCTAACGATTCATGTAATGCTCAACTACGAAGTAATATTTAAAAACATTAATGTAGATGCAAATGAAGTGTCTTTATTTTACTTTGATCGCCCACAGTTACAAACCTACGCCTTTTGACCTAGTACCTACTCGTACTGCACTTTTTACTTACCTATCAACCAACCCACCATGAAAAACACACACTAACGCGAATATCATTAAAATGCAAAGCGTGCACTTATTAACGTCAAACTCAATAGCACATGTTTACCTTAGTACCTAGGTTCCATGAAAATGAAACCTCGAGACTGATATAAATTGAAAACTTGCATATATTATGGTTTTTCATGTAACGAACGTGATTGGCTTTTCTGGAAAGACGACACGCGCTCGACGAGAAAAGCGCTTGCTGCGTTTGCTTTTCAAAAGAACATATTAACTTATTACTCATTAGGTTGTTAGGAAACTTGAACGTGCATGATTACAAAAGAGCTGCATGATATAACTTCTTTAACAACATATGATTATCTTACTGCATGCGGCTTATAAGTACAAGTAGGAGATTTTGTTTAATAAGGAATCTTTTTGCAAATTGAGTATAAAATATCTGATCTTTACCATTATATTTTCTCCTTTGGAAGAATATCACTTGGATTAAAGGCTGGCGATAATTTACGCTCCTACTCCGGTTACAATTCAATTAGGGTGAGGTTAAAGTGAATAAAACTTGAAAGGCTCGTAAAAGTTGAACAAAGATTATGTTTTTTAACTTTTAACTTTGAGGGTTTGAACAGATTTTAGTTTAACTTTCATTATTATTTCTTCTTTGTGCAGACTACAAGCGGGACAAGATCCAAGAACTTCGCTGAATTGCTGCGTACGAAACGAAGCGGTGATCATGTCATAGCAGGTAGGTGTTACCACAAAGCATTTCCAATCGGGTGTTGATTGCAACCGCAAGCTGAATCATCTCCAGACATGTTGATCGTGCGTGTTCCTTTGCGGATGCGTACGGTTATTGCAAACGTTGCAAACATCATCCCGCTGCGTACAATCCGCATAATTGCGTTGTTGAGGTGTGACATCAAAAGGGTATTGTGCGCGCACGTCAACTATCAACGGCATAATTAATTCTTTCACATTAACATAACACTATCAACATTGCGCACACCGAGTGCTATCAGTTAATTAAACAGTATCCAATGGTGTTCCTAAAGCGGCCAGGCGGCCATCTTGAATTATTGTTATTTCATTATCATACACATGAAAAACCAACACCATACCGTGTACATGTAATCATAGTACAGCCTACAGTAATCGCAAAGCAGACACGAGCACATTGTTGTGTTTTTAAGGATTATGAATAAAAGCAGCGATTATATTTTGGGGTATTTTAAGGTTCTGTTTGACATTTACAACAAGTGTTTCGAAATAGAATTGTTGTAATCAGCGGTTGCCAATTAGCGACCGAAAACCAATAAAATTGAAGTGTGCAAACAGACGCGAGTGCAAATATTGATAAATAATTACTCTGCCCACTTGCAACAGATTGTATCCACATGTCATCCGAAGAAGGTCAATACTACTACAAAGCGCACAGCCAACAAGAGGGGAACACCTGCGGCGTTTACTTCTTCACCGATCCGGACAAACGAATCGAATTGCATTTTAACTATCTGGACGTCGAGTGTGACAACGGCGGATTAGTTTCGGTAAAGCTATCCAGCAAACAAATAACTTTTTATTACGATATTTACATTGTGTGATGTATTTAATGGTTTTTGTTCAGTTTGTTGATGGCTGGGAGTTGAACGGGCAGTTCTTCCCTAGTCCGGAAGATCATCCGAAGCCAATGTCGCAACGCTTCAGTGAGTTTTGTGGCGAACGAAAGATTAAGCAATCGTTTGTCAGCGCGCAGAATGTCGCTCTTGTCCAGTACAGGATGCCGTCGCAAACGAGCAGCTTTAGCTTAACGGTGCGATTCGTCAAGAACACGACGCGTAAGTATCACATAATTATGTTTTATGTTGTTACAAGCGACCACTCATCGATAACGATCTGTTTACTTGATCATCATGCTTTCATTCGTTCGTTACATGTTATTAACCTTATTATTTGTGAGCATATAAAATATTCCAATTTTTAAATATCAAGGTTTTTGCTTTCATTTAATTTAATTTGTAAGTAATTGTTGACTTTTATTGTCTGCAGCCTGCAATGTACTACTACAAGACGTCGAGGACGTATACACGCTTCGCAATTATGGCAGACGAAGTAATTGCAGCTTCAGTGCGCTATTTCCGGCCGCTGTGAGGGTGCTGTCAGTAAACGTGGGGGTAACATCACGAGATGGACGCAGCGTCGAATTGGAAACGGGCACTCTGCACAAGGTAAGCCGTAATACTCAATCCTAGCCATGCTGGGCTTTAAACTATTTTTATTTCTGAGTATGCTTTTTTGCATTTATCGTTGAAAGCAATAATGTGCGGTAAAAGCAGCGCCCACCCCCAATCACTTCCCGGCTTAGAGCGGCGGGGTGCGCTCGCTATCGAAAACTAATTTTCGTAACACCAAAAACGTGTTTTTTTCAGCCACATCATCGGAAAACATTAATTTTATTTTCATGCATTTTGCATGCAAAGATCTTATCGATATATTCTCGCAAAAATAACAAAAAAAAATTGTGTGTACACAAGTTGTATTCATTTTTATAATGGTATTGCGTTGCTTCGATTGCCACGAGTTTGTTTAGCGTTATGATGACGCGCGGTAGAATTTATTGAGCATCGGCCACGAATGGAAATTGCTGCCAGCAAATGGGAATAAGATGATGGGGAATAAGACGCAATAACACAATGCTCAAGATGGCAGAAGCTGCCACTTTAGTCAAGCCCTTAGTGGTGTTTCCTTGTGCTTCCTTCCAGTGTTCCAGTTATTGTTAAGTTAGAACGAATATATGACGCACGACACTGCTTAACCCTGACTCGGTAGACATGTGTAGATTTTATTCTATTCTAAATTCTGAATAAATATTTATTATTTTCCATTGAATTACTATATTTAAAATAATTTTAAAATTAATTATCTCACTATTAAATTAACTACTTTCGTCTCAATTGATATTAAGTCAAAAAATTCTGAAACATTCAGTAGTTTGTTGTTGTAAGTTGAATCGTTATAAAATTTACTAGTGATGTGTTATAATCTGCAGTTTGAGTGCACTCGTAACGTTTGAACGATGTTGTCGGTTACTTTGAAATGTTGAAGGACATCTCTCAGAACTTCTGATGTGTCTTCATTGAGTTAACGTGACACGGACTTGAAAAGATAAAAGCTGAAGCTAAAAGCTACAAAAATATAATAATAAAATAGAAAATGAGATATTATTAAAAAGTCTATTTTCTTCACCTTTTAAGAACATTTTTAAACGAACTATAATCTTTTTCTACTTTAGTATTGTTGGGCAATTAATTAACAGGAAGGTTTTTGAATATTTCAGTGCCAAAAACGAGGATTGGACGATTACGCACAGATCGGCGGTTCATCCGGTCTGGATAATGCGGGACTGATGTTAGCAGACTCGGTGTGTGGCATGGATTCCAAGCCAGGTTTGTTACGCTCCAAATTAACTTACTACGAGTACATCAGAATGTTCTCGTTTCCATTTTCATTCCGTCACTCCGTCATTAAAATTCATGCTTCGTGTCGTTTAGCTGGCTTTCATTTCCATATTTTAAGCATTTTTAAATTGTTTTTCTCGCCTGACTTTATTCTTTTATGAATCAAGTACTTACGCGTACATGCTTACGTTCTAAAGAGTATAATAACTTTGTTAAAAGAAATTATGATTGAACTTTCAATAAGAAGTTCGAAAGACATTACTTTGCTGATTCTGATGTAAAACATTTTCTGAGATGGAATTTTTTTCCCCACAGGCAAAATAACGGAATTAATCGGTTGTGGCACCACTACCATAAGACTGGTATCGAGCGGCGGTTTTGATAACTCGGTGACGATTGCCATGCGGCAACTCACCGAGCAAGACTTCTCTGGTTACATTTCCGTCATGTGTCCTCTAGAAGGACTTAAGAAATAAGTATTGCTACCGACAGTTGCGTTATATAAATATTTAATAACACTTATATAATTTCCAGATTAACTTCAAAGAGAAAAAGTCATAAAGTATGGAAACTTGGGAAGTCATACCACAAACAGCACTAAAAGAACAAACATTTCCCCAATGAATATTCCTACAACTAGGACAAGTATTATTATTATTAGTAATTAATTTATTAATCTAATAGACGTACATATTTCCGAGTGGTAGCACAGCTAAATTTGGACCGTACCAGAAAAGAATAGTATATAATATCTATTGCAATAGAATTAGGCAGAAAACAAACTTAGCACAATCATAAAATTCCCTACAATTCTTTTTTCTTTGATGTGTCTTTATATCTGATTCCACTTTGATTTTTTGTGACTTATTTATTAACTATATGGTATTCCAAGATGAGTGTGTATTCCTATGTACAAATAAAATACAAATAAACGTTAAATAAAGACGTTTCAAATTAGCAATCTAGCAATTTCTGTGATTGTGTGTTTTTATCATTTGGTCATTAAGCTTATTAATTTATTGTGATACAACATTGTCAACGAATAAACCATCTTCAGAACCTAAAAATAAAAGTAATGTAAATTAATGAAAATTGCACAAATAATTTTAAAATGTTAAGAAATTCAAAGTTTTTATAAAACTATTAATACAAATTGTTTTTTATCTTACTTGTAGTGTAATTACATTTGAATGCTCTATAAAACTGCCCACGTGCAGAACAATTGGTTTTTGATATCTCAGGTGGAAAAATTGCATTGCTTTTGCAAATTTCATATCACCATCCCATGGCATTGCGTTAAATATCTCCAATTTCATTTCAGCAGTCTTCATGAACATTGAAAACATAAATTATATAACTAATTTTAATATTAATTATTTTGTCCTTACCGTTTGTTGCAATTGCTCTCCAATGTTAGCAAAAATTAGTGTTCCGAATAAATACACCAAGGCGTGCAAGATCATCACTAAACTTCTCATAAAGTCAGATAACTAAAAATACTTCTATAAATTTTACATCAATTGTAATTTACAGTGGAAAATTCGTACGGTTAAAAGTGAAATTGATACCAAACTAATTACAACACCCGCGAGCAACGATTGCGCCAGGATCGGCCATTGAAATAGAGAATTTATTTCTGCCCATAAACTTTAAACACTTTTATAATTACAAATTTATTTAAATTATTTACTTACTCCTGAATATGCATACTAGCGTCTACAATGTATATTAAATGGTTGTATCGAAGTTTTGGGTTTTTGATTAATTTTAATTCACGGATTTCATCTATAATCTCCGCGTAATGCAAAGATACGGATTCTTTCAAGTGCATTATTCCAAATATTCCATTCATAGCAGAACCATAAAAATATGCAATTGAAAGACTACTGAAAATGTTAATAAGATCTCGAATAGGCTGTTCATACATATTAACAAATGGAAATATCTGCAAATGTCTTAAAATTAGTTTTGAAAAACTTTCAAGTTCAGATTTTCAATTTCAGATATTACGCTTGGTATTAGCAGACCACATTTATATTTGTCCTTTCCATGGCAATCAACCAAAACCAAAGTCAATAAATTCGCAGACATAAACATAATTAGACTCGAATAACATACTTTTCCTATCCAATTGAGAGAAACCAAATTTTTTTTTATATGATGTTGACGTTTAGATATAAATTTCACGTTGAGATAATGAGCAGAAAATAAATGACGCAATTTTTGTGTGTAGTAATAATGACCACCAGTTAAAAAAATGCCGAAAGCCAACGACACTAAAAATGATAGATCGTACAGAAGTTCGTCGTATTTTTGATCATCTGTAACACATTTAAAAAATTATCGCGATCTCAATTTTTAATCTTGAACAGTTTATTCTTACGAATCATCTGAATCGCGTGCTTTGCTGGCCATATAAATATGTGTACACTAGCTATTATGCTTAATAGAATCAGTAATGCATTTCGTTTGTAATTATCATGCATTGCATATAATTTGTCAAAAATTATATATAGAATAATGTCAGAATGTTTTAATTCGTCCATATTTTTGCGTTGTAATCAGAAAGTAAGTAAACGGAGAACTGATCAAACAGCTTCATAATAGGCATTGCATTGAACATTATACATCAAGCGGTAAACATTGTCGATTGTAAATGAGAATTAAATGAGAAATCACTAAATGTCTTCAATGAAACGCGCTAAGCACTATGCTATAAGAAATGAACATCAGTGATATAATATTTTATGATAACGTATCTAATTAGACAGAATATCTAATGCAATCTTTGTAGTTGGTTGTGACACAGCATTGTCAAAGAATAAATTGCTTTGAAAACCTGAAATCAAAAATAAGCAGTTTGATTTGATTTGATGAACTAAACTTTTATGCTTTTTTCCAATATTTTATACGTAATTTTTAAAAAATATTCCTTACTTGTAATGCAATTTCATTCGAATGCACCATAAAGTTTCCCACGTGCAAGGCAAGTGGTCGTTGATATTTGATATGAAAGCATTGCATTGCTTTGGCCAATTTCATATCTCCATCCCATGGCATTGCGTTGAATAACTCCAGTTGTACGCGTGCACTCTTAATTATAATATGAAAACAACATTGTATTATATTTTTATGTCATCACTAGCTCTTCCCCGCGACTTCACCCCGGTAGTGTTTAATAAAAATGTAATACGTTTTTACTCTCTTGTTCTAGACATTGTACTCGTATGTGTCAATTATCTCAATAAGATTCGCAATTTTATTTAAAGAAATTAATTATATAAAGAATTGCTAATAATTCACTTCAGCGCGCCATCTCAGATTCAACTATTTAACTATAATTATGATTGAATCCCAGTGCCAACTTTTATCCTATAGAAAAGAGTTGTCTTTTGGATTTTCCCGGCAATTATTCAAAATTTTCTCGCCGTAATAACCATCCTTGGACTTTAACGATCATTTAAAAAAAAGAATTGGCCAAATTGGTCTAGGCGTTGTTGAGTTATGCGCTTACCAACAGATTTTGCAATTCATTATTATATTATAGATTATTGTAACTTACGGTTTGTTGCAATTGTTCGCCAATGTTACCGAATGCCAATGTACCAAACAAATAAACAAATGCGTGCAGAACCATTACACAAATTGGAAACAACTCGAAAGACTAAAAATAGAATAAAATTCATTCAAAATAATTGTTCAAGCCTCTTAAGAGACAATAAACGCAAACGAAATTTTTGTTAAAGTTTTTACACGAGTTATTTAGGTAATTATATAATAGTTTCAGCGTTTTCGTTTGCGTTTACTTAAAATCTGGTCATTTCGGATATTAAATCGTACGGTTAGAATGGATATTGAAACGAAGCTAATCACAAGGCCCGCAACCAACAGTTCAACCAGAATTGGCCATTTGTAGACTGAATTAACTATTTTCCATATACTAAAAATAGACGTATTTAATAGATATTTAATAAAAGTAATACCAATCTCTGATATACCTTTCAACATGTTTAATCCTTTCCACCACCTGAGTGAACTTTTTGAATCGGTTCTTTTGGTTTCGCACAAACTTCAAATCCTAATAGCATATATAATCTCGGTATAATGCAAATTCAATGAATGTACGACTTGTATTAAGAACAAGATTGAAAATAGCGGGAGACTGTAGAGATACAGAACAATAAGAATATAACAAGCATTAACTATGTCTGTATATGGATGGTCATACACACCAAACGGGAAAATCTAAAATAGTTTTACGCTTAGTTGTAAACTTATGATAATTGACTTACATTTATTACGCTTGGCAATACTAAACAAGCAGTATACTTGTCTATTCCACTACAATTAGAAAATGCCGATACAACTGCATACGTGACCGCAAAAACAAAACATATGCAAAACAATATTGTTCCTAACAAATTAATTTTAGTATTATATTTTTGCAATTTATATTTGCTTTGAAGCAAAAATACTGGATTATCGAGGAGATCAAAGTAAATTTGCCGGAGTTGAAATGAGTAATAATATGGACAAAACCTTAAGAACACCCCGTATGTTATAGATACAATAAACGATAAATCGTATAGAAGATTGTCCAATTTTTGATCAACTGAAGCAAACAATAAAACTTTAAAATTGTTAAATATGAAATATTACACTTACCAAGCATTTGCAAAGCATGATAACCCGGCCACATAATTACTTGACAGAGAATTATTATATTAAAAGAAATAAAACATACATTATAATTGTGATTGAAATGCCGTAAATATAATGTATTGACAACAAAATATATAAATGATGTTTCACTATATTTTACAAATTGTGCCATGATTGTGCACTCCACTAGTCTTGTTGTATATGACATGAATCATGATTGAAACACATTTACTAAGTAGAATTCAATGTATCCTCATTAGTATCCACATCGTACTTGTTTAATGACATTTTCAGAGTATATGATAGTTTTTAAAATTGAATTCGTAAATAAATAATTAAAAACTGAACAAAATGAACAATAATATAACTTCTAATGATTTGTTCTTAATAACAATAACTAAAGCATTTGTTTTTCTCTTTTTTTTTTGTCAAATAAAGTTTTTTTGTGGACACTGTCAACTGCCAGGTGAATAAATAACAAAGTAATTCAGGACCAAATTATTTTAATTTATTTCTCAATACATAATGTGCACTTTTATTAAAGTAGCATTATTAAGTGTTTATGTATCTAACCAAAATATCAAAGTTTCCACATAATTACTTAAGAATTAATTCTTTTTAGTTGATTATAGTACAGCATTGTTAAAGAATAAATTGTGTTGAAAACCTGAAACACAAAAAATAATTATGGAATAAAGAAAAGCTGTAAAGAATTTTGCAAAGATCTTACTTGCAGGACGATCATGTTAGAATGCACCATAAAGTTTCCAACGTGGAGAACAATTGGTATTTGAAATTTCATATGAAAAAATACCATCGCTTTGGCGAATTTCACATCTCCATCCCAAGGCATTGCATTGAATAGTTCCAGTTGTAATTGTGCACTCTTGATATTCATATGAAAACAAATTAAACAAATTTAAACAAATTAAAGAATCAAAATTACACTATTAACTCATTTTTGGCTTACAATTTGTCGTAACTGTTCGCCAATATTAGCAAATGCCAATGTCGCAAGCAAATAGTTAAACGCTTGTAGGCACAATAGAAAAAAGATAAACCAATGAATCGACTAAAATAAAAATAAATTAGATATTAATACAGTTTTAAGCTATAAATATATACTGTTCGAATAGTTGAAATTGTAAGGCTGATCACCACGGTAGAAACAAGCAATTGCGCCATGATTGGCCATTTATAGATGAAATCAATTTTTTTCCATATACTAGAACAATATTTTAGAATTTTTTGAATATAATATATTCACCTACTGTTCAATGCGTAGACTAGCTTTTACCATACAAGAAAATTTTGCATAGCGGTGTTTTTTATTAACAATAAACTTCAACTTGCGGATACTTTGTATAATTTCGGTGTAATGTAAATTAACTGAATATTTTAATTGCACCAAGAACAATATTACGTTCATAGCGCCCAGTGACAGATAGTGAAATACAAAAGCGTAACAGATGTTAATGATATTTTTGAAACGGCGTTCATACACATTAATCGGAAATATCTAAAAGTGCAAATTTAGTTAGTTATAAGTGAACATAATTAATTATTTAGTAATACACTAGGTAATAGTAGACCACATGTAAAATTATCTTTATCATTGCAATTGGAAGTAGCCTGCAGTACCAAATATGCACCCAAAAGTATTGATGTACTGATATACCATGCCTTTGTAAACCAGTTAAATTGTGTTAAATAAGATTGCAATTGAAGTTTGCTTGTAAGTTGCAGTTTGGGATTACCAATACATTTGAAAAATATTTCTTTAATTTGTTGAGTATAATGGTATATACAACAAGTTACATATGCTCCAAAAAGTATAGATACCAAAAAGCATAAATCATAGATAAGTTGGTCATATTTTCTATTTCCTGCAATAGTAGTGCAAATCCGAGTATGTATTATAAAACTAATATATTATATAATACATACTGAACATTTGTAACGCATGATTACCATTCCATAAAACAATCTGGCATAAAATGAATGAAGTAATACTGATTAAACATATGTTACGTTTGTAATTATTTTGGCGCATATAAAGGAAATGCAAAACGTAATATACAAAAGATATCTTGACCATGTTGCTCGTTGCTAGACTTTTGTCCATGATTGTCTGATATTTCTTGATAATAAATATACCTCAATAGCAAGATTCAAACTTAATCAATCACGAATGATATGAAATAAATATATACAAAGTGGATGATGAGATTTTAATGTCAAACCAGACAATCATCAGCAGCGTAATGTAATAATCAGAGTATATAATACCACTAATGCCATGTGTGATTATTCTTCCTGAAAAACATTTAAAAGTAATTTAAATAAATTAAATATATGTTTACACAACAAATAATATTTTAGGTAAAAAACCAGTAGCAAATTTTTGGTTATCGGTCAAAAAACACGGTCAAATTTTATTAGTGTAATTTATTAGTGGTTAAAATCAATAATAATGTTCAATATCTTGGCAATTAAAAAGGCTAGGAGAAAAAGGACTTTTAAAACATCAAATTTCTATCTATTCGACTAAAATTACAAAGAGAGTGTAGACTTAGATTTTAAATTATTTTTAAGCCAGAAGAAAATGGAAAACGACAATTGATAGAGAATTGCAAGGTGATGAAAAATGTCGCGCCGTAAATAATTTAGAAAAATCTGGTGAATTTTTACAAAACTTTGTAACTTGGCTTACAATTATGCCAGTAATCCTGAAATTCTGATTATGGACTAATTTTATTTAGGTATAATATTTAATTAGGTAGGCTACCTTGTTTGGTAATATTTATGGGGCGGTGGGGGGTGGAGGGTGGTAGAAAGGACCGGTTAAGTATTCGCAAGATTACACTTTTCGGTCTAATGACATGATATCGCCAGCAGGAATAATAATTAGATAATAATAATTTCTCTTCTTTTAAACCACTGGTGTTGTGTAATGAAGTAAACAAATTAATATGCACCCGTGCAACAAAAATAGAATTATTATATCCTGACTAACTACTTCAGATGTGAAATAGTTCAAAAAACTTTTTTAGAAACCATTAGTTCGTTATATTTTAATAATAAAGTGATCGTTATTCGCTAGTACATAAGATAAGAATGGTGACAATGAGTTTGCAATTTCTGATAACTTTATGAGTGTTATGCTTAAGCCATAAAATGTTACAAAACAAAGAAATAAATGCGATGCGGAGCTGTAGAATTACATGGGCCTGCCCATTCCTCGTCCCATTTGCGGCATTTGCGCTGCGTCACCGGACTTCTGGTTCTTAATCGTCTCGTCCACGCTGAGAATAAGACAAGCCGCCTCACATGCTGCCGTCAGTGCATTCACCTTGATGATAGCTGGCTCCCAAACGCACGCCTCGAAGTTGTCGCTGATGTCCTCCGTCATAACGTCAACGCCGTACCAACAATTACCCTGAGCGTGCTTCTGGCGCAGTTTGTTCAGAATGTTCGTCGCATCAAATCCAGCATTGTCGCACAGCTGTCTGGGAATGACCTCTAATGCTTTCGCGAGTGCGCCGATAAGGAGCTGTTCTTTGCCGGCAATGGTACGGCTGTGATCTCGCAGCATACGGGACAATTCCATCTCGATGGCGCCACCACCTGCTACAACGGAGTCGTTTTGAATCGTACGACGGACAATCATAATGGCGTCATGAAGGGAACGCTCAGTTTCCTCTAGAAACTGTTCTGCTCCACCACGAAGAATTACTGTGCATGTTTTTGCATTAGGGCATCCCTAAACATAAAAGTAATATCATATAAATACGCATTTAAATATCTTGTAAGAAAAACCAAAAAGATATTTACCTGGAAAAAGTTGAAGCGTTCGCCACCAACTTGCTTCTCTTCAAACAGTTCGCAGCGACCCAACACAGAGTCGTTAACATCATTTACAGTAGTCATGACGGCACCACCGCAGGCCTTCATGGTTCGCTTGAGGTCCTCTTCCGGAACGCGGCCGGCGCAGAACATATCCCTATTAAAATATTCATTAAACACACCATAATACAATAAAACATTGTTAGTTTACCTATCAGCAAAATACTGTGTAGCTACATCACCAATCGGTAATTTGGAGAGAACAACAGTCGCGCCAGATTCATGAATCTTTGCTAATTTATTGTACAAAATATTCCATTCGGCATCTACAATTTTCTGATATTCCTTGACATTATTTACTCTTACTTCAGCATTATCCCTTTCTGCCTTTAACTCAAGCTCAATATTCAAAAGTGCAATCTTGCACTGCTTGTAAGTTTTAGGTTGCATCTCAAAGCCAGCATAACTGAATGTTTTCTTAAAGGCAACTCCAGCAACTAACGTGGAATCTTCCAGAGCTCCACCTGCAACCTTCTTGATGCCAATCATATTTAGTGGCAGCAACTCATCCAACATCAATACTGCATCAACCACCAGTTTTGAGAAGAAATCCTTCTGTTGGTGAATTAGCTTCGAGCTCATGGCAGTAGCGGCACATTTCTCCAACAAAGAACGGTATTCACCTGCATTTTCTTTTTTGATTTTAATTGCAAGCTCACTGATTTTCTCTAAGCACAGCTGAAGTGAAGTACGTACAGATCTGATGATTACTCTTGGATGAACTCCCTCCTCTACAAATGGTTTCAACTGTTTGAGGAATTCTCCAGCAATAAGCACAACTGAGGTTGTGCCATCTCCAACTTCTACATCCTGAGACTTTGCAATGTCAACCAGTGTTTTGGCTGCTGGGTGAACAATATCAAGCAGCTTCATGATGGTAGCACCATCATTAGAAATCGTTGCTCTGCCGTTGCGGTCTACGATCAGTTTGTCAAGACCGCGAGGACCAAGAGTAGTCCTGACTGCATCAACCACTGATTGGCAGGCATTAATATTAGAGACTAGCTGTGGTTTGCCCTGGGAGGTGTCTGTACCCTCTTTGAGGAGAACAATTTGTGGTTGCTGCAACGATTTTTACAAAAATATTATTAATCAAGACATTTTCAGATTGATTTGGGGTGTATTTCAATAAAAATTTTAATATTAGAATTCAGATGTCCAACCATTGTTGGAAAAAAATAGCATGACTCATAAAGATAAAAAGGCTTTCATATCTAAACGTAACTTACCATCATTTTGAATGGGGGCGGTTTTATTTAATGCTTGGCGTAGAAAACGAAAGAATGATGTTGTTCTTGCAGTGGAATCTAATGTTTAACAAAAAGCACGAGATCCGGAATTGCACCCAAAGTCACACCGCACATGGAGGTTATTTCCAGAAGTTTTTTTAGTGATATGTTGGGAATTTTATGAATCCAAACAAATTTTCGGTGTGAGGTTGGCAATACAGAAACTTTCGGTTGTATTCGTGTACGTTCGTCGGTGTCGGCAGTTGTGGAATGACAAACAATTTTGTTGCAAGTTCATTCTCCGGCTTCGGTGTTTTACTTTAGTATTTTCCTAAAGTAATCATGGCTACGGAACGTTATAGTTTCTCCCTAACAACTTTCAGGTATGTTTGCTAGTTAAATCGTTACATAAAATGCCTAATCGGCTTAAATTCCTGGTATTTAAAAAATAACCTTAAACTTAATTACAGTCCTTCGGGAAAACTTGTTCAAATTGAATATGCTCTTGCTGCGGTTGCTGCTGGTGCCCCATCGATTGGAATTAAAGGTAACATTCACTTTCAACCAGATAGTTAATTTTTTCTAACAAAAATAATCACGTTTATAGCTATAAATGGTGTAGTTATTGCCACCGAAAATAAACACAAGTCCATCTTGTATGATGAACATAGTGTGAATAAAGTGGAAATGATTACCAAACATATTGGGATGGTTTATTCCGGTATGGGTCCGGATTATCGTCTTCTGGTTAAACAGGCAAGAAAAATGGCACAGCAGTATTACCTTGTCTATGGTGAGCCCATTCCCACTGTGCAGTTGGTCCAAAGAGTTGCTGCTGTAATGCAGGAGTACACTCAATCTGGCGGTGTCCGTCCGTTTGGGGTATCTCTTCTTATCTGTGGTTGGGACAACGATCGTCCTTACCTCTTTCAGTGTGATCCTTCTGGGGCATATTTTGCTTGGAAGGCTACTGCAATGGGCAAGAACTTTATTAATGGAAAGACTTTCTTGGAAAAGAGGTGTGAATACTACCACATTTCTACTTATCAAAAATAATTATATCAATATTCCATATTTTTATAGATATTCTGAAGATTTGGAGTTGGATGATGCTGTGCACACTGCTATTTTAACACTGAAGGAGAGTTTTGAGGGGCAAATGACGGCCGACAACATCGAAGTCGGAATTTGTGACAGTCAGGGATTTAGACGATTGGATCCTTCACACGTTAAAGATTATTTGGCTAATATTCCGTAAAGTACTAACTTAGTTTTTAAAAGAATCGTTTGTGATTCATATCAATTATGTGCTGGTTTTCTTATTGTATTTCATGATAATTAAATTTTCTCGTACAAAATACATAATTGTTTTTGACTGGTAATCCTAAAATGTATTACCACCTGCACAGAGTTTAATTAACAAGGAAAAAATTCTTAAATATTCCTTCATTTTTATTATTACAAAACATTGAAAAAAAAAAGCAATCAAATTTCAGCCGGTTTGCGTAAGGAAAGTTCAGAAAATTCCAAAGAAAACACCGTTGTCGTACTTTAGAGGTTCTCTCAACAGGAACTAAAGTATGTTTTGATCATAATTTATTCTTTACCATAAAACAATTCGCATTCATGCTGCCAGTATGCTCATTACACAATAAATTGATCTTCTTTATTGTTTAAATCGATAATAAAGTGGAAAAAGAAAAGCAACACAAAACACAATTTAATTGTCGTATGTATTAAAACTACACATTTATGATATAGTCGTGAAATAAGTAAAATATCTAAATATATCTTCTGTCATTTCAATCAACACATTTTCTTTTTAACTTGAAAATAAAACCATGACAACTAAGAGAACATCATGCATCCTTCTTCATTATAATTATATCGTTCCGTCTTCCCATATCGGCTTCGGAAAGCAACATCTTGAAGTACATTGAAGTATGTAGTTGTGTTCTCTATGCTAACGTTAATTAGGTTTGTATGTATTTACCACGTAAAGAATATTATTATGGTACCTCGAACAAATCGATGTCTGTCTTGAATTCAGCTTATCATAGAAGTTAAATGTATATAATAAGATTTAGTTTCTTTTTAAAATATGCTTTGATTAATAACTAATCTGCAGCGCTTGAATTCGCTTACTATCTCTTCCGTCCTCTGTACAATTTGCAGCATTTGCGGCGCGTGTACTTTCCATATTTACATTGCAAAGAAAAATATGGTAATGTCTCCAAATTCTCTAACTAACTGTTTGCTTAAAAAATCGCGTCGATGTTGTAAATCGTCATAAGTCGAACATTAGAAATCCCTATACACTTTTGTTTTAAATATTTACAAGTCTTTTGTCCCTCACAGGCAACACTCGAACGAAATTGTGCCGAAGTCCGCTGACGCTAGTGTTCAAGTGTCTCAGTCCAATTTCGCACGTTTGATGTCCTCGGATGTGTCCTCCGTCGCTGAAACATCGGTTAAGCCCCGCTTCGGACTTTTACTCACCAAAATACTGGCCGCGTCCATGTCCCCCGTCGTCGGTATTTCCTCAGAATTACAGAACGGCGTCGACTGCTCTACATGAAAGTCGAACATATCCGGCGGTGGTTCACTCAGCGAACTCATTTGATTGGACATCGTGCACATGTCTCCAGTCGCTAGCAGATATTCGGCAGTGCCTTCTTGCACTTTCGCATCAGTGTCCGTACCCGTTGTTTCAGACGTTGATGAGGATTCTGAGATAGCAACCGATTCAAGTTCATCTTTTTGACTGGTGCTCGCTGAAGTAGTTTGAACTTCTTCGGGGTCCTCAGTCAACAAGGGCATTGATATCGGACTTGTGAACTTTTCGCCATCATCCAGCGAAGGCAGCGAATAGAAACTAGGACTGCTCATTTCGGTGGACGTTGCAGGTACGTCCTGTATCGTCAACGGCAATTCAATACTCGCTGTCAAATCAGCTGGCAATAAGTTCACTTGCTGATTGGCAACAGACTGCGCAATATTAGGATCAGTGATCGTAATCGGCAGATCGACATTTTTAGGTACTTGTTGATTCAGCACATCGCTCTCCTTTATTTTGGCGGTTGTTGTGGGAACCTCCAAAGGTGTCATAATGGGAGAATTTACTGTGGACGTTTCCAGCACGTTGTTAACTGCCATTGGAAAGCCGGGACTTAACTGTGATTGCGTGATTTTCGCTGCGGCAATTGTTTGCTCTTGTTGGAATACATCAGTATCGGCCAGCGCAGCTGCAAGAATATCCTGATTCTTAACTGACGACTGCGATGAAAAGATCTGGCTTGATTCCTCTGCAGGATCGATACCTAATTGGCTATTCAATGACATCAACATTTGATTATCTACGTCGGAATTAATTAATATCTGTTGGCCGTCGGTGTGGATGAGAATGTTTTGTCCTTCCACGTGGGCTAAAAGATTTGCTATCTCGGGATTGCCTTCGGTGAGAGATTCGAGGAACTTGTGCGTCGCAACAGGATCACCAGTGATGATGAGGTTCTGTTGAACGTCCCCTTTGTTTATGCTGCAAGTGATTGCGTGGATCTGTTCGGTAGACCCCTCTGCATCTGCAGGTTGTTCCACTTGATCTAGTGCTTGTTCTGTAACAGGTGGAATTTGCGGTTCCTCTAAGGTGGGCACCTGAGGAGCAACCACTGGAACTGCACTGTCCAATTTGGTCTGGGCGGGCGCTTCAACGGTCTTTCGAATTTCAGGTTGTTTCTGTGCCGTCGTTTTAGTCGTTGTTGCTTGGGTGGTAGTTGTCGTATCTGTAGACTCTGTACTTGCTCCAGACCCTTCAATCTGTAATACCATGTTGCTTAGATCACCTCCGAGGTTCAGATTAGGATCCAAGGACATGAGCGCCTCGTTATTCAAAGGAGTCAAACTTCCTGACTCGTCTAGGGTAACCAACATATAAGACTGTGGTTGACCATCGACAGTTTCACTAGGCAAGGCCAAAATTTGGCCTTCCATGATTGTTGTTTCGTTACCCATGGCATCTTGAATAACGAGTTGCTTTGGAGGACGGTCTTCTTTCTTATCAGTTGGTTTTCCAGTTGCTTCTAATTTTGCCCCAGAAGCAACTGTTGCAGGTACTCGTGGCGCACCTACAGCAGAAACACCAACTTTCTGTTGTCTCATTATTTGTTTAGGCTGACTTGCTTCTGTGGCAGTCTTTTTGACTTGAGTGATTGGTGCAAGAGGTGGTACAACATTGCGAGAAACAGGGGTGGTTACAGCGGCGTTAGAATTCAATGCCTTTTGTTGTATTACTGTCCTAGTGGCGTCCGGCATGGATGAAGTAGCAACAGTTTTTTTGATTACACGCTTAATCGGTGCACCTCCTTTCGTCTTATTTGCTGCCCGATTAATGGCCTCTAATTGTTCAGCGACTTGCTTCTCAATATCCTCATCGCTTGTGCCATGAATTCGATTAACAACTTCACCCTGCTGATTCTTAATGATGACCGTACGTGTTTGACCAGGCGGGCCTTTCATTGGAGGCAAAGCCCCTTGTAAAGAAAATTTCTTTTGTGGCGTTGCTACTTTGCCTGCCTCAATCTTAGGTTTCTTTACAGTAATCAACCCTGAACCTGGTGAACTGGTTGAATGTGCAATTATTTTCGTCCGCTCTTTCATCTGAGCCGGAGAAGACTTAACAAACGTCTTCTTCACCTGAGTTTGGTATCCCATAAGTTTTTGCTGTTCAGGAGTTATCAGGACTCGTTGTTGCTGGCCTTGATTGTTTGTAACAATCATAATCTTATTGCCACTAGGTTCTGATGTGGCTGTACTTTGACCAGTTTTAGTTTGGAGTATAGCTGGTTGCTTCTTAACTATTTGCCTCTTACCAACCGTATATTTAGTTCCGGGCGCAGCAGTGCTCTGCGATGGAACAATGACAAACTTGCCCTGCTTACCAGATGCCAATATGGTCGGCTGATGTTTCAATATTGTCGGAGTTGTTGTGGTGGTACTCTGATAGACCCTCTGACCTTTAACAATTTTGGTATAAGTCTTGGAAGTGGGTGTAGTCTTTAAATTACTGCCCGTCGCAATCATAGTTTGCTTAGGTATTGGCTTGATTTGTTGTTGGACTGGTTTTCTAATAACTTGTTGAGCAGTATGCTTCCCAGCTTCAGGTACCACCACGGGCATTGTTTCAATGTTGTCGCTTGTCAAAAATTGATCGCCCAACACAATTGGCATGTTGTCAATATCAAACGTATCTTCTTCCTTTGCTCTGGGACTGTTGAGAAGGTCATAAACCTTTTCTTCGACGGTTTTAGTCGAACCACCTTTGATAGTCTGCTGCTGGATAATAGTTGGTTTCTTCACCTTCGAGATCGGTTGCAAGACCTGGCCTGCAGCTGTAATAATAGTGTGTTCGAGAATTTTGGGCTTGGATTTTGTCAGGACGTTTGTCGATACTGCCGTCTTTTTGACTTCATCATCTGATGACTTTTTAGCGTGCTTGGTGATAATAAACGCGTCAATATCTTCAATGTCATCATAACTTCGTTTAACCTTCTGAACAGATACAACTGAATCCGCTGGTCGGATAAGTGTGTCGGACAATATAGTAGGTTTGGTTTTACTTGTTGAAGGAGAAATATTTCCTGTCGTATGTGTGCCTGCAAATATTCTTCCCATCTGCTTCGGAACAACTGGTTTCTTCGGATCAATTTCAAACTTGGGAGTTGCAATTTTTGGTAAGGGCACTTGTTGGGGTTTGGACGCCGGCGTACGTGGTACTCTCTTATTGTCAGTGAGAATGTCCAGCAATTTAGAGGTACTTTCCTGATCAGATGACAATCGGCTATTCAAAATGATGGGTTTGGAACTTGCTTTCATTTCAGCCTCTTTTGAGACTGGCTGCACCACAGGCTCCTCTTCCTTTTGCATTGGAAGTTCATCACTAATACCAACTTCAGCCTTCTCTGGCGATGCAGTGACATTTGGAATAGTTGCAATTTTTTCAGTACCATCCTCAATAATCTTAGCAATTTCCACCTGACCTTCGGCCAGAATGTTCTCAGGCACAACTGTGACATTCTTCTCAATTATATCTTTGTTGAATGTGGACACAGATGCTAATAAATCGAGTGGATCATCGCTTGCAGCAGTTTCCACTGCATCGGTATTTGCAACGGTGCTCTCATTATCCTCATTATTGTTCGAAGTTACCTCGACTTTCTCAGTGATGCTAACCTCCTCAGATAAAAGCGAAATTCTCTTCGGAGATTTAATAGTTGCTACTTTCGCTAATTCGTCATCTCGTTTAATCGTCTTCTTTGGTTGGCTGGCTGGATCAAATTTGGATGCATCCTTGTTGAGAATTATTGGCGGCGATTTTATCGGCGACTGTCTAGTCTGCGAAGATAGGGGTGTCTTTATAGGCGATGATGGTGCCATGATAGGTGATGATGGAGTTTTGACTGGCGACATTGGTTTCGCAGGTGAGAGTGGTGCTTTAAGCGGAGATTGCGGAGCCTTTACAGGTGATTTCGGAGTTTTGATCGGAGAAGCTGGAGCTTTAGTGGGTGAAGTTGGAGCTTTCGCCGGTGAAGATGGAGTTTTCGTTGACGAGGTTGAAGCTTTCGTCGGTGAAGTTGGAGTTTTAGCTGGGGATGTTGGAGCTTTGATAGGCGACTCTGGCGATTTAACGTCTGTCATTGGTAAAGAATCCTTGACTGGCGAACTATCTCTTGCTTTAATAGATTCTTGACTCGATGGCAATTCTGCAGAGGGAACAATTTTCTTTTTTAATGGTGATAATGTTTTGAGCCAATCACCAGTTCCGGAATCGGAATCGTGACCACTCAATCTTCGAGGCGATTGCATTTGACATAGTTTATCAAGAAGTGCTTCACCAGTCAATTTCTCTTCGTGTTTCGTTTCTAAATCTTCTGCAACCTTTTCAGATGACTCTTTAACCGAGACCTCCTCAACTATTTCAGCTGGAGGTACTGATTTAACCTCAGCTTTCGTAGGGGAAGTAAGTGGAGATTTAACTACAGGCACCTCGGTCTTCTCAGTTCGTGATGAGCGCAGATAAGTTTTAGGGCCGCCCGTTGATCTACTCCCAGATTTTGGTAATGATGGTGACTTCATTTCCGCTTTGGTTGGGACCGCCTTCTTTTCTTCATTCATTTTACTATAGACAGGTTTCTTTTCTTCTGTTTTAGGAGTATGGTGTTCAGCTTTCTTTTCTTTCTTGTCTTCCGATCTGGTTCTTTTCTCATCTTCCCTATCTGACGAAGCATTCCTCAAGCTGTCCCTTCTTGTCTCTCTAGATTCAGATGTTTTTTGACCTTTTAAATCGTTCTTCTTGTCATCGTCAGATTTATCGCTCATTTCAACATCTTCGTTGGATGATGAATGGCCACGTTGACGTTTTAGCCCCTTTCTATCATCGGATTTCTTACTTTCCGGTTTAGGTTCGATATCATCAGTTGACGTGGAACGCACAGGAGTTTTTTGTCGAGTTTTCGGCGATTTGGACGCTGCATCCATAGGTTCTGCAAGTTTATTCATCAATTTATTTTTCATCTTGGAAATAAGTGGTGAAGCAGGCTCATCAGTCTTGCCATTGTTGACTTGAGCTTCATCCGGGTGATCGTCCTTCTTGCCACGTTTCGGCGTAGTTTTGGAAGCAGAACTTTCAGATTTTCGGTCCTGAGAAGATTCACTCTGGGACTTTGATCTGCTCGCTCTAGTTTCTCGCCGTGGACTGTCTTCAGCCTTTTTGTTGTACTTTTCATTTTCCTGTGCTCGTAAACTACCGAACACATCAATTTCAAAGAGTACTTTTTCTTTAGGTTTTGATTTTTCATGAGATTTTGCCCTTTTCTCAGATTTTTCAGACTTATCAGACTTCTCCTGATCTTTCTTAGCAGCCGATAATTTCGGTTCTTCAACAATCGAGGGCTTATCCTCTTTCTTAGAAACTTTGTCATCGTCCTTTTTAGATGATTTTTCTTCTTCCTTTTTCGAGGGCTTCTCATCCTCTAACTTCGGAACATTTTCATCTTCACCTTTTGTTAGTTTTTCATCTACCTGTGCACTTTTTACAGGTTTGATATCTTTCTTTCCTTTATCAGCATCTTTAGCTTCAACAGTTTTAGTATGCTTGTCGGTTTTTTCAGCTTCATCAGACTCGCTTTCTGTCTTAACATCTTCCTTCTTCGTCGCTGACTTTTTCTCTTCTTCTTTCACAATAGGTTTAACATCACTTCTACGTGCTGATTTTCTTGTCTCAACCTTCTCCTCAACGTGTTCTATTTTTTCTTTTTCGCCACCGCGGGTTGAAACTCTACGTGTTGTTTTCTTATCTTCTGAAACCGATTCTTTTTCTGGTTTGATCTCAGCAAGTTTTTCTTTTTCGGGTTTGATCTCGGCAGGCTTTTCTTTTTCGCTCTCCACGCGTACAGAACTTCTTCGAGTTGATTTCTTTTCTTCTACTTCCTCCTTTACGGCAGTCTCCTCTTCGAGGTGTTTCTCTGGTTCGAGTTTTGCCTCTGGTTTTTCTTTCTCGGCACGAACGGAAGTCCTTCGAGTGGATTTCTTCTCTTCCATCACTACGTCCTTTTTCTTTTCAACCTCTACACTCTTTCCGGGCTCGGTTTCTTTCGCTGGAAGTTTCTCTTTTTCCTTATCGAATCTTGTACTACGGCGAGTGTGCTTTTTATCCTCAAGCGTTTGCTTTTTATCATTATCACCTTTTGGGTCTGACACTTCTGAGGATTTCTTGATAGTAGTTTCTTCTTTCGCCACAGAAACATCAATATCAATTTTTGTCTTCTTAGCAGATTTTGGAGGCGAATCTTTTAGAAGTGATTCATCTTTTTCCATTTGTTTCTCCATCTCATACACATCTCTCTCCAATTCTTGTTGCTTTTCCTTCATACTCAATTCAAAGTCTTCAAATGATTTAACAAATCGTTTCTTGGGATTAGTTAATTTGGTCGCAATTTCAGGCGATTTCACACCCATACCTAAGTCATCTGTTTTGAGTAAACTTGGTACTTCTGGAACTTTAGTTGATTCTAATAAACTAGTAAAGTCAAGTTCCATCTTTTCTTCAGCAGCTTTCGCGCCATTTTCCTGTTCTTTAGGCGTTTTCGCCCCCTTTTGTGTCGTCGTTGCATTATCAGCTTTGTCTTTGTTGCTAGCTTTCGGCGTCTGTTTTGCAGGCGTCTTTACTTTCGATACTTTATTCTCTTTAGCCGGCTTTGGTGAAGCTTCAATTGAACTGTCAAACACAGACGAGTTATTTGTGTCATCAAAGTCCAAACTTTTATCATCATCATCATCGTCATCGCCATCATCCCATTCTGCTAATAAATCGTTTGTAATATCGGGCGCAGGTTTCTTTACACTAGTTAGCTCTTCTTTCGGAATTGGAGCTTGTGCTCGTTTCCGTTTCCTTCGTTTTTTCTTCTCGGGGACTTCACCTTCGCTGATTTCACCACCGGAAAGGGTTATACCCTTCTCCAACAGAGCCAAATCTTCATCAATGCTATTTGTCTTTGATTTTGGAATTTTAGACTTCCTGGGGCCCCGCTTTTTAACCTTTTTCCGTTTATCATTGAAGAGCGGATCGGCTTTTAGATGTGTTTTCGTGTGCAACGCAAGTGCATCAATACGGCTACAGGTAAAACTGCAAGACGTACACTTGAACGACGTTCCTTTGATATCTTCTCGTTTCTGTTGCACCAGAATACTCCGTCGATGATCGTTCCGTTTGCCGGTGAATCGAGGATGAGTCACAAAACGCGCTGGCGTCTTCTTATTGGACGTTGGAGCTTTAATAAATAATTATGCACTCAGTTAAACGTAATAAATAAGTTATTAAAAAACACGTACTCCCTTTTGGACGACCTCCTGGACCAAGTTTGGGTGAATTCTTAACTTTTGGCGAACCAAATATTTCAGAAATTTTCACTTCCTTCTTTTGTACAGCAAATTTAGCATCATCTAAAATATTCTCATTACCATCAGTACGTTTTTCAGCAATGATCACATCCTCAGGAAACTTCTCCATATTTCCCTTCTTTGCTCTATGCATATCTGTGAAAACAAGCAATGTATCCCTTTATTATTTTTGTTAGCAACAAACATACCCAATCCTTTCTTGATGAACTCATCTTTCTTTGAGTAGTTATATGGAAATATTCGATCATTCTTTTTCACATACTCACTAAAAACACACCATAAATTCAGTTTCGCTCAAAAATCTTATAAGATAAACTTACTATGAATCCTCTTGAAAGAATTTTACAATTGCAAATGGCAGTTTAGCCCTGGATGAAGACTGAAGATCCTCCTTGACAGATTCTTCTAAGTGTTCAAAGCCGACGGTTTCTCCGGGCCACCAGCAGTTACCTAGCTTTACCCAGACGATATCCCCGTGCTTATATTCAGACGGAGTGTCGCACATTTTGGCTGCTCACGACGCCACATATAAAAACCTGTAGGCAATGATGCTTGTTGATCAACACAGCACTAAAAACGTCACCGCCGGTGGTATGCGCTAGACAACCTCCAATTCTTTGAAATCTCTTTCTGTCCACCAGCAGAACGATTGTTTACAGTGTGGCGGCGGGCAAACGCTTCGCACAAATAGAGATTGCAAAGAAATAGAGCGCAGGAGCACAGCCACCGATCATAACCTTAATTCTTGGAGCGAATGCGAAGAGCACGGTCCGCCGGCGTCCAAAACATTAGGCGGACGCGAATTCTCGTCCTTCGCCAAACTCACCAAACGTATTTTTATTTATATTAATTGTCAATAAACGCGTAACAAATTCACTCGGCGGCGACGTACATCTTGTACCCAGAATGCCTTTCGAAGGTTAGCGTCATCAGTGCAGCCAACATTTGCCGCCCAAAATATCTTACTACGCTTGTGCGTCGGTCGAACACTCAACAATAGTAAAAATATTTCAAACTATTTTAAACTAAAGCAATTAATTAAAAAGCTCTAATAGTTATTAAATTTTTATAACAAGCAAGTTATTTATGTATTTATCGCGCTGAATATTTTGTTTGAACTGCCTAGCTTTACTTTGAGCTGTTATAAAATCGGCAACGTTGCAATGAGAGCCAATCATAGCGAGTGACACCAGCCATCTTTAAATCTGGAAATGCATCATGATGACGTGCGTGTGAATGCATTTGAAAGTTTAGCCGCGATCAGGTAATGCGATCTCAATTATTTTAAATAATTATTAATGCAATAATCAATAATTCAACCTACTTCGGTGGTATTCTTTTGATAATTTGTGAATTTCTCAGGTCAAAATTCCGGTAACTAAAGTTAATTTAAACAGAATTGTGTTTAATGAATAATCATTTTGAATGACTAGGAAAAATAAACTTTGAAACAATGAAAATATATCAATATATTGGCTACATAACTCAATGAGGCTAAGAATTACACAGTATTTAGTTTATTTTAATTTACTTGCACAATGGAATAAATTGAATCTTATGAATAAAATAATAAAGTTGATTCAATCAGCATGCAAACACAATAGATTATCCAGCCACCACTTTGGTTTGATAGCTCTTCTGGCACATGTTGATCTGATCACCCAAACTCAATGCCATGCCCTGCAAAAACAATTAATATACATATTAAAACACGTATTTCAAATAATCTCTCAATCGTGAATAGGTTTACCTGACTCTTGGCTCGAATGCGAATATGTCCGGTAACTGCCGCTTCGGGTTTGTTGAAAGGTTTCTCAATGCTCAAGTTGGCAAGCGCATCCTCACCAAAAATACTCTTGGCGTACATATTCGCCGCCATGAACCCACACTGCCCGGATAATGCCTTCTCCGGCGTCAAACACTTCATATTCGTGCTCTTCAGCAAATGCTTCAAATAATCCGCCAAGTCGGTGATGGTAGTAACCACAGAAACCTTGTTCTCCCATTCAAACTCAGCCCACATGCTGCGGAATTCTGTATCCGTGCACGAAGCGGGAACAATATAATCCATGATGTCAATGTGGATGTCATTCAGTACAACCACATTGCGATCGGAGGCAGCTCCGGTAACATCGTATACAATATTACCGAAAATAATCCCATTCTCTGTTGAGGCGACTTTGACATTCGCCTTGATATTACAGAAGTCCTTTGGAGCCAATACAACGGGTTGCGGTTTCTCCACAAGTTTTAAATCACCAAGGGTAGCGATTTCCAAAGTACAGTTCTGTAAAGTGTCTGTAGTTTGATTGACAATGAGTACGTCAAGAACAATATCGTATTGATTAACATGGACATACGCTTCAGCATATACAGGATCGGAGAATCCAGTAAGCTGAGTAACCTTGTTAAGTTTACTGGTTGAAACAAGTTCTGATCCAGTATTGCGACCACCAACTAAAGCTTGCGACAGAGACGACTCGAAAATGTTATCGCCGAGCTCTCCAGACTTATCCTGATTTAACTGCAAGAAACTAATAGGGTCATCAGCCTGAATCTTATTGTTAGGCTTCTCTTTAGCCTTTTGGATGGACATATCTTCGAGTTCTTTGGCGAGCAGCATCTCGTTGAGTGCATTTCGGCACCGCAGATTGAAAATCTCGATAACTTTCGGTGAACGATCGGACAAAACTCGCAAACAGAAGAGAAGATGATCAGTATCATCATTTGTGATAGCCTTGGTGGGCAAGCCGGACTTTCCAAGGTGAATAATACCAGCCATGATTAGCATGACACTAGCATCAAACTTATTTTTCTTCTTGGCGTCCTGAGAACACTCAGCATACCTCAATGCCAGCTTAGTTAAGGTAGTGCCTAGACCAGCCGCAATGAAAAAGTCGCCATCCATCATGTACTGTCGCAAAGGCGGACGCTTTTCTTTCTTAGACACCTGGGTAGTATTAAATGCAGATTGAGTTGCGTAAGTGCCATCCGATGTAACCAGAGTATTGTTACTGCTTGTGCCAGTGGAAGCAGATCCTCCAGTTGCGCTATTTCCATTTGCAGCATTCTGTCCTTCTTCGGGGTTCTCACCGGCGTGTAATCGCTGTTCAATTTCCAACAACGGTCCATCACCCAACGTTGCATTAATCTCTCTTAAAACACATTCAATATCCGTGGCTGTAGTTGCATATTCACCCAAAATCCACAAGGCAGCTCGATGTATCTTAGAAGTCTTCACATCGCCAAACGACTCCAACAACTTTTCGATAATAATCGGCCTTAGATTTTCGAACTTTTGTATAGCTTCTCTTACGAAGATCAATACATCAGCCGCGGCCAATTCGTTAGTATCCGAAAGAAACTCGACCAAAACGGGAATCACCGTACTAGCAACATCGGGGAATTTAATACTGCAGGAGTGTAAAGTCCTTACAAGCAATTGTCGATACTTGCCGGTGTCTTCATGTTCAACATCATGTGTCTTAGCCACTTCCTTCTTAAGAACCAGCACCATCTCTTCGATATTTCTCGACGAAACCAAGTCTAACGCTAGATTCAACGTCTTCTTCCTAACTTCAAGATCGGGGCTTGCAAGGACACGTAGAATATCCATAACCAATTCTTGCAGAACTTTCTCGTGACTTGGATGGTCTTTCAACGCAATCAAGCGATCCAATACTATAAGTTTTACATTATTATCGCTTTCTTTAACTATCAATTCAATGTAGCAACTTGCAGCGGCACGGATAGCTGTTGGAGCGTTGGATAGAGTTATCAAAGTACCTGCGGCTTCATACCGTACAGCAGGACTACTTGAATTCAGTAAGTTGTAGATGCATCGGATGAACCGAGAGCGTTCGTTAGGGTTCGCATGGCAGACTTTATAAATCAACTCTACTATAACCAACTGTAAGATATCCCCGAAAGTATTCACCTGATCTAAGCATGAAGCTAGATAGGAAAGCGCACGGTCTTGATCAGCATGTAATAACATTAAGAATGCGTTACGCTTGCACGACATATCCTGCTCGGTTTCCAAGAGGGTGGCAACTAATTCAGGCGCGTCAGGGATGAGAAATTCAAAATTGCGGTAGATTGTAAAGATGGCCAAAACGGCGTTGCGCCGAACATACGAATGACGATGCTCTAGACAAACTCTGATGGCAGGCATCAGGGGTTCCAACAATTCAGGTTCTTTTAGTTTGCATAGAAAACGCAAAGTCGACCCACGCAAAAATTCATTTGGATGTTGTAAATCTTTACGATATGCATCACAAACAAGAATCATTTCTTGTAAAAGTTTGCCATCTGCAGATGTTTTAGGAACAATCTCCCAGAAAATTAGCAAAAGTTTTTTAATTGTGTGGTCTTGCAATGGAAGGACAAACCTTATGATTATCATCAGGACGCCGGGAAGACGCTCACCGGCGAGAATCATGTTGATTACCTTCTTTAATGCATCAATTTTTGTTTTGGTGTCACCTTTCTCAAGGTCCATCTTGAGTTGCATCTCATTGTTTGGCTCCGAATCAGAGGGTAGGTTTATAAGGGTGTAGCATGGCTGCTCCACGGCAGTCATCTTGACACAGTTGTTTTAAAACCTGAACAAAGTATTGTTTTATGAAAAGAACTTTTACATATTTGCAACGAACATTTTAGGCTAGGTTTTGATTTTGAGTTTTTTTCTTGTTGTGACAAGCTAATTATACTAGGTTTCAACTATTTACGCATAGAAATATGCATTTAATGAATAATATTTAATAAAAAGACTTACGTTTTATGGAAGTTCAATGGAAATAAATTAAATACGGACAATTACAATTTTCTTGTCGGCTACGTGTCAGTTGATGTCAGATGCTCTGCGTTTGCTTTTCATGTCAACATGTTGACACGCTTGCGCAAAATTAAATTGGATAGTTGGTTGCATAGTTTACAAATAATAAACTCATTAACTGTTAAACTAAATTAATTATAATGAAATAATACTAAGGAAAAAGTAAATTAAAATCTGATATATGTTTATGGTAAATAATTTAATTTTTATTTAATTATTTATACATTAACAAATAATTCTTAATATGTTCATATTGGGTTGCCTATACATTTATACGATTTATTTTAAACTTTATTTATGAAATACTCCTTCTAAAACTAATTTTACTTTACATTCAAAATATTTATAGGCAAAAACAATAAGAGGAAAACACCAACTTTGCTATCAGCTATTAATAATAATATTTTTGCATCGAATATTTAAAGCACAAATCGTCATTACAAATACAACTTTATTATAGTTAACAGTAAATATTATGAAATCATAATCTGAACATGCCAGTAGCGTGATCTGCTTCCGTGTGCCGGAATTCGTTATTATTAATTAAGTAAACAATAATATTTATAATAAATAAATAAGTAGATAATAGGTAGATGGATTGTCCTATCGCTTGCCGTTCATTGCATTGATTGTAGTTGACAGACAGATGAAGTACAAAAAGCAAAGGCAAGTGGAAGAATTTGTATCAATACATATCTGCAAACAAAAGAAAATGAAAAAATTATAAGGGAAAAATAATCTGATTGAATGTATAATGTAATATTAATCCCACATAAACGTCACACTTAATTTAACAATAAATGATTCATCGATAAAGTAAGCTAGCTATGTATGTATAACTTAAAAAGTAAAAGGAAATTAAATTTAAACGCTGATTAGATATACGTAAGTTGTTTAATGTGTATACGTGAATCTTACTTCATTAATAGTTCTGGTATTGTTTGTTTAAATTATTTAGCGCTGTTTATTCCTCCTCTTCTTCCTCCTCCTCCTCTTCTTCTTCCTCTTCCTCTTCATCGTCTTCTTCCTCATCGACCTCGACCTCCTCTTCTTCTTCCTCCTCTTCAGGTTCTGGTTCGGGGATGGGTTCCCTGATGACTTCGTCATCGTCATCGGCGGTCTGCTTCAGGTCCTCCTCGCCTTCGGGGGTCTCTGGGTCGCCGGCCTTCTTGCCAGGGCGTTCACCGAACCATTTTGGAAGTTTGCCTAAAAGTTTGCATTCAATCAATAGGAATCACCTAACAAAGATAGCGTAATGTGTTCTTTTGTTTAAATTTGTGCGACAGAAAATTGCACAGCGACATTTACAATGATCAAAACAAATATTTAACAATTAGTTAAAATTATCTTTTGAAGCTTATTTGAAGCAGCAATTATTATCAATGTAATTGATAATGTTGATAGAATTGGAATGAATGTGATTGTCTTACTTTTCTGTCTGGAATCGAACTGGCCGATCTTTTCCTTCCACGATTTCTCGTTGGTTTCCTTCTGGAATTCTTCAAGACCCTGCGATTCGTGACAAATTAACAAACGTGATAACGCACAACAAAGCATTGCATGATAACATAATCACAGATATTGGACAAAGGACAGACAGGTTTGCCGGACAAATGACTCAAAACCTTTTCTTTTTCTTTCATATAAATCTAGTTACCAAAGTTGGATGTTGAAGTGACTCCCGACTAAAAATACTCAATTCTTGAAATCAGGTTAAACCCACAAATCGTTAGATATTTTTAGTTCTCCGATTTTAGTGTCTATTTTCGATGTTTGCCTTTCTCTGCTTTTGGATGACTGTCAAGACCTTCCATGCAAAAGTAAACACGTACATAATGAACATGGCGGACGAAAAAATGAGCCACAAAACGTAACGAGTATTAGAAAAAACAAACACAGTGTGAAAAATTGTGTTCATTGCTGTATACTGTCGGTTGTTTTGTTTCTTTGCAGCTCAAACTTACGTCTCGACCTTTGCATAAAGTCGTCCTGTTTAGTTTTCCACGATTTTTCCATAAATTCCAACGCTAAACTATCATAACCCTGTTTGGCATAATTATCAAAGAGATCAATATAGGATTTCGGCTATACTGGAGGATTTGAAGAGTATTAGATCGTAATATTTTAGGGACTTACGCCTTCGAAGAGTTTCTTCTTGTCGTCGTATGACCTGGTGTCCACGCGACGCTCGTATTTGGAGGCGACCTGGATCTTGGGTGGGTATTTGCCGGTGAGAGCTTCAGGGTCCAAGCCCTTCTTCAAGGCCTTGTGTCTGAGCTGCTGCTTCTGTCTTTCTTTCAATTCTTTAAGCTATAGTAACAATACGTAAAATTTAGTGATATCTTGGTTAAGGCTTTGTTTCTTTGTTTCTTACATCGTAGTCCTGGCGTTTCTGCCTTTCTTCCAGATCGTATTTCTCGGTCTCCAGCTTGACAATGCACTCCCAGAGTTCTTGGGCCTTGACTTTGAGCTTGTCCTCGCTCAAACCATCCATCACCAAAGGCTTGATGCGGATGGAGAGGGAGATCTTCTTTTCTTCTTCAAGCTGTTCCTTGGTCTTGTTCCTCTCAACTTGGGCAGCACTAAGGTTGGACTATAAACATATCATAATTAAAATATTTTGATTTATACATATAATTTTGTTATTAATTCTTACAGAAGCATCTTTTTTGGCAATGGTGAAGTTGGGACCCTTGGTCTTGCTTTGGTCCTTGAGCGCCTGCATCATTGCCTGGCGTTTCTTCTCGGCTTCCTCGAGACGCATGCGCTTCTCTTCAATATCGCGCTGTTTCTTCTCCTCAATCTCACGGATGCGACGCTCCTCTTCCTGCTTCTTGCGCTCTTGTTGCTTCTTCTCTTCCTCGGCGCGGGTCACCTTGCGCTTGGCCTGCTTCTCCTTCAGCTTCTTGAGGTCGTCCTCTTCCTTGGAGCGCTGCTTGCGCCATTCCGTGATGTACTCACGCAGCTGCTCATCGAGATCGGACCTCTTCTGGTCCTGACGCTTGATGAATTCTGGATCGCCAGTTTGTTCCCTGTCGAAAGTTCAATATTAGTCGCAAATTCACATTTTATACTATAACTCTTAAAAAAGTCAACAAAAAACTTCCAGTTTGCACAAAGTCGTAAAAATAAACTCTTAAAATTCAGTGCAAAATTAACATAAAATTGAAACAGTTAGGAAGTCAAAAGTTTTCCCAAAATCAGGAAGTCGTGTAAGTGGTCACCAACGATCATCAAACAATTACGGTTAGGATTAGTATCAGGCAAGCAGAGCTGGCAGCGTTTAGAGGCGGCATTCGAAGCAGTTCTTTTGGGCGGGCGCAGATATTTTTTTGCAGACGTGCAGACGACTTTTGTGGTGGTCGCCGTCGTGACTTACTGTTCTTCTACGTGTCTCTTTTCGACGTGCCTACAGAGCGTTATTTAACGCGCCGGACGGACGCAGAGAAGGTGAGGTGAGAGATTTGGTGCACGAGCGGGATTTCACGTGCGTGTGCGTGTGCAGGTGTCACAAATCAAAGGGTGGTTCGATTCATACGATACGTAACACGTTACGATAGAAAAGAGAAAAAGAAAACATCACATAAATAACAAATATACCCAAAAGATTATATCAAATACGGACGAGTACAACAACATAGATATGTGTCATTTTGTCAATTGCATTAACGCGAGCAGCATCAAAATGGCCACCATTATTACCAACACAAAATGGTGGATTTGACCACAACGCCATTTGGATATGCTTTGCGTTAATGTCTTAATCATTATAAATACAACATATAAACACAAATTGGTAAATATTCTACTTGCACATTTTACATAACTACGACTTCACACTTCACATCTACGAGTTTGAGTTGAGGGGGCGTCAAACGTCACAAGTTGCGGTGGTTTTAGACAAAAACTAACTACGTATTTCGACACGCTCAAATCAAACCAAACTATTCACATAATTCGTTTTGATTTCAACGTTTCGATTTGATTTTTTATATTGTGGAGACGTGAAACATTTTCATTCGTATTTTTTAGCTGTTTCAGTAGGATATCAGTGAGATGGTACACAACAACACTCTAGCTTACTTACTTTCTGTAAAAGAAAGAGAAAATACATACTGTTAGATTAACTACGACTACTAGGTATCTAGACTACGTTCATGTGTGGTTAAGGTTAGTTTGTGGGCTGATTTTGCATGGAATTTGAGGAAAGTCAATAAAATTTTGCACGTCAAATTTTCAACATACTTACCACACGCGCGATTAATATCAAACACGCAACAATGCCAATTACAACCAAATCATCAGAAATCTTTCAATATTTTGTCTATTTTAGTAACGTGGATTCTACTGTTTTTGATGGTATTAGAAACATATCTTAATTCTACATCTACTAATCGAAATCAAAAAGCGTTGTGTGCTATTTGTGTGATATTCTACGATTTTTTCTACGATCAAATGGTACTTACGTCTCAACAACCTCCTCCTCCTCCTCTTCTTCGCTGTTTGTTAAAGAAAAAATCACAATTTAATTAATAACATGTACAGATCATTATTTATCGTGCCACTGGTAGCTATCAAGCAAACAATTAAAATTTAAGTTATGCAACAAGCACCTATCGAGCTTTAAGGTTAGTTTTGCGTTGCTACTTACGAGTAAACTTCTTCTTCGTCGGACATGTTGGACAAGGTTTTTATTTAACTCTGCAAAAATATATCTATTAGTCAAACTTGTTTACAGTTTTGTCTTGAAACGCAGTTAAATTGTTTTGTCTAAATTTGGCTGAGGAATACTTATGCCAAAGCTAATTTTATTCATTGTTTTGGCATTTCAAAATATTCATAATTATCTGCCATAAGATGATATAGTTAGTACCTACTTCAAGTTCAATTTATTTTTGGACACAATTGTTGATTGTGCGCAATACATTTTTGTTTGAGGTGATAATTGATCAACAATTACATTTTGACTTGTTGATAGGTTTATAAGAAGAAGCAGATAGCAGAGAGGAAACATGACATAGATATTTGATTGGTCCAGAGCACACACTCGGCAAATAAAGTTCATCTATTTATATTCGTAAATAATTTAAATATAAATACGTGATGCTAGCGAAAGTCTGCGTGTTAAGATCGTGAAGATGCGATTTGTTCCCAATACATGAATAAAAATCAAAGTTTTGCCAATGAAAGTGTTTTTCGGCTAAAAAAAATTGAAAAACTTTCGACATTCTATAAAAATCGCATGGATTGCGTGAAGAATTTGCCGGAAAATTAATTTGGCTACACGCACGCACACAGTTGAGCGGCGGTTACTTAATCGAGATGTGTGTGCGTGCGTGCGAGTGTAATCGCACACCAGCTGCGCCTGCACGGGCGACGGGCGCAAAGGAGGCGGCGGCCAGATTTCGAGTTCGTTACGCCAGACTGTATTTGGCATCGCCGGCGGCGCTCGTTTCTAATTCGGGAACGCGCGGACGGGATTCGCTCGTCCCAACTACGGTTACACGCCGCACCAAAAATCGACGCACGCGCGCAAATTAAGTAACTTAAGTCACTTTACCAACGCGGCTTAAACTTTAATATTTTACTTAAAATATTAATATTACAATAACAAATGTAATTGTTTATAACTTAAAAACAATTTTAGTGTTTATCTGCTCAACATACTAACTTAAAAGTATCTTAAGTCTAATTTTTATAAAATTTAAAGTAAAACTGAATCGTTGTTTTAATAATAATGTTGTTTTTCAAGAAAAAGTAAAAAAGAACTTTTGAAAGTTTGAAGAGCAAATAAATGTGTGTAGGGTACTTACAACAAAAAGGAAGATAAAAGAGCGGTCCAGGAGCACCACACAACCCAAGGAGTCCGCAGTGACTGAGTGGGAATGGCGACGACCGGGAGCTGGGGACGGCCGGACGATCGACCGGCGGCGGCGTGCGCCGACGCGACGCCCACGTCACCGCCGTCTTCTCGATTACTTCTTCGCGAGCCATATTGAAAAGCGCCCGCGCTCAGCCGGCTTATTCGTGCATTTTGACTTTATATAAATACACACATTCGGAGACGATTCGAAACGCGCGCTCTCTGCAGACACGCTTTGATTCTGCGTTTGACACAGTTTTACGAAATCTATGATTTCCTAGACAAGCATTACATTAACACATAATTAATCACATATATTTTCCTAAAAAACAATCAAATTCGCATACAATTTCACAAAAATAACATTTTTTCTAAAGTGTGAGGTTATTTTTAGAATATGTGTAGATTCCAAACGAATTTCTTATTGACCCGTTTGGTTTAGACCAAATCTAAACACATTAATGAAAATTTGGCTCTGGCTCGATTGCATCCTGCTCAACATGATTACACTCCTGCTATTTGCGAACGTAAACTTTTCGCAACGTAGGTTTTTCGCACCAGCTTGAGTTCGGATATTATTTCACAGCGTATTACGACGTCGTGGAGGTAATCGGTGCTCGCTGCAGTTTTGTCTTTTATCCAAAAATACAATCGCGCAGTTTCCATCGGCGCCCACGCACTTTCAACCGACGACAACGAAAATATTCGACGGGACACTTCTACCCAGCTTAGTAGCTCAGCTATTTTATTTTTGAAAAACATACATCGGTTAGACATTAGTTGTAAAGTCAATTTTTGCTAATTTCAAGATATTTTATTATTTCAACTTATTTTTATACGTTTTGATGTGAAAATAAAAATCTGTTGTTCACTACAATTTCACATATGATTACCGACATGATTTTCTTGCCAAAATTTAGGAATTTTCATAATTCAAACACATAGTAAAAGTACATTTGAATGAAATTTGCAACTTTTTAAGAATTTCGAATAAACAGAACTCCTGTTATTCTCTGGTTACTTCCGTTGAAGATTTTATGAGGTCCTTATACGGTTTCTGCCCACATTCCTAACACGCGACGATCCCAAACGATTAGCGGCGATGAAAACCGATATCCAAATTAGACGCCATGCTAGTTGGAAACTTTTAACGCCACATTGCACAAACAGGAACGTTTCAAGCCATCAAAAATAGTATATTTCATCAAAGTTTATTTGCACAGAGAGTATTACAAAATTCATTGCTAAGGTAACTATCAATTTCCATAGTCCACGTTAAATTACTATCCGAGAGGATTGTTACTGTATCGCTACTATCATCGTAGGTATTTGAGCTGCTTACCATGTTGCCAAATTCAAGAATTTGATTATCTAAAAATAAACAACAAATAAATACTTATATTTCATATAAAAAATAGATTTTTGCCTACTTAAATTCCATTTAAGCCCTTGGGTTTTCACTCTACATTTGCCTCCAATTGGTAACAATCCGCAACACCTTTTTTCCTCTCTGAGATTCATCGGAATACGAATTCTATGTTCGATTCCGGGTTTTAGCAGCCATGTTAAACTCGAAGCCGATAAAAGGTACACATTACTTTCGGTTAATAAATTTTGTGCTTTATACAAGGTGTTTATATTACTGATAGTCTGATCAAAGCGTCCTGAAAGGTCACACAAGACCAAAACGTGTGGGATCCGTAAAGAATTTAGCGTTTTGTAGTTTTCTAGCTGCATTAAAGCCTTGGTAAAGTCCGTTTGATTTTGGTCTAGGGTATAAACAATTTTACTCTCCGGACGCGATTGGAAATATTTAAGTGTTTGGGGTTGGATAGAATCCATGTCTCCTGTGATTAAATGCGGGAATTTCGCATTGCTGATTTTCGTTTTGGTCAGCCATTCCAACCATTTGTTTGTCCCACCGTCGACTGTGATTCTGACCAGTGCTATAATAAAATCAAATAAATTTATTTCCAGAATTAGCATCCAGGCGACATCTATCGGAAATTTAACGCAATTGTTAAAAACATAACAAAAAACACTACTAAAACGCAGATTTCATGGAAATACTAATAGATTCACTTACTATATTTACTAATATGTTTATTTAACTCACCCGAGTTCCATATTTCGACGATCCTCGCTGCGTGTGAATCTCTGAAGTTAATCGGAGTGTTTAACACTACCACCGCGTGTGTCAAACTGCGACGTTCAAATATCGTCCATAGCGATTCCTCCGATTCCTCAGTCATGTCAACGTAAACCCACCGCGTGGTCGTCTAATACTATACATAAATGGCATAAATAGAATATACATAACCTTCCTGCAATACGACCATTCCAAGTTTACGTGCGTTCAACGATGATAGCCATGTATTCCTGCTGTGTCGGGTCATATGGATGACCTTGAGCTAATGAACTTCGAACAAAATAATTCCTGCAACCGAATATCTAGCGCTACCTGTGGTTCACTAGCAGTAGTACTTAAAAGTTGCATACATTGTTCTCGAAGATATTGATTTTTCATGCGCATACATATTATGTAATATTTTTTCGAAGTAAATGCATTCATCTTCTTCTTCTTCTTTTGTAGGCATATTGCCTGTTCCTACTTCAGACAGGGTTTAGGTGGTCGCTCCATCTCTTTCGGGGTCTTCCCAGGGATCGCTTTCCCCTTGGCGATTTGTCCCTGGCTATTCGGACTATTCTGGTTTCGTCCATCCGTTCTATGTGTTCGTTCCACTCGATTTTGCGTCTTTTGCACCATTGTGTTATGTCTTCTATGTTGTTGCACGCTCTTCTGATGTCTTCGTTCTTTATCCGGTCGAGCAGTGTTTTGCCATCTATGTTTCTTAGTGTCCTCATTTCCGCGGTGGTGAGCAATCTCTGTGTGGTTGTCGTCTCTGCACGCGTTTCTGCCGAGTATGTAAATATGGGCCTGACTACTGCCTTGTAGATGGAAACTTTCGTCTCTGTTCTTAGATGTTTGTTGTCCCAAATCGTGTTCCTTAGGCATCCTGCTATTCTCAGGCCCTTTTCAACTTGCTCTGCTACTTCTTTTTCCACTCCTCCACTGCTGGATATGTTTATACCAAGATATCGGAACTCGCTCACTTGTTGTACGATTTGTCCATCGACTTCAAGTTTGCATCTTATTGGATGTGGTGCGATGACCATGCATTTGGTTTTTTCTGTTGCTATCTCCATGTTGAGGGCTTTGCTGGCAATGTTAAACTGGTGAATCATGCGTTGTAGGTTGTCTTCGCTATCGGAAATTAGCACGGCATCGTCCGCGTAGCACACAACTTTCAGCTCTTTCCCCCCCATCTGGTATCCTTTACAGCGTCGGACTCTTGCAATTATCTCTTCCATGATGAAGTTGAATAGCAGGGGGCTTAGGAATCGCCTTGTCTTACCCCTGTTCCTACTTTTATGGGGTCTGTGCGTTGTTCGGCTATTGCTAGTTGCAGTTCGTTGTTGTTGTAGATGTCCCTTATAGTATTGATGATATCAGATGCGATGTTTCTTTTCGGAGTATGCTGGTTATGTCTTGGAGCTGCACTCTGTCAAACGCTTTCCTTAGGTCCACGAAGGAAAGAAAAGCCGGTTTGTTCCACTCCACGGCTTTTTCCTTCACCTGTCTTATTATGAATATTGCGTCGTTACAGGACCTTCCTTTCCTGAAGCCCTGTTGTTCGTCTGATAGTGTGGTGTGTGCTAATATCTTGTTCGCTAGTAATCGAGTTGTTAGTTTCAGGGTGGTGTTTAGCAGAGCTATTCCTCGATAGTTGGATGGTTCTTGCTTATCTCCTTTCTTAAACATCATTATTAGTGTGCTCAATTTCCATTCAGTTGGTACTCTCTGATGCTTCAGGATGATGTTGATAAGTTTCGTAATTTCGGCCGCGAGCACTTCTTCGCCGTATTTCAGGAGGTCATTGGGTATTCCGTCCGGGCCACTGGCTTTTCTGTTTCTGAGTTTAGCGAGTTCTGTTTCCACCTCAGATATGCTTACTATGGTTGGTTCATCAGGTTCAATGCATTCATGTACCGCAAAATTAATTTTCACATTTATGATATACTGTTGTGTGCTTGCTTGCATAAACATGTGTAATTATGCGGAGAAATGCGCGTGTTATTTCCCTGATGATGTATCATTCCGAACGTGACTTTCGTTTCGACCCGGCTTAATTTATGTTCGTGTACTTTTTGCGCAACTAACAATTTTTTATGTGCAATGATATATTTTAATGCGGAGATATGAATTGCACTCCCGCAAATGTTAAAATAATCGTTTTTAAAAAATGCCACCGATAAAAAGTGCACTAATATAATAACAAATGTCCTCGGGTTTTACATTTTCATTGTTATTAAAAATAGAATGCATGCTATTTACACTTGGCACGTGGTGCACTGTAAATTGATAATGCAAAATTGGATCAGTTTTGCAATAGGTTTATTTTTAAAGTCATCGTAGAGTTGTGCGGACGTGGATTTTAATTAAAGTAATGTTTGACTTGCACGTACTATAGATACTTAGATATTTTTATGATAAGAACTGATAAGTACTGATATTGCGACAACTAAAAGTGAAGTAACATGAACATGTTGTGAATCTAAGCAAACAACAAAATACAAATCAAAACGTTGGGTTTATTATCATCAAAATATTATCGGTATTAAAAATATTTGTCTTTCGTAAAAACTACCGAGCGTCATAGTATTTTACAAATTTTAAATGAATTATTAAAATGCAAATAATGCAAATAATTATTTCTTTATAAATTTAATATCGAATTCAAAGTATTAAACTTATCTAAATCCCTGGAATATGTTTCCATGTTTTGTTGACAAATATTGTAAGACGTAAATCCCACAGATTACAATTATAATCTGAATGTTTACATAATTATTACTTTATATTTGCTTTTAAATTAACATACATTATTTAATTGTGCTCTCAATTGTCACATTCTCGAATTAATTTAATCACTACACTCGGTAATGCTAATTATATCTTATGTGTTTCCGATTTCCAAAATTTCAAGGAAGATTAAAAATTTGTGGTAATTTAATTGGGGATAAACATATTGATTATACCTTAATATGACTTTAGTGATTTTTTCGGTACGTTTGACTTACTAGTCATGGCCATTCACTGCCGATAACATTTTATTATTCTAATGTTTGTCGAATCTGCGGTATTGCACAGAGTTACGTCGTTTTAATAATGACCTAGTCTGTTGGGCCTTGCGAATATGTGCGCGGATAAACTTTGACTTGGTTTCGCCAAATTGATTGCTTTCTCCAATGCCAAAGTCGCTGAGTTTTGCGCTGTGCGCCACGCCGAATTCATGAATATTTAGGACTTAAGAGCGCTTTAAAAGCCATTAATTAACACCGCGTTTTTATTAATAAAGTGAAGTGATGATGAAACCGCCTATTAACTTACAGATAACCTAATCGATTTGGTATTATAATCACTTTATACTAAACTAGTGTAAATATCCATAAAATTATGAAATAGTTTTACATTTCAAGTGTTTCATATTTATATAGTCGCAGTACATTTATGTCAAAGGAAAGTAGTTAGTAGTAATAGTTATTTTCAAATTGCTGGATAACTAATAAAATGACATGAATGATTTATTCAAAAATTAATTTAATATTAAATTATTGATGTAATCATTTAACGATAATAAAAAAATACGATTTCGAAGCAATAGTTTCAAAACAATTCGAAGTAGGTATGCAATATAGTAAGACGCACACAATAATAAACAACGTAACCTTATCTAGAAAATGTTTTTTTCCTTTTTTCCAATTTAACTACTCCAAAGCAAAAAAATTCAGAATTTGAAGATTACAATCGCTCCAGGCGTTGTGTTTGGTAGAAATTATTTTATATGACTTTTTACTTAATTCAATTATTAATTGTCTAGGTTTATTTTTGGTTTTAATTAAGAATTTAGGATTAAGTATAATTATTCACAAATATTAGCATTAAATATACCTACCTTCCACACAAACTTTGCAGTGACGGTTGCGTTGTTCAACTTTTCATAATTTAGTTTACTTTACATGCAGGTCAATAAAGTAATATTATTTGCATTTAAAAATAAGAAGTGTGATGAAAGTGCACACGTGTTTGTCAACTGTTAAAATACATAAGCAATGACTTTATATATTTCATAATTCTGTGCTTAGAACATGATACAAGTTGATAGTTGATAGCAATATTATGAGGCATGAACTTACAACATCCAATTTAGTATTTAGTTTCCGTTGGGACTCAACAAGCGTCGAATATTCTACGCTCTGTAAAAGTCGCAATTATTTTGAATTGCCGCTTGCGTTGCATTGACAAAAATGTATAAAACAGTGATGCACCGTCACTAACAACTCTAACGGCATGAAATAACAACCTAGAAAACAATATAACGCAATAATATAATTGTTATAACATGTCGATTGTACATGTAACTGGTTTAAAGGATTAATGTATAAGAAAATTATTTAAAAATATAAAGAAGCTTTACATAATATATTATTGCGATCAATAAACCTTTGCCTTGAACTCAAATTACTGTTGATATTTGATGATATGTTTTATAAAAGTAATAATAATTTGCAAAAACATAAAAGTACTTGGTTTATTTTTATGAGCCGGCCAATGTGTGGCAATAAAATAATAGAGAAACAAGTCAACAAGAAAAAAATATTACTTAAGCATGAAGAGGACTTGAATTAATTCGAGTGTTGCTTAATGTGGAAATAATTATGACGTGCGTGTAAGTTGGTAACATGGAGCTTAACATGACATAAAGTTTTAGTATAGAAATTTCTCTGTAATAAACTTCACATCACATCACATCACATCATCTATAACGGTGCGTAATTAGCTGTAACTGTAATACTAATGGATGGGATTGATCGAATAATTTATCTTGTTGTTACTTTGTTGTTTCTAGTAATATAAGTACAGTACAATTTATAACGATGGTTCAATTATAAATGAACTCCGGTCAGAAATTGACTTGCTAATTTTGATCAATGACTTTTATTCATTTTGTTCCGATGCACGTAGAAATTTATACTTTTAGCGATTCATGTTGATATTTTATTAATTATTATAGTTTTTGACAATATTCCCAATCTCAAAACAAACAATATTTGAATGCAATCATATTAATCTTCTTAACATGTACTTTACACCTTTAAATAACAAGGGAGAGTATTTTTTACAATAGGTCAGTAAATGTGGGTACTTGTGATTCATTGATTTTTAATGTCACATGAATAAATAATACAATATTGTAGACAAAAAGGTTATGAAACTAAAAATTTTGCACGCAATCGCGAAATAAATATTAGCATGAGTAAACTTCACACTTAAAATTTTAATAACATGTCTAGCCCAAAAATACATCTACTTAAAACAATTGTGAAAACGTTTTGAATGAGTTAACATTTTACATAGCCTACGAGTCTTGCATGTCAACACTTTCTATAAGAATTATCTTCGGTTATTAAACACTTCACCTTTTGTTTGCGCCTCGCGTAACTTTTACCACTTTTTATGTATTATTTGCGAAACGTACCAGAAACGTTCTTTAAACAAATTAGAAATATTTTATGCTAATACACTACAAATAATTTTTATAGTCACTTTCGTTTTATATCCTTACATAAAATCAAACATTTTATGCGTTTTGAACTCATTTAATGAACTATAAAAAAATTGTATTATTAATTAAGTTAAGTTGGTAATGTGTAGTTGGGTTTAAACAATTGGTAGGTATGAAACTAGGTTTCGATTGTGCAAGTCATGAAATGGCATGTCAAGTCGAGAATATCTCACTACTATTATTATCAACGGGAGACATAAAAGGCACGTACAGTTCTATTTCCACATGTAGTTCAATGTTAACCTATTTTGAAGAATACGTACTTAAGTACGCTTCATAGACGATGAGTTTTCGTTTTGATTTGTGTATTCAGTATTCAATTATTTGCTATTCAATTCAAATCTCCAGAATGATTTTTCAAATAGATGTGGGTTAGAAAGCTTTTAAACTTAAGTGGACAATCAAACAATTAGAACTATTAAATGCTAAGATAATTTAAAGCATTTTACAAAGCATTGCGTGACATATATTAGGGATTCAAAAATAATCAAAAAAATATAATAATAGGTATAGATCAATTTCGAAAATTAAATAACAACAGGGTACAATTTTAATGATTTATAACGTTTATTTGAATAATTTAATAACCAAATTCTTTACCAGATTAGTTATATATATATATATATTGAATAAGTGCGTTGTAACTATAGGATTTTAATCATTTAAAGTTGATTTTACTGCGAATTATTGAAGTTCAAAGCACAAGTTTATCGATTACGCTTCGTTGACTTTGTTGTGCATGCGATTACGTATAATCAACGCATGTGATGTGTCTGCAAACACATTTTAAAGATAATCTGAAGCAACAAGTTGAAATTACAAATATCTAAGAGCTCGCAATCATAAATTTTCACACAATATGTTGATATTTGATATATTTATGACTTTTCATTGAAATTTATGGGTTTCTTAGTAATATAACGCTCAATAAACGTCATAAAAGTCATAAATCTTTATAATTTTACGAAGTGTAAAGATATGCACTTAAAATATCAAATAGACTAGCAAAAATTTTCCATGGTTTTCAAATATTTGCTTGAGAGGGACGCGAGTATAAGTATTGATACACACTCATGGATACATTTTTGTAAGTCTGTCATGCGCATCAGCACTGATGCACAAACGCATTCTGCTCAACAGTTCAGGCATGCGTAATTCGAGCCGACTCAGCGAAACTCCACCTCGTTTAGGCCGGAACGGCCCAAGTTGTCAGCCAAGCGGCTTACCAACCAGTTGTAGCAACACGAAGAACACATCGGCGTAGTTTGCGCTAGCGGGTGCGCGGCGTGTTTTTATTACTGAGCGTAGATACGCGACTTCCGAATTAAAATACACAAGTATCACAAGTTGAGCCGATATAATCGCACCCGCGTCGTCGCTGTGCAGCTTGCTCAGTCACTCGCTAGTCACTCGAGCAGTAGCCGATTAGTGATAGTACAAAATAAATCGGCAGCGCACGCGACCCGTCAGTTTCGATCATTGATGCGACGCGCACGCATTCAACTACTTGTTAAATTAAACAAGCTTAAACCCTTCAAGTGTCTCAAGTGATTTAATTTAATAAAAATTAATACAATGCCTGAGTGTAAAATTAAAGAATTGCCTTCGCTGTTAAGCGAAGCCCTTGGAGAAGAAATTGAAGTTTTAGAAGAAAAATCGAAATTCCTCACACCACCCGGTGAGCATTATGGCAGTATAATGCTTAGTTTGGATGTGGTAATCCGGAGAAGTGCGTCAGGTAAAAGTGAGACCCTTAATTTGGTGGCCAAGATGCCTCCGGCGAGTGAAATGCTCAAGACGTGCTTTGATATTGGCGTCACCTTCAAAAAAGAATTGGATTCCTATGCGATTATGATCCCTGCACTACAAGAATTCCAACGTGATTACAACGTCCCAGAAGAGAGAATCATCGATATCTTTCCCAAATATTACGGGGGACGGATTAATTTAAATGGATCGGATGTAGTCGACGATGATGCTCTGCTACTGTTTGAAAACCTCAAAGTCAAAGGTTACGACACTGAAGATAGATTCATAGGCTTTGATTTAGAATCAGCGCAGATGATTGTCCAAGACTTGGCAAAGTTTCACGCTATTCCTATCGCAATGAGAATCTTACGACCCAATGATTTTAAAGAGAAGGTTGGACCTACAATTGTGCCAAATTCCGGGATTGAAACCTTACCCGAGGAGGTGGGCTCAGCTTTCGTTGATAGTGTAATTGAAGTTTCGAAAACCATTCCGGAACTTGCAAATTACCTCACGAAGATTCAGGAAAACGTTCGGATTGCTGAGGAAAATGCGGCAAATAAAAATATCCCACCTCCAAATCCTATCTACGCCACCGCAGCTCATTCGGATTACTGGGTCAACAACACCATGATTAAAAAAGATCCCAAAACCGGAAAAATCGTCAGTAATAAAATGGTAGATTTGCAGATTATGCAATACAATTCTGCATTGGTGGATTTGGTTTTCTTCCTGTTTACTTCTGTGGTTAATGAAGTATTGGACGTGCATTGTGATGCCCTTATCAAGTTATACTATGACACTTTTATTGAATACCTCAAGGACTTCAAAGTTGATCTAGCGCCGTATAACTGGAGCGATTTCCTTCAAGAAGTTGATTCTTGCGCACATGCCGAATTTTATCATGTGGCTTTCATGCTGAAACCTATTTTCACGGAAAAGGGCAAAATCAACAACCTGGCGGAATTCCAGCCAAGCGACTGGGGCAGAAGAGACCTTATCGGGGACGCGCATCGTGATAAGCTACGAAAGACGATGCTAGCGTACGCCAAAAGAAATTGGTTGTGATCGTGACCTTCAACACGTCGCAACCTTCCATCAATCATGACATTGACAAGAAATGGCATTGGGCATTGCCAAATTTGACATTTTATCAATATCAACACCAATGTTTAATATTTAATTCATGTATGTTTTATTGACTCGATTGTTTTTAAATTACGCACGCATTTCATTCATTACTATTAGTATGCATACATAATTTTATTGGTGAACGTCCGAGCATGACAAAATGAAAAGTATTGACGTCACACGACGCGTCGTGATTAAAATTTCGTACACTCTACGAAACGATTTATATTTTGACCGCATGACCATCATTTTGACATCATCACTGTTTTCTTGATTGTTCTTATATAGCTTTAAATAAATAAATAACATTTTAGATATTTACCTTTGTTGACTTTGATTTAAGTAGCGTGCTGGTATTGCGTTAATGACATTGATATTTATTACTCTTGAAGCACTTGAGGAATGCGCGTTAACAAAATTGACTGGTGTCAATTTGTCGGTTTTATTCAACTGAGGAAAGTTGTGTTAAAATTCATATTTACACAATGATTGTGTAATACGCAAACATCTATTGAGATTTGAATATTTTACATCAGGTACGTATAATTTATTTATTGTTGACTGTATAGTGTGAAGAAAGAATGTTGAAACGCCGACATTTAATTAATGCCAATTATTGTTTTTCCTGTTTTCTGTTGATTGCGAATTTCTTTAAATGAGTGTTTTTTATTTTGTATTGTTTATATTGTGGATGTTATTATAATATTGTTGTTCGTCTGTTGTGTTAATTTTTACAGAGTATTAATCGCCGTTTCAATGGCACACGGATGGTAAAAGCGAGTAATTGCGCCGAGCCCACAGACGCAATTAACATCAATTGTCGCCAATAATGCACGGCGGGTCGAATAAACGATGACGATTGCCGATAAACGCCGGAGCACGTCATGCGCAATACTCTGGCTAATTACTTAATGTCGGACGTTGAAATTTGTTTCGAATTAGTGTAATTAGGATACTGTGCAAAATTTTAAACTCACTAGCTTTATTATTAGTCTTATTATAATGATATAATGGTTTATTTTTGCCCGGTGCGATTTACAGGTGAGTTTACTGTGTTTAATTCTTACTTAGTCGCATTTATTGGTTATACTGGATACTGAAAAGTTGTGTAGTGTTATAAAATTTTGTTTGTACATGATTACGGCCTTGGTTTGGTCTGTTTATCAATATGTGTCAAATTCCAGAGTTTATGCGTTATCTAATGCTTAAACGAAATAATATTTCTTGTTCACATTAACCAAAATGTTATATTTTCATGCAGGAATTTATATTATTTGCTGTTCAGGCAACATGTAAATATAAATGAGACAAAAGTTGAAAGCACAGAGCTCTTAGGTTAACTCAGAAAAAATCTGTAGAAATATTGCGTTTGGAAAGCTTTTATCTTTTGCTTTTACTGTAAGATAATAAGAAATTTATAAATTTAGTTTAAAAACATCTGATTTATCAATTAGCTGGCAGTGGTGATTTAAATTTGCTACTATAACCCTTCAAAGCTTCGGAAAGCTGAACAGTTGCAATAATATAAGTGGTCAGAATATTAAACAGAATAAACATCGAACGATTATCTATACTAAACAATTTTCCAGCTATAAAATGCGGTCGAATATTCGTCACCAGCATAATTAAACATGAGAACTGTGCTTGCAACATATTTGGGGCTTTTTATAAAATATTATGCGGTTCATCGCTTCTGTTGAGATATCAGTCGTCGAAGTAGCTACATCTACGACACTCTCGCATTTCACAACAATACAAATCCATTGTATCTGAAATATATACGGTTTTATCTAAATGTGCGACAAAACACAAGAAACTTACCATAAGTATAATCAAAACCAATCCTTCTACAATATTTGGCATACTTTCAGTGTTATCTTGAGTGTCAAACATTAAAAACCTGTATACATAACTTATACACTGAAATAATATTGCAAAGACCATCGTGCTCGAAAATGAACCGAATAACTTATTGTAAATGTTCACTGTTTTCATTACAATAAGATATACTTTGATTAAATCCAAAATATCCAATGGAAATAAATTGTTTACACCAGTATTACTCATATTTTCATTGTAAGTCATTCTCAAAACTCTTGTATTTGTAGAATCACATTGGAATGTTTTAATAATTTTATTTAATATCTGTACACGTAATTTTAGAGCTTCCAAAATAGTCAATGCGATGATAACGTTAAAAAACCAGTAGTAATATGTAATAACTGAAATAATCACCACTACATGTGGTAATCTATCCCAATAAGCAATGATAAATAGACATACTGCACATGCGTAAACTATATGTAAACATATACATCTAAAAATGCACCAATTATCATTTACGACAATTTCACGTTTTTAACAGGGTGTCAACTAGTTGAAAATATGTTTTCATTTCGTTATATGATTCAGTATATAGTACATTATTATACAGCACAGGTATAGAGACTATCACTGCTAAAAGTATATTAAAGAAAATTAATAATATTATGTAGATTATTGTGACGTTATCAAAATCTTCAAATATTGCATTTATAAGAATATATGCAGGATATAATCCATTGCATATATGTATAAGAAACTGCATTGATGTTATTAGTTTGTACGTTTTTGGCCATTTTTTAAACAATTTGCCAGGTAAGATTCCACAATGTTCCGGGATACAAAATATTATACTATCCATTATATACTTTGTTGACTAACTTCAGCCAGATTGTTAGGTTTATTAACTAGTAACTTTTATAAAATCGATAGTTATGATTCGGAGTAGTTTTGTCTATTATAGTAATTTATTTACTACATTAAACATTTATGTCTATATTTATAAAACTTTGTTTGGGTATTGAGTAAACAATAAACAATAGTTGGTAAGTGTTTATTAAATGTATTTTTGCCTAGAACAATATAAACTTGCTTATATAGGTCAGGTATTGCTGTGTAAAGTTGCGTGCGGTGGTATGACAATTCAAAGTTAATTTAATAGCGTATTGTGGGTTAGGTGGTGTTAGTCAGACAGAGATCACTACACTCGTACCCAATCCAACACGTAGGGACTGTACGTGGCACGAGCCCGAATTAAGTATGAATTGCCATACGTTACCACAGGTTTCCATTTTTGTCAGTGCCGGATATGTACTTAATTATATTAAAACGATTTTGATATTTTATGTACGGTTTTTTCTACAGTGGTGGATGAAATGTAAGACGATTACTTCTAAAAGATTGAGAAAATTGAACAGTTGCTATAATGTAAGTGGCAGCTATGTTAAACAAAAGCACAATTGCTCTATAGTCCATATCAAATAATTTTCCAGCTGTAAAGTTCAAACGGTTAGTTGTCACCATTTCCGCCAAAAACTCAAATTGCGTTTGTAATTTTTTTGATTTATTGGACATTTTTATTCGATTTAGTGTTTCTACTACAATGTTTACTGTCATATTTGCTTGGTTTATTACACTTTGACATTTTACCACAAGTATAATCCATTGCACCTAAAAAAGTTGCAATGCTTGTTATTTTAATAAATAATTTGCTTAAAAATTTGCTTACAGTGTGTGATATCATGTTAAGATTTTCCGCATAATTTGATGCATTATCAGAATCATTCGTAAAACTAACAAATCTATATATAGATGAAACATATTCAAATAAATTGAGAAGAGCTAACGTGCCGAAAAATATGCCGAATAACTGATTATAAATGATTACAACTTTTATGATGTGGTTATATAATTGTATTAAATCGAAAATATCACTTTTGAAATAAATTTTATAGATTGTGTTATCACGTAGCTGCGAATTATTCTGAAAACTGTTTTGGTGCAAAGCACTGCTGATAAATTTATTGAAACTTTTTAAATGTATTCTTAGACTCTCAAGAATTTCCCAAGCAATGGCCACCTCCAGAAACCAAAAGAAACACGGAAATATAAATAAAACGTTGATTATATTAGAGAATCTATTCCAATATGCAAATGTGGCCACACCAAAAACCCAAAAGAAACTTGCATAAAACCATAAAAATCGAAACGGTAACCATTTATTTTCTATATGAATTGATCGCTTTTTTAATATAGCGTCTATTGTTTGGAAATACGTTTTCATTTTGACATAATCATCAGGATATAATATGTTATTATAAAGCACTGGTACCGCTGTTTTCATGGTGTAAAGTATATTAACAATACTCATTAATGTCATGTAAATTTTTGTTGGATAATCATACTGTTCTTGCAAAATTGGCATAAAAACGTCATACGTTGATTGTAGTCCATTGTATGTATTAATTAAAAAGATTAGAGCCAAAATAAATTTATAAGGTTTGGGCCATTTTTTATACAGGCTACCTGGTAAAGTACCACACTTTTCAGGAATAGAAAATATTATATTATCCATGATTTTACGTCAATTTTCTATGCGTTGTTTTACTCATATGGCTGAATTTTGAACTGAAACAATTGTCTTCGCATATTTATAACTATAAATATGTTTACCTATTATTATTTACATATTTTATAGACTTGTATATTTGTTCGTGCTTTAAATTGCAATATCGATTTTGTCTTTTAATCGATATTAATATTTTCACTATTAACTATTAACAGTAAAAAGCGATATATTTTTCTTTACAAAATATATTTTCTGAACAAAGACTTCTTAAAATATTTTACTTATACATAATGATATACACATAATTATCGTTTGGAAACATAACTAACATAAATTTGGTTCTAAAAAAATAATGAGGATTTACAATTCAGTTCAAATATACACGATAGGAAAAATATTTTTGTCATACGTTTAGTCATACACAAATGTACATTCACTGCGAAAAAGAAATAATAAGTGTTAAGAGTTAAATATCTAAATATCTAAACATCGTTAATCTTTAGATAATCATCCAGCCACCTCTCGATGACTGGAAGATTTTCATTACTCCATTTCGTTTCTTCTTTGATGTTCTTGAGCGCCTTCTCAATGACAAAATCAGCGGTTCCGAATTCACCTTGTTTCTCTAAGTATAACTCAGAAACCATATCCAGACCTTCTTGTGTTTTGAATACTGTGGTAGCTGATGTGATTAAGCTGTTCCAAAGGTGCGGTTTGTTTTCAAACCTGCAAATAAATCATTAATTTTTTTTCTAAGTAAAATAATGATTTAACGAGAGTGACAAGTTAAGTTATTATGCGCAAAATTGTTGTAAACAGTATTTTTTCCGGTCTGCATCATCATGAATCATTATTATCATTGTATAATAGAATTTTAACGATTTATGTGCTTCTAAAAGGTTGTCGTGTCACCCGTCATTTAGCAAAATTAATTATTCCGTCAATTGTTTTGGATGTTTCCTATTATATTTTGTTTGATGGGACATAATCGGAGGAAATGAGACACTTTTATTGTTGTACAACTAGAGCCAAGGTCAGACATTTAAAACAATTGGTGCAATACTGACCTGACTTTGATGACATCCCAATTCTTCTCGAGGAAATTAAACAATGTGGTGTAACCACTTGCTCCGCCGGTCAACATGCTGAAGATGAGATACACATCATTATCGGTGAAGTTTCCGTTTTCTTCCAAGACAGTTATATTCAGGAGTTTTTCGATCTTCCAGGCGTCAATTGGACAACCCGCGAGCGTTTTTAGAAGATAAGTGCGTTCATTCGCTTTTCTTGTCGCGGGGAATTTGATGATTCGCTGTAGACCAAAGTCCCACTCTTCATTGGTACCCCATTTGAATACAGGACAAATGTATTGATTTGCTACTCTGAAAAACATAAAAAATCTAAATGAATAAAGTGGGAATATAAAAAAGGAAACATTTACGGATTGCCTTCATCTGGATTATCACTCTCCATCCATTTCCTAAACGCTGCTTGAGCTTCATCAATACAGGGCTTGTAACCAGCTTGACATAAGAACACCTTTGATGAACTTCTAAGATGCGCTCGACCATCAGATTCCCCTTCTTGTGGCTCATTGCCAAGTTCTTCGTATAATGGAGTTAGAAGTAGTCTAACGTAGGACTTCAAAAAATCATTATTGATTTGAGGTTAGGTTTGTATAAGTCAATCGGAACCTACCTGGAATTTCTTATGCACTTCTGAACTATCGATATGTCTCCCAATGTGATCAATCATAGTAAAGACAGGATCCCAAGCAATGTAATCCCTTTCGTATCTTAAGAATAATGTCATGTTCAAGGCGGTACCAAAACATAAATCACCAGCATAGGCAAGATTCCACGCATCATGCAATAATTTAGCTCGGGTATTAACTGGAATCGTTGTTCGGACCTTGTTATCAGCTAGATACTGTGCCAACATGTTCCAGTTATCATTGTCGTATAATACCGGGAAAGGCCCGATTTCCTCTGGATTTATTATAATAAATTTATTGGATTTAGGTAGGTCAGTTACTGTAATTTGTCGCTCTTTTTTCATCCATACTGTGGGTGTAGAGTTTGTAAAATTGAGTTTATCTTGTCTGATCATCACAATAGGGATCCACCATAAGAACTTTTCTTGATCTGGTACGTCATGTGGCCGTTCTCGAAGGTACACCCTCTGGTGGATAGTCGCTGTGTTATCTTGATAGTTTCTAGTGACGTTTACTACTGGTAAACGGTCTTTGGTAATCCAACTGGCTGCAATTTCATTAATAGACATGGATGGGTCCAGGACACCATCATTTCTAGCTTGTTCCGTGAAAGTGGACCAAATGTCGTCACCAAAGAATGTTTTGAATTGTCTGTCGGCCATGAATTTTTGCATTGCATGTTTGAAAGTGGGTTCTCCAAGTGTGTAATTGAGCATACGGAAAACAAGTTCAGTTTTCGTCGAGGCAGAATCTTGCTTGATTGCTGTTGATTTGCCATGAGGATATCTCTTACTGAATTCATAATAAATTGAGTAAAGCATGGTAATGGGCCAGTTGTTGTAATTCTCCGTGCCATCCAAGAGCTGAATTGTAGTGTAAGCTGTCAAGTAACGTGCAAGTGCGTGGTTTACATGGGCATCACTCCACCAGAAGGGTGTGGCCATGGCACCAAGCCATTGATAGACCAGTTCTTGAGCAATATGCCAGGTGGTCTTGCTGCCAAGCTCACTTTCCCTGAAATGAACATTTTAATATTGTGGTCTTATTTGTTATAATGAAATGTATACTTGAATAGAATTAATCCCCAGTTGTCAGCAGGTCTTGTTGCTTGGTAATTTGGCAAAGCTAAGCAGTCTAATTTTGGAAACGGATATGACGTGCCCCAAAAGTCTTCCAAAATTTTCATAGACTTCACAATCTTCTTGCCAGCATCTTCCAAAGAACTTATGTAATCAGGTCTGCCCCATACTTTGACTTGTAGAACGCATTTCAAAGCATCTTCTGTCGATGTGTTGTAGATATAGGAAGCAAAGTCGGTTACAACAATTCCAACAGTAAAAGTACTCATAGGAGGTGTTTCATCAAAGTGGTCCCAAACCCATGACGGGTTTTTGTCCCTATACAATATAGACACATTAATACAACGTTTAAAAAACTTTTTGTTAAAAACCTTACATATTAGAAGTTGATTTTAATGGAGTATTGGACAAAGCAACCATTTTTCTTTGTCTAGCTATACTGATCTCAAACGGGACCTTGTATGCTGGTTCATCAAAACAAGGGAAGACACGTCTTGCCAGATTAGGTCTCAGATGGGAAGCAATGTACCATTTCTTCTCGTTAGTCTTTGAATCGATGTAAAAATGCCTAAAAAGACCTTCAGACGTATCATTGAAGAGTTTTCCGTTAAACCTAAGAGTAATTTGGGCTTGAGTGCCCTGTCCATATTCTTTATCTAATTTTATGACCAGTAAGGGTTTCTTAGGGGTTTTGGTTATTTCTTTAACCGCAACAGGAGTTGGTGGAAGAGGAGTTGAAGAAAGTTTCTCCCTAGAATAACAATAAAGTTAATTGAAGTTCAAATCGAAGAAACCAAAAGTTACGTTTCATCATCTGGAGCAAATTGTGTGACTAGAGTTTCAACAATTTCTAACGCCGGATCAGCGTGAAGAGTAATCTCGTCGGTCCTTTCAACCCATGTGATGTTAATTTTAACTGTTCCCTTAAAGTTCCCGTCATTGGGGAAGGGTTGAATTTCAAGTTTGTATCGATTAGGGATAACTTCTCGTGGTAACCTGCCGTCTGAGATTAGACCATGAGCTGCGATTAAATCAATACTTCGTTTTCCTAACGCATCCACCTCCAGAAGAAACAACACCGCTGGCAACAGCAGTAAAAGTTTCTTTGCAGCCATAATCTAAACAAAAATAATACGTTTTTCCAAAGTGAAGATGGACATTTAATATAGGCAACTACATATACATATTGCTCCAAGCATACATTGCCATTCCTTTCATCCGCATACTAATTATATTAATTACCCAACTGTTTATCACCAGTGCGTGCATCAGCTGCACTATATTTACATAACAATTAAATTCACCACGTACGGCACGTTATCTCGCTCCGATATAAACACGTCTATGTACTTACACTAAGCATATTATTATGCAAACAAAACCCGCTAATTCACTTGCGTTGCTGAAGCGCAAGCATGACTTTAGTATTAACCACCACATGGCGTGATATGATTCATAATATTATATCGGCAGTTCATCGATGAAATCCGATAAAAGCTAAATGTGCTTAATCGTGTGCTTATAATTAACTAAACTTAATAATACAATGACTTTGTTGTTGCGCTAATTTCTCTTCTCGCAGACAAACGTGCGCGACGTTGAACGAAATTGCGCTCGGCAAATATTTAAATTGAGAGATTGTGTACCTAGCTCGCTCAATAGAATCGTTTAAACATGCACACTCGTCGGTCGTGGGTGTTGTTTAATAAGAAAGTCAATGTAAAAATTAGTTGCATAGTGATTTAAAGTTCTGGTGTTCATTTTTGGTGTCGGGATTAGATTTTTCAACAATATGATTGTAAATTTTGTTTTTATTTTAGTGACTCTACGATGGTCTTATGCTGAAAAAATGGTAAGGCCTTTAAAAATATATAATTTTTAAAATAAAAATTCAAAATTTCAGGCATGTCCAACAATTTCACAAATTGTAGACTCTGAGGAAATAAAATGGCAAAGTTACAAAAATTCTGTGGTTCCATCTTATCCACGATGTATAAATATGTATAATAAATATATTTTAAAAATATGTCAAAATTACAATTGGAATTTTGACTCGTATGCACCAGAATGTGCCCGAGTGGTATCAGATGATACTTGTTCAGATAATTTATTACCATTGGAAGAATACTGTGCTTTGGTAACATTACCTCAACATTTTCAAGATAAATGTCCGAACGGTTTTCTAAAATACTACAATTTTACCAGATTTGATCCCAGTTTTGAATATTGGTCATCCACACGAAAAATCGACGATGTATTCATACACACTGGTTCGGATTCTATGTATGGTAAAGAATTTATCGCTCCAAATCAAAAAACGGATTGTTTTGTGATCTTGAATGGTACAGCCTTACCCAAATTTTGCAATGAATCATTTCATCAAATATGTGTAACACCTAAACATAGTACATCACCGATTTACTTCGAACCCACAGAGAATAATCTAGATATGCAGTTAAAATTTGATAGAAAACGTGGTAAAATATATTTGAACATCTACAGCCCTCAAAGTATTCTTCAAAAATTAGATGATCCTACCAACGATGCTGTTTATTGTTTTACCAACGCAGATGAAGTTGAACTTAAAACTCCGTTGAAAATTAAAAGGGTTGTATCAAAAGAAGCGTTGAATGTGTACTTGCTTACATTCAGATATGTACATCCAGGCGAATATTGGTGTGAAGCCTTTGATTATACACAAAAACTGATAAAAAGCAATACTTTGATAGCTTACAAGAAGAAAAAAGGATACGAATATTCTCTTCGAGTAATTCTTAAAGGAATATGTATTGATCCTGAAGAAACAAGTTTTTATAATTTTGAAACTTCAAGTAAAGAAAACTGTACTGTAGTGAGCGGTGCAGTTATTATGAATTACCTGGACAAAATCAAATTTGTAAATAATTTATATCACGTGGATGTGGCCATTAGAGTAATGAAGATTTTTGGTAAAACCGGACAAGACGTTGATGTAATTCTACATTTAACCACATTAAGAAATGTGAATATTGTTGGAGAATTTTATAAAATTAACGGGTTACTTCACAGTATTCCGAATATTACCATAATGTGGTTCCGAAGTGTTGATTATTGTCTTCCCGAAACAACTTATGTTTTCGGTAATATAAAACTGGAATGGAAACTAACACCAATGCATGAAGATAGAAGTCCTGATATACTTTGTTTGAATGAGAAAGCGATTCCACACAAACGAAAATGTCTTGGTAATTTTATCGTTGGTGCATATTGGGACTATTTTAATAAAACATGCAATCAAAACGTTGCTATCACAGAGAAAACCGAAGAATTGTATAATATTTCCATAAAATCTGAAATATCTCCGATTGTTTTTCAACAAATTGCGAATATTACTTCACATATAGAAAGTATAATCCCTCTTGATGTTTATCTAATAGCAAATATCATGAACAACGTGGAACACACCAATGAAACTGACTCTTCAAACACATCCGTTTTAGATCATGTACTGGGTACGATTGATCACATGATCACGATAAACAAAACTGTTTTAAAGGAATCACAAGTCGAACTGAATGCAACTGATTCTTTACTGGATTCAATTGAGAAATATTTTGACGACGATTCTAAAACATCAATGCAAGATATTTTAGTGAAACTGAATGCTGGTCAGGAATATTTAAGAGTAAAACCTAAATTTATTCTACATATTACGAGACCATACTTATCAAACGTTCATGGAATAGGATTATATCAAAGTCCGAATGGTTTACCATTTTCGGAAGATTTAATTAAATCTATAAAAATTGATCAAACTTTTGATGATTTGGATAATTTAGATGACTTAGAATTAGCTACGTATGTTCCAGTAGAACTTTTAGATTTAATTGTGGAAGAAAACGGAAGTAAGGAGAATATTACAGTCATTACTACTATATTCTACAATGATAACTTATTTAATTCTGAATATGAAGAACTGGGTGTTCCTCAAAGTAAAGTTATTAGTGTGAAAATACCAGATTATGGACTTTATTTGGACGAACCATTGCCATTATTGTTTCGTCAAAATTGGAACGACTCCATAGAAGATATAGAAAATTATGACGAGTATGAAAATGTGTCTTATATTGTAGAATATAATAATACATGTGCTTATTGGCAATATGGAGAGTATGCAGCCAACAAAACAGGTCGCTGGTCCAATTTGGGAGGATCTACAGAAACTGAAACAGAGATGTTCGGAAATTCTACGTTAACTAAATGTTATTTCCATCATCTGACGCACTTTGCGTTATTGATTATGAATCAACGCATTATGGTTAACGAATCGGAAGCTTGGAACGTGTTAGATATAGAAGATGATTTTGATTTTGATTTCCACCATAATCTACTTTCTTTAATCACAATAATTGGATCTATTCCCTCGCTTATTGGAATTTTGGGCATTTTTCTAACAGCGATTTGTTTCTCTCGCTGGCGTCAGAAAACAGGGAGTATAATCTTGCTTCAACTCAGTTTGACTATTATGTTGGAAATTATAGTCATCCACGTGGCTGGTGATGCAAAACTTACTGTCAAAACACAATTGTGTACCATTGTTGGAATATGTTTACATTATGTAGTACTGGCGAAATCGTCTTGGATGTTTGTGTCGGCTATCTTACAATACTATCGGTTTGTGAAAATTTTTCAAGTTTTACCCAGTAGATTAATTTTAAAAGCAATGATTTTCTCATGGGGAGTTCCTTTAATTCCGGTTGGACTTGTAGCGATTTTTTTACCAACGTATAACGCTGCATCAAGACAATTTTGCTATCCGGCTGATTTAGCGTTGTATTTTGGTTTATTTCTTCCGGTTTCTTTAATTGTCTTGTCTAATTTGGTTGTTTTTATATTGATAATGAAAAATATCTTCAATCCGAATGTAGAGATAAAACCAAGGACTAGTTACAAGAATTCAACTTCCCAAAATAAGCTACAGATTTATTTAGGAATACTTTTGTTCTTTATGCTGGGCTTACCATGGGTTTTTGGAATTTTAGCCGAGATATTAGCATTTCCTTTGCGGTTGATTTGCGTTTATCTCTTTTGTTTGATGGGTACACTACAAGGAAGTGTAATATTCTTATTCTACGTTGTTTTGGACAGAGATACACGAAACTTATGGTTGACAGCTTATGACAAACGGTTTAAAAAATACGACATCAAATAATTAAATGATTCCAATGTAACATATTTATTCGTAATTTAGTAGGTATCAAATGAAATTGTAAACAATCAAAATAAAATGTTAATATGTACTTACATATTGTGTTGATTATAATTTCATATCATGCTGGAAATGAATTTTAAAACAAAATGATATTTGCACCGCACCGCACTGAAAACGTTTGCTGGAACAACTGATAGCAACGTAAAGTGTGAGTAGTTTGTTGTGGCGGGTTCGGTGGGCACAATTGCGATGATTACGCAATTAGCCTCTATCAGTGCGCCGTGTCCGGCGGGCGGATTAGCGAATCGGGCGATTATCCGATTACGCGCATAGCCCGCGCGTCACGACGCCTTTGTCGTTTAATCAAACGGTTTTGTCGCCCTAACGAGACGCTACCGGTCGGCTCATCGCTTGTGTGATATAAATTGGCAAATTGAGACGACAACAGATTTCAATATTTAATTCTGTGTGAGATTGTTGTCAACAAAATCACGACATGCAGATTGCAACATGCAAACGTACATTATCATCAATATTTTAACCAATGTCAAAGAAATGTTGAACTTTATCGATTTACATGTTCTAGGAATCGAAACTTCTTGAAAATATGTATATACCTATTCTATTTGTTAGTTTATTTCTGTCAGTCGTCAGCCATAAATGTTCGTGCACGCTGTGCACGTGAGTGATATTTTATTAAAAACACGTACGTTTTTCATTTCATTAATTTACTATTAATTTCCATCGAAGTAAACGCGTCGTTAATATTAATTAACTTGCCAAGACGGCAAATTACTGGGAAGGGTGAGAAAATATTTCAATGGTCATGAATTATTCAATTGGTTTTATCATTACTAATCTTAAATAATAAATGAACTATACACGTGAAAATTTTTAAATTCAAGTTTAATTATTAAAGAAAATAACAATAAATTATTGGTATTTGTTATATATCTGTTTTAGTAAACATGAATGAAACATATTTAGTAGGAGAAGAAAATTCCGTTCCAAAAACAACAATTACTACTGATAGCAATGACAGTAATGTCAAACCAAAATGCAACACAAGCATTCTATTTGCTTGTACATGCATAATAACTGTTGTTATCATTGGAGGATTTAGTTTCTTGTTTGGCCCATTGATTCTAAATGTAATTTATTTAAATTGGTTAAATTTTTACTTCAAAAATTTTATTTCTATATATTTTTAGAGAACATATCCTCTCTATAGATTCTCACCATCACATATAACTGTCCAACATTATCGTCTCCGTTTAGAACCAAACTTTTCATTAAACCAGTCCAATCAATCTGATTTTCATGGACGTGCATCAATCATTCTTCACAGTGCGAGAAGAATAAATGAATTACGTTTAATATCTCATGATTTACACATTGAAAAAATTAATCTCACATTGAGGAATCAAATCAATTTAGCTCACGATCAATCACTGACTCATTTACCGTCTTTGAAACAGAATGAAACTGGACGGAGTTATCATATTGGTAAAGTTACACACATTCAAATTGAGAAAATCTATGAAATTTGGTATTATAATCACAAGGAACTTATAATACTGCTTAAGAAACCTTTAGAAGTTGGTGATTATATGATGGACATCCATTATTCATCACAATTTCATCCATTAGGATTAGAAAGAACAACTTATGAAGAAAAACAAAATGGTGTAAATAAAACTAAATATTTGATTACTATGAATAGTGTCTCAAGAGTGTTACCATACTTTGACAACAATCAAAAAATTAAATTTGAGTTGTCTGTTAGAAGAAAAACAGATGCTGCGTGTTTTACGAATGTTCCTTTCAGGGAAATTGAACCAATGTAAATATTTTGATGATTATTTAAAATAAGATAATTATAATATTTTTTAGTAAATCTGATGCTGGATATCTTTGGGAACACTTTAAGACTACGCCACAAATACTCCCATCGACTTTGGCCATTGTAATTGCAGATTATAAAAGTGTGAATGTGTCAACATCATCGTCAGTCTTACTAAAATTGTTTGCACCAAAAAAGGACCACGCACAACTGTCTTATGCTCGTCACATTTTTCCAAAGATTTTTGAATATTTTGAAAGATACTTTCAAATGAAATATCCTCTTTCTAAATTGGATCTACTTCTTGTGGATGATGCAGTGACACCGTTAACTTCTAAACTTGGATTGATCACTTTGAACAGTGAATATTTACTTATGGATATCATCGATGATCACATAGAAAATCGTAGAAAGATATTTTATGCAATTAGTGAATCAGTTGCGCTTCAATTTTTGCAAATTAAATTAAATTACAACGAAAATAAAGAACTTTTGCAGGCATTTGCTACATTTTTAGCATACAATGCAGAATATATTTTAAACAATCAAGTAAGGAATGATGTTGATCAAATCGAATCAAACTGGAACCGAGAAGAATATTTTATCGAAAAATATCTAGAAAACAGTCTGGATAATTACGGCAGTAACAAAGAATTAAAAATGGCTTGTGTATTGAGAATGATCAATTACACGTTGAATGAAAATGTTTTTCAAATGGGATTGAGTACATTTTTGCTAAAGTAATACAACCAATATAAAACTGTATTTAAATGTAATATTTGATTGTTTTTAGTTCAAATGAAGATTTTTGGGAATCTGCACAAAATTTACACTTGAGAGGAAACGCAACGACTAAAGAACTTTTACTATCGTGGTGGAATAATCCTGGTTATCCAATTGTTACCATAACAAGAACAACTGGTTGGAATGTTCTAATTGAACAAGAATCAATTATTGCAGAAAATGTAAAACACGATTTGTTTACAATTCCTTTGACTTACCTATCAAAAATCAAAACAATGTTAGCCTCAAACAAGAATTTACTTTAAGCAACAGGCAAATATTGACAAATTTGTTTGTTCCACAAGACGATTGGATATTGTTAAATTATAACCGCATTGGTAATATTTTATCTTAATTTTAAAAAAATATTTTTTATTTTTTTATTGTAAAATTGTAGGATATTACCGTGTAAACTACCATAAGGAAAATTGGTATAAACTAATTAAACAATTAGAAGAGCAACCGTCTGTCATACCAGTAATTAATCGAGCGGCGTTGATAAACGACGCTTTTGCGCTCGCTGATGAAGGCCTACTGCAATTTGAAGTGGCGTTCGATTTAATAAATTATTTACGCCGTGGTAATGAAAGTAATTACCTGCCGTGGAGGGCTGCATTAGACGCAATTAATCGACACGCAGCTGTGTTTTTAGATTCTTCACAATACGGAATATTTAGAGTATAATTTTTTATTTTATTTTATTTATTTATATCAAGATAATATCTTTTTGTAGAAATTTAAAATTGATTTATTAAGTCATCTATGGCCTATTCGTCTTCGTTTAAATACTAAGCTTACCCAGATGATTGAAACAGAACTCTGTCAAATGCAATATAAACCGTGTATTCATTCAGCTTTGGAGTTTTATGATACGTATAAAAATCGCAGAGATGTTGTGATTCCTCAATGGGTATATTGCACGGTTTTAACACACTCACAAGAAGATGTTTTTGATTTGTTGTACCAACGAGTGAAACAATCTGGAAATTATAATGAAATACGTGTTTTGCTACAAAGTCTGACGTGTACAAAAATTTCTTGGAAAATTAATAGGTTTAATAACTGTTTCTAGTTATTCTTTGATTTTTTGAATTTTTGAATTTTTAGTTTATTGGAGGAGAGTTTTGATAATATAAATTATGCGAAATATATTTGGGCCGCCATGGCTAAGTCATCAATGAGTCGATTGACGGGAATAGTATTTTTGGAGGAATCACCTATTGGTGATGGTATTAAATCAGCGAACGAATCTATAAGTGGTGAAGGAACCGAAGTATGGAAAATTGTAAATGATGAATTTTTGTCTTCGATGTCTACTACAACAAATCTAAATAAGGTTGGTTTTTTCTTAAAATAGCCATTCATTTAAATATTTACATGTTTTACTAATTGTAGATTATTAAGATATCTGCAAATTTGAATCACGTCCTGCAAAGAAGATTAAATAATACAATTGTACTAGTGAATAAGCAAATTGAATGGTCAAAACATTATTTATCAAGTTTTGTAGAGGAATTATCAAAGGAACGTTATTAATGTTTAATGTTACAAATGTTATATTTATTATGTTATGTTTATATTATAACATTTTTCAATAAATCGCTTTACAAATTATGTGTTTCTAGACTTTTGTACCCTCTTGAAGAGCTCTAAAACGCCATTTATGAATAAATACTAATTTTTATCATTCTGGTAGAAAAACAGGGCTTAGTTTGTTTTAAAACTATATATTTTGTCAAAAGATTGCGCCGAAACTTTTTTTTTAATTAATTATAATCGAAAAAAATTAAACTAAGCAACTTCAGATATCTTAAAAATTAAGAAGGCAATATAGCACACTTGAATTTTTTGTTGTTTTTCCTAAGTTGGCCAAGAACCACTTGAAATCAGTCAAGAGACATTTCACTCTTTTTTGGCTCAATTACGAAGCGATAAAAGATATTCCGTAGTTTTCTGATAACACCGACATTTTGGAAAATTCAGGTGAAAACAAGAATTGACCGAATTAAATAACAACTCTGATTTTCCCCAAACTTTCTAATTTAATCTAAAATTTGGATACTATAATTAGTTATTGACCATTTCCAATAATTACGTAACTTTGAAAAACTGATTTTTTTTTCGTTCTTAATTATGTAAATTTACGTCTTAGATTTTCCAAATGTGTATGACTTATTCATTGAATTATTCATTTTCCGCATTACTTTTTACGCAAAAACATTAATAATTAAAATATTAACTTTTAATTGTAGATTTCTTAGGAAATTGTTATTCAGAATATTTTATTTTAGTTAAATTTTGTCATAAGACTAATTATTTGCATCGTAATCATAATGTTAAGTAATATTTCATTCTATTTTTTGAAATACTAATTTAATATTACTTTTAATTATATCCTCTTAATATAAATCCGTTTTCAACTACAGTAGTATAAAATTTTATCTCATCATTTTATATCATTTTTAAATAAGAATTTAATTAGTTGGTCTTATAATTACTATGTACACAAAATAATTATTGACACAATTAATCTATAGGAACTTTATTAAATATTTATCTCAATCACAGCCGGCGATCAAAAGATTATATAAGACATTTCTCTTCTACATTAGTTACGCATTTCTTTTGTGGTTGACACAAATTAGACATTCATCAAAATGAATGTCAAATCAAAAGAAAATGGTTATTTCAAAACAAATATTAAAAGAACTAGTACGCCTAGAAAGAAAACAGCAGAAGATGTATATTAGAATAATTAGAATAAACAATTAAAGAAACTAATAATTAAAATATTATGTTTTAGTTCGATTTAGGGTCTTACACAGCTTTAGAGAGAAATCAGTTTATATTTTCTGGTTTATATCCCATCCCGTCAAAGAGTAAATTTGCACAATTCATCCACTATATCCGATTCGTAATTTTGTACATGGTCTCTTCGATTCTCTTCGTTTCAATGGTTATTGGACTGGCTGTAGAAGTAAATAGTCTTTCAGAAGTCACCGAAATTCTCTACTACCTCGTAACACAAACTGCTTATCTTATAAAACTGGTTAACTTTATGATAACTCGCTACAAATTACCAATAATGGAAGAACACGTCCAAAACAAAATCATCTATAAATACTATCATATGTACGGCTCTGAATGCTTGGATTCGATAAGCAGAATCTGCACCTTCACCGCACACTTTTTCAGAGTGTGTGTTACCACAGATATCGTGTTTTATGTGATGGTGCCATTGATGGACACCGGTCATATTTTACCTTTTGCTGGTTGGTACCCACTAGATAAAGAGAAGTACCGAGGCCTGCTGTTTCTGATACAGATGATATCTTTTGTCATCAGTGCATATACAAATATATCAATTGATATTTTTACTGCGCATTATATCAGCGTAGCTGTAGGCGAGTTAAGATTGTTGAAAATATGTTTGATGAATATTGATTATACATTGGAAAACAATGAGAAAAGAAGTGAAAGTGCAAGAAGTGATGATTTGGTTGGTGCTTGTTTGGATGAAGATGAGGAAGAATTGCCAAAATTACCTCCTAGTTCTTTGGATGATCTTGTATTTATACATAAGCATGCAATTGTGTAAGTATACACATATAGAGGCACTACACTACATCTTCCATAATATAAAAATGAATCGCAAAATCTGTTGGTAAGCGCATAACTCAACAACGTTTAGGCCGATTTGGCCAATTCTTGTTTTTTTAATATTCGTTAAAGTCCAAAGATGGTTTTTACGGCGAGAAAAATTTGAATAATTGCCGGGAAAACCCAAAAGACAGCCCTTTTCTATAGGATACAAGTTGGCATTGAGATTCAATCATAGTTATAGTTAAATAGTTGAATCCAGATGGCTTTAGCAATTCGTTATATTATAATTATTTTTTTTTAAATAAAATTGCGAATCTTATTGATAGAATTGACACATACTATGTCTAGAACAAAATAGTAAAAACAAATTACATTTTTATTTAACACTATCGGGACAAAGTCGCGAGCAAAAGCTAGTATTTTATAAAAATGAGAAATATTAATATTGCACCTCAAGAATCTCCATATTTTCTTTCATCAATTATTTTACATATTGAAATAGCCATTTTTTCAATACCAAAATTTATCAAAATTGGTTAAGTGGTTTTTAAGTGTAAACGTCACAAACAAATAATGAAACTCAAATTTGTATTTATAATATTAGTTAAAATACACTGTTCTGATTAAAGTTTTTAAATTCTATGATGTTATCTTGTAGACTTATTAACACAATTGAAAGTATTTTTTCGTATGGAATATTTGTGCAGTTTCTGGCAAGTATGGCGGTTATATGCTTGAGTGGATTTAATATGTTGATGGTAACTATGCAAAGCTTTATTAATTGTTATTTACTTGTTTACTATGCGTTACTAATATTATTTTAATTTTTTTATAATTTAGGTACCCAAAGCAAGTGTGGAATTTATGCTGTTCCTCTTTTACTGTCTTTGCATGACGATGCAAATGTCATTCTATTGTTATTACGGAAATGAAGTTATATTTGAAGTAATAATAATAAATTTCACAAATATTGCAATTTTTAATATTTTGAAAATTTTAGAGCAATTCAATTGGTGATGCATGTTACATGTCTAATTGGTATGAAGGCAAGCAAAAGTTCAAAAAAGTTCTTCTTATCATGATGGAGCGTTCCAAACGATTAATAGCGCTCAGCGCTGGAAAATTCTTCTTTTTGTCTTTGACAACATTCGTTTTGGTAAGTTAATATTAGTAATTTATTTATATAAAAGCGTCATTATTAGCATCAATTTGATATTCAGTCAGTACAAGTATAGTATTTCTAATTTATTTCTAATTGCAGATTATGAAAACATCTTATTCGTATTTCGCTGTTTTGCGTCGTGTTTACCAAAATATCTAAGCCACTACTATAATTTAACGTAATAAACACAGAACTACGTAATTTAAAATTATTTATGAACCAAATGAGGAAAAAAAATGAAAGCATGTAGGCTATTACTCTTATTCTGTAATAACACGGACAAGATATTACTGTAATGAATATTTTATAATCTCATACATTTTCTGATATTTTTGACATTTTTCACAGAACTGTTTTCTTTTATGTATAAATACATAATTGAATGTTACACTAGATCAAAATTAATTATATGATGCACTGTGCATTAAAAATTAAGCAAACAAGTGCAGAATTGGCTTAATTTAAAAGCAAAATAAGCAATAAAGCCTAAAATCAAAACACTAAAATTTATAATGTATAGATTAATGTAAGACACCAAATAATTCGAATAAAGTTTATTTTAAAAACTTAAATATCTAGCTCCAGCCCTGCAAATGTTTACAAAGAAGATGTTATATAAATGGATCTGATTACGGGGTCCACTTCCCATACATTTCCCTCAATGTCAGCGAATTGACTAAAAATGTATTCGAAACCATCGGCAATCTCTGTTAAAACAGCAACATCTGCTTATAAAAATGAAAACAAAGAATCTCAAGACGAAGAAATTTTTGATTTAAGTAATTATACATCCCTGGAACGCAAGCAATTTACATGGAGTGGTATGTACCCTCTAGATACGACCAATAAATGGAAAATATTAATCCACAACATTAAATTCTTAATTCTTTTAATGTTTTCTTCTATTCTTGCTGTTTCAATGACGGTCAATTTGATTCTTGGCGTTGACAACCTTTCGGAGGTCACAGCAATTCTCTACTATTTGATTACACAAAGTGCGTACTTGATTAAACTCGCAAACTTTCTCATTCAACGACATAAACTACCCCATCTTGAGGAGCATTTAAAACATTATATTTCCTATAAGTTTTATAAGATTTTTGGGCATGAAGGTCTGGATTCTATTATAAAAGTTTGCGTTTTTACTGGGATGTATTTTCGAGTGTGTGTCACTGTTGTGTTGGTATTTTACATTCTTGTACCGCTTGTGTCCAGTGGGGTTTTATTGCCATTTGCTGGATGGATGCCAGTTAGCAAGGAAGATTACAGGGCAATTATATTCACTGTGCAGATTTGTTGTTATTTTGTGAGTGCTTACACAAACTCATCGATTGATATTTATTCTGCGTATTACATCAGTATTGGTGTTGGAGAGTTACGATTGGTTAAATCGGCATTAATGAACATTGATTATACCATGGGAGATGATGGAGTTTGCAAAGCATTTCACAATGAGTCTAATCCTGATCTTAAAAAACAATATGGGGAAGATGATGGTTTTCAAGAGAAGAATGAGCCTAAATTACCGGCGAGTACTCTTCGTGAAGTTTTAGTTCTACATAAACATGCAATAACGTAAAACAATTGTTTTGTCAGGAGGGGAAAAGACAAATTTAATAAGCATACAATTTCAGGTTGATTAATATGATCGAAAATACATTTTCGTATGGCATTTTTGTTCAGTTTTTGGCAAGTATTGCGGTTATTTGTTTAACTGGGTTCCAAATGCTAGTTGTAAGTATTACACAATAAAATGTTATAAGATTTAAGCTCGTGTTTCTAAGAGGCATTAACCACTCTCAAAAAAAGTTTTACTTTGCCTTAAAATTAAAAGTTTTATTTGTTAAAAATCAAAAATTGGCAAACATTTTTACTTGGAAATGTTTTAAGTTAAAATAATTATTTAGTTACGACGTTATCTCTCATTCTCTCTCATAATATTCTTTGTAGGTTTCTCCGGCAAGTGCAGAATTTGTTCTTCTTTTTTTCTATTTTGCTTGTATGATGTGTCAAGTTATTCTCTACTGCTGGTATGGAAATGAAATTATGTTCGAGGTAATTGTCAAATTTAAATCAGCACTATACAGCTTTTATTCTAACATAAATTAATTCTAGAGTGGTGGTATTGTTGAAGCCTGTTATATGTCAAATTGGCAAGAAGCTGACCCAAAATACAAGAAAGTTTTGATTATCATGATGGAGCGTTCTAAACGAGTGATATTTCTCACGGCTGGGAAATTCTTCATTTTATCGCTGACGACTTTAGTTATGGTGAGTTAAAAAACATACACACAAAAACAGGGACATATACGTACATATGAGGTATTCTATGCCCAATCGACCACTTTTGAACCCGTCTCTTTTAGATTATATTGAAATTTTTCCATTCTTCTATCCTTTGAGAAATATTATTGAGACTTTTTCATTTTTTTTTTCTCCTATCCTCAATTATGAATTTCCAAAAAAATGGCATTTTAATTTTCAAATAGCCATAACTTTTTCCAAAATTGTCCTTTAGATACCTTTTTTTGATAAATATTGTTTTTGAATGAATTTTTCAAATAAGTCAACAAACATTTTTTAAATGATCAAAACTATGAAATAATCGCCTTTTTAGTAATTGTGATTTTTCAAAGTTCGCAAATTCAATTTTTTTTTCGTCAAAAAAACTTTTTTCTGACAACTTTTCCCGCTAATTCCCGAGTGGGCCAATTTTATTTTATATTTTTTCTTTTTATTTAATTGAAAATAATTAATTGTAATTCGCTGGACGTAATTTTTAATTCAATGTTAATTTTCAGATCGTCAAATCATCATATTCATATTTTGCGGTGTTGCAACGTCTTTACAAAGAAACTTAAACGAAAACTTTGTATGACCTAATTGCTACTTATGCATTAAACCAACAATAGTTCTATTAGATTATAGCATGTTAGAAAATAGCATTATAAAATAATTAATTGGTGTTTACGTGAATGGTGTAAAAAGCACAGGTGGCACTCGGAGCGGATATGTACGAGTAGGTGCAACGCATCTGTTTACTTTAAACACCAATCAAATTATAGCAAAACACTAATTTGTACATGATATTATTTAAGAGTACTTGTTAGTAGGTAGCTAGTACCTTGACTGCTCACTGAATAAATAATTATTCACCACTAAATTGGTTTTAATTACTGTATTCTAAACGATATCTTCCCCTTCACTTAATATTTCCCAATTAAATAATAATTGCAGAGAAGTTATAAAAGTCTGATCACTCATAGATTTATAACGTAAACGTAGTACAGTTTCAATTATTTTCAAAGAAACATCAAAATATTTTAAAAAAATGGAAAAAGTTAAAGAAGTACTCCAAAAAATTGCTTATAAAATAACAAATCATGCGAACGGAAATATTGATGAAGTACCTATCAAAAAAATAATTTCATATTAAATAAAGATTTATGTATTTATTTTATTTTAAGTTTGACTTAAATGATTTTAACCAACTTGAACGTAATATTTTTCTCCTGGGTGGTATGTATCCAATTAAAACAAAGAATAAATGGAAGTTATTTAAACATTTCTTGCGACTAGTCTTTGTACTTTCGTGTTTTATGACACTTGTATTAACTCTCACATTATCTTTGATTCTCGACGATAAAACATTACCTGAGAAAGTGGAAATTCTTATCTACAATATAACAATGATATGTTGCATGGTAAAAGCCTGTATATTTCTCTACAATCGCAACAAATTGTTAATAATAGAAGAACACCTTCGACAACCACTGTCTTATAAATATTACAAAATATTTGGACGTGATGGAATAGAAGCCATTATTCATATATGCAACGTAATGTCGATAACTTTACGTGGAGCTATCACAATGTTTAATTTGTTTTATATACTGGTACCATTATTTTCACCTAATGCTCCACTTCCCTTTCCTGGATGGTTCCCGATTGACCAAACAAAATATCGCTTCATCGTTTTTTCTATAGAATCCATAGCGATACCTGTATGTGCGTATATGAATGCTAACATGGATATATATGCGACGTTTAGTATTAGCATTGGTATTGGGCAATTGCGATTGTTGAAGACTTGCTTTTCTAATATTCATTATGGACATACAGATGGAAAAACTGAAATTTATACGATCGAAGAAGATGGAGAGAAAAGGACCAAAGTTGTGTCGAATAATTTAAAAGATATTGTTGAATTACATAAACATGTTTTAACGTAAACCAATTTAATAAACTTCTTTAAATTTAAATTTATGTTAATTAAATCTGTTTATAGGTATATTGCAATGATAGAAGGCATATTTTCTTATGGCATATTTTCTCAGTTTTTGTCAAGCATTGGAATTATTGGTTTAATTGGTTTTCAAACTTTGATTGTAAGCCAAAATTATATATTTAGATAATTGGAATGCAATTAAAAATGCATTTATTTCAGGTTCCTCCGAGTTCTAAGGAATTTTTTGTGGTGGTTTGCTTCTTTGTGTGTGCAATGGGTCAAGTTGTTTTATATTGCTGGTTTGGCAACGAAATTCTATTTGAGGTAATAATTAATAGTGCAAGATTGTTTTTGTAAATAATTATTTCGAAATTTGTTGAATCCAGAGCAGTGGAATTGTAGAGTCTTGTTATATGACAAACTGGTACGATGGTACTCAGTCGGAAAAGAAAGTTTTGTTTTTTATCATGGAACGAGCTCGAAACAATGTGATAATCACAGCTGGAAAATTTCTAACATTATCTTTAGCAACTTTAATTTTTGTAAGGCATTTTTTAGGAAACAAACATTCCTTATTATGTAATAAAAATGTGATTTTTTAGATAATGAAAACGGCCTATTCGTACTTTGCAGTTTTACAACAATACTATAAAAACAAGGACTTGTTTTTATAAGATTAACAAGTTAATACTTGGTAAATTAAAATGGATCTTGATAAATTTATAATAAAAGCAATAGTGATATTTTAACAATAATAAACAAGGCATTATTGTAGTTGTTATTGCCAATTTCTATGTGTGTGGAATATAAATAAAGTGTTATCAACACTAACATACTTCTTGGTAAAGAAATTAATAATTGATACATAATAAATAATATAATATAAAATATGATATCACTGAAAACTTACAAAGGCTTATGGTTTTGTATTTAGAGGTGCAGAAGTCTTAGAAATACGAGTACGAATTATTTGCTTATATAAAATAGATCTTGATAAATTTATGATAAAATTAATAGAAATACTTTTAAAAATAATGTCTACACAAAATAGTATGTAAATCTTTAATGTCATTTTTTTAGGTAAGGAAAAATTGTTATCACAATAATAAAATTAATTTCAATTAAAAAATTAATAATACTTAATATTTATTAAAATACTAGCGACCCGCCCCGGCTTCGCACGGAAGTAAAAAACCGCATCAAAATCCGTTGCGTAGTTTCAAAGATTTAAGCATACAAAGGGACAGACAGAGAAAGCGACTTTCCTTCTCCAAACAAAAACATCAACCGGTCAACTTCAACCCACACTTACACACATACACACGTCTATGCTTAGGGGGGGAAGCTACGAAGCATCGCACAAAGAAGAAGATAATAGAAAACTTTGTAAAATAATAACAGACAAATAATTAGCAATAAATTAAAATTGCGACTATAAGTTGAGATTTAAACTACCCTATCTCTCAAGTTGGATCGAACTGCACATGGTGTGCGAATTTTATTATAATCGGTTAAGTGGTTTAGGAGTCCAATATATATATATTAAGATGATTTAATTCAGAACGTATTGCTATTGAAACGCGAACAATATTATACAGGGTAACATAAAAATTCTAATACTAATGTCATTTGAGAAAGAAATGGAAACATAATATATATTCTGAGGGAAAGCTGAGATGTGTAATTACAAGTTTCTACCTTAATATTGAACATTCATTGGTTTTATATTTACAGGTGGAGAAATCGTAAATTTAATATTCTTTTTTCGAAGAAGAACATACGAAATTCTACAAACAGTATCCGGGCGTGGAATACGTAAAAGTCGATCTATCTAATTAACAAGACGGTACATCCACTACGAAAGCTATGTAAATCCCACGATAATCACAATGCGCCCAAGATGCCAAGAGTTCGGCAGAAAACTAATCGTGCACTCCCAAGATGTGTGAAATCACTTTAAAAACACCTAACCCAGGACTGCGACAAAGAGACGCGCCACTCCTTTGTACAAACTGCACCGGATCTTTCCCGCTTTCAAACCCTTACTACAAACGAACACCTTCGACATCGCAAAATTCCGCACCTAAAAATACATCCATAAATAATTCTAACATCATCCATAATACTCATCCCATGCAATCCTATAACAATGCTCCAACAGATGTGGAGAAATTAATAGTTATCCTCAAACACTATGGATCCTAATAATTAGATCATCATTTTGTAATAACGCTTACAACATTTTGGTCGGAAAGGCTTCTCACCACCAAACAATCCGGTATGCAAAGTTTTGCATCGACATATGACCTCTTCTATAACGCGCAGAACACAGCAAATACAGCCCGCAAACTTCCCGCAATTAAACTCTACATCTACATCTGACAATAAAAGGAAAAATTGAAGGCCGTTGAGGAATCGCTAGTAAGCTAATGTCTTGGCTAGGTAAAATTCGCGAATTGACAAATATTCGGAGTGCCGAACAATTTTTTACACTAGTAGAAGACCGTCAGAAATTTGTCAAAGTGATCGCCAACGTCAGGGGGACCGGACAGGGCACTTGAAAAAAGATAACTCGCAGAAACCGATTCAACTAAATGATTAAAGTACGTCTCACCTAGGAAATCAATGCAATGTTTACGATGTCCGAGTTCTTTGTTGTACAATGTGTTTTGACCTTTCTACAAAACGTACCCGGAACGGGGTTTACTTTAAATACCACTTTTTACACAATTGAAAAGGGTAGTGTTTTACATTGTCAGCCTACCTTGACTGCCCACTGAATAAATTAATGTATTAAGTTCTTCAAAAAACTAATTGGTTTTAATTACTGCGTTCTAAATGATATTTACCTCTATATCTTATATATCACATATAAATAATAATAGAGTAGAAGTATTAACAAGCTGTACAAGTGTAGCGTTATCGTATAGATTTATTTTTTTTTTGAGGAAAGATCAAAATATTAAAAAGATGGAAAAAGTAAAAGGAATACTTAAATATTGTTTATATATTAACAAATCATTCAAATAAAAATATTGATTAGGTACCTATTAAAAAACTATTTCAGGAATTATATAAAATCATAATTTCCTTATCTAATTTAAGTTTCATTAAGTTTGACTTGAATGATTATAATCAACTAGAGCGTAACATTTTAATCTTGGGAGGAATGTATCCAATTCAAACAAAGAATAAATGGCAGTTATTTAAACACTTCACTTGAAATTCTTATCTACAATATAAAAAGTGTATGTTGCGTTTTGAAGACCTGTATATTTTAGTTCAATCGCAACAAATTATTAATAATAGAAGAACTCCTACGCCAAAAATTGTCTTATAAATATACAAAATATTTAGACGCTATTATTAAAATATGCAACGTAATGGCGATAACTTTACGTGGAGCTATCTCACTGTTTAATTTGTTTAATATGATAGTACCTCTCATTTTAAGAGATGGAGAGTAGACTTTTCCCGGATGGTATCCAATTAAGAATATAATATATCGCCTCCTCGTGCAATCCATTGCCATATTTGTGAGTGATAACATGAATGCTAACTTGGATTGGTATTCGACGTTTAGTATTAGCATTGGTATTGGGCAATTGCGATTGTTGAAAACTTGTTTATCAAATATTACGGGCACACAGATCAGATGAAAGGACTGAAATTTATGTGATCGAAGAAAATGGCAAGAATAAGACAAAAGTTGCGTCAAATAGGTAAATTAAAAGATATTGTTGAATTACATAAACATGTATTAACGTATGGCAAATTTCCAAACTTGGTTAACATTAAATTTATGATAAATATATCATTTTATAGGTATATTGCAATGATTGAAAGCACTTTTTCTTATGGAATATTTTCGCAGTTTTTGTCAAGTATTGGAGTAATGGGTTTAATCGGTTTTCAAACATTGATTGTAAGCCATGATTATATCTATATATATAAAATTTGCGTGTCACAGTGTTTGTTTCCATACTCCTCCGAAACGGCTTTACCGATTTTTACCAAATTTTATATGCGTATTCAGTAGGTCTGAGAATCGGCTAACATCTATTTTTCATACCCCTAAGTGATAAGGGTTGTTCACCCTTAACTTTTTTTTAAATTTTTGGACAAATTCTTTTGCTTTTATTTTTTTTATAATGTGGAATTAAAAAATACATACAACCCTAAATTTTTAGTTTTTTATCACCAACCCCTATTTCTTTATAGCCATTTTAGTAATTTAATCATTTTTCATCCCGCTCAGAGAAAATTTTTATGTGCGTATTCAGTAGGTCTGAGAATCGGTAACTTCATATCTCTAAGTGATAAGGGTTGTTCACCCTTAATTTTTTTTTAATTTTGGGCGAAATTTTTTGTTTTTATTTTTTTAATGTGGCATTAAAATATACATACAACCCTAAATTTTTGGTTTCTTATCACCAACCCCTATTTTTTATAATAAGTAAGTTACTTTTTGTCTACACTAAAATTTATCTAGAAACTAGAAATAATTTATATGGCAAAACAACGTTTGCCCGGTTAACTAGTATTTTTATAATTTGTGCAATCAAGTAATACATTTATCTCCAAAATGTCTTTATTTCAGGTTCCTACGGATTCCAAGGAATTTTTTGGGGTGGATTGCTTCTTTGTATGCGCAATGAATCAAATTGTTTTGTATTGTTGCATTGGAAACAAAATTCTATTTGAGGTAATAATTAGTAACCGAAGATGTATTTTTAAAGACTTATTTTGAATTTTGTTAAATCCAGAGCGGTGGAATTGTATAGTCTTGTTATATGACTAATTGGTACGATGGTACGATGGTTTTGTTTCTTATCATGGAACGATCTCAAAAAGATTTGGTGATTACTGCTAGAAAGTTTTTGACATTATATTAGCTACCTTAATTTTCGTAAGACAGTTTTTATGAAACATCCATTTAATATAAAATAATAAAAATATGATTCTTTTAGATAATGAAAACGGCTTATTCGTACTTAGCAGTTTTGCGCAAGGCAGTATGTTAATTTTTAATGTCAATTTTAATATAAGTGAAATAATATAGTGTTGTTCTCCTAGACCAAAATTTGATTTAAAAATTCCCAGTTAAGCAAAAATTTACAGTTTACCGTCAATTCCTTCACTTTCTTGCTTAATACTGTTGGAAATAATTTTTATTGCATTTTTCTTCAATCTTGAAATTCACAAAAGCTAAGTTAATAGCGCTAAGCCACCATTCTCATTACTCTACCAATCAACATCCGCCAACCTACAATTAGACGTGTTGGTGAGGATAGTTCGAAATCAACAAGACAGTAGGTTCACAGTCAGTTTAGAGTTCGTTTTCCAACTGCTTCCGAAATGAATTGCTTCCACACATCTGTGCTTTGATCACCTATTATTGTGCCATATCTTGAATTAAAACAAGTGCCACGTTCAACTATAAATAGGCGACTTCACATTTTAATCATTATTATATAATGTAACTAATAAAAAAATTATTTGTGATATAGAAAATTGTATTATTAATATTTTTTAAATACAAAACACGAATACAAAAATGGTACACACATTCTGAGGTTATGTGTGTTAGCTCAGGTTCAAACTTGTATATTATGTTCAGAGAGGGCGCAAAATTATTTCTAATGCTGAAAACTTAGTGGTTTTGTATTTAGACTTGCAGAAATCCAATTTTCGTTATCGCTTCTCGGCTCCGGCTAAGATCAAAGTGTAGTATCTGTTCTTATCAGCTTAATATCTGATACGACCCGCATGCGGGTCCAGTATATTAAACTGATTTTTGGACATGGATGAGAGTTAGGGGCTTGCTCCACTCACATCACGGGTTGGCTCGGTATTGCAGTACCTCCGAGATCGGCCCACATTTAATGACAATCAAAAATAATTAAGAATGCCACTTTCAGTAAATTTTAGCACTTAATAAAACACGGTCTGATAGAATTGTCCTAATTCTTGTGCAGCGGCAGGGGTCGTTGCCGTAGGAGTGATCGTCGTGGTTGATGACAAGCAGGAAGTTGAATATAAAGTTCGGTATGAAGTCACGAATATCTGCGGGAAGCATCTATTCGGTCAATATCATGCAAGAATCGGCGTTTAAGAACGCCAGCTTGAATGTATCGATTGACATGCCAACCACGGGCTTCGTGTTCATTTCGCCGAGCTGCTTGAGGGGCTTCTCAGACATCCATGAATCTGCAGGACCAGCTTAATGTACACTCCACCAGTACCTTGTCTAGAATCGTTAGCAACACATTCAGGGTGAATGTCGGAACCCACAGAACTTCCAAAAAATCCACAAAACTGTTTTCCACCACTATCTCTTGTTTCGGGTCCGGGTGTGTTGCCGGCAGAAGTCCGTTGGCCTCCAGAATGTTCTGCGTTGCTTGCACTGGCGCGTTGTTCTCCTCCTCGCTCCCGGAGTCGATCACGTCGATGCGCACCCTCATCATTGCTTCAGTGCTTCGTTTATTTATCACATACTACGTTTCCTTAATCTCGTTGACCTCTTTCCAATTGAATTTTATTCCACTATTATAGCGTACAGTAAGTGTTTACTTAGCTTTATACTCACTCTCTCCTAAAACTATTGTCCGTTCAACCCTTAGTAGAAGTTATAGATGCATAAAGTTTCTCTCTAATGCTTTTTTGTTTTGCGTGTTTGCTAATTCTTCAAAGTGAACAAATTGGGATTACCGTCACACCATTTCACTTGTGTGCCCACTCTTTATCTGTGTGTCTACTTTTTGAGTAGTAGTTTTCGCGTAGTTTCCGTACCTGGAAAGGTATTACTAACAATTTAACACATTTATAGGTAAATTTAGACTTTTTCCGAAAATCTTAATTTCAGTTTAATGTTTAGTTAGGTGGCTTCCTTCTTTTATGTCAATTTAGAACGTAAGAACGTAAATTATAAAAGAATTCAACGGATTTCTGCAATATACAATTCAGTCACCTGAAATAAAATTAAAATCATAAACATACAAAAGGCGTGTTGTTGTTTCGATGTACTAGAATTCAAGTTCCTATAGTATAATTAATGATAATTATATAACTCTTTCAGTTAATAAGCACTTTTGTAAATCACAACATAATGACTCAATTAATGAATTATTCAAGCTATTCCCCGATTCTATACCAATAAATTTAAGGTGAATTATTCATTCACTTCTCAATTCATATATAAACACTATAAACAGATTTATTTTGAGTTGTGCTCAATTAAAATGTCTAAAATGTCGGAAGATTTTACTTCATTTTTCGCTTTAGAGCGAAAACAATTTCTTCTCACTGGTTTGTATCCTCTTCATGGACCTACTCCGATCCTTTACAGCTTGAAGCGTGCGTTGGTATTCTTCTTCTCTATACTTTTACCAGTGAGCATGATTATTAAACTTCTCATCGGAGTGGATTCACTAGAAGAATTTGCCGATATTCTTTATTACTTGGTCACGCAAGCAGCCTATCTCTGCAAATTAACCAACTTTGTTTATGGCCCTGGTAAACTTCTTCAAATCGAGGAACACCTTCAACATCCCATTTCGCAGAAATTTTATCAAAAATTTGGTAGAGATGATCTACACAAGATTATTAAACAATGTGACGCTGTGGCAGTAATTTTTCGATTTCTTATTGTTGGTATCGTGGGTTTATACGCCATTTTTCCATATTTGGATGATAACAAAGATTTACCATTTGCCGGTTGGATTCCGGTAGATATCAACGTGTTGGGTTACAGATGCTTGGTTTATTTTTTACAATTAATGTGCGTGTTTGTCAGCGCTTTTACAAATGGCAATATGGATTTGTTTACAATTTATTTATTAAGTATTGGAATTGGGAAGTTAAAATTGATTAAAGAGTGTTTTCGTCATGTTGATTATACACTACAAACAACAGAATCGATTAAAAAAGCGAATAAAAATTCGACAGATACAACTAACAAAGTTTTATCACCAAAAGATCTTGCTGAACTGTATAGATTTCATGAATATATTATTAAATACTTGCTAATGGTGGAAGAATTGTTTTCATATGGCATTTTTATTCAGTTTTTAGCGAGTATTGCAGTGGTTTGCATGACTGGTTTTCAACTTATGATTACACCACCACAGAGTGGACAATTCGTATTGTTGATTCTTTATATCAACTGTATGATGTGTCAAGTTATAATGTATTGTTGGTATGGCAATGAAATTCTATTTGAGGTGGGTTTAATAAATTAATGCAAAGACACTCATTTGATTATTAAAAATATATTTTTACAGAGTGATGGCCTAGGTGAATCATGTTACATGTCCAATTGGTACGAAGGTTCCGTATCAGATAAGAAATTTATATTTATTATGATGGAACGCTCTAAACGACAGTTGAGAATGACCGCAGGGAAGTTTTTTACTTTATCCCTACCTACTTTGGTTATGGTATGAATTTCTTAAATAATTTATTAGCCACATATAACGTAAAGTTATTTTGTAGATATTGAAATCTTCTTATTCGTATTTTGCGGTTCTGCAACGTCTTTATACTGATATATAAATTCTACGCTTATTTTAAATGCAAATTTAAACGTAGAATAATATAAGAGTTACATTATAGTATTATTTATATTCATTACATGGTTTATACAACAAGGTAAAATACATAATCAAAAAATATTCTTTTTTAAGTATATAAAATGGCACCAGAGCAAACTGTTCTCGTCGGTAGTTCTACAGGACAAATCACTTTGTACATAATGGAATTAATTTTAGTTAGCTTCATTTGTGAGTTTCTGTTATACTTAGGCAACCAATACAACTCTTAACAACTGTTAAGTTAAACTTCTAACTGCTGAATAAAACAATTTTAGCATTTATGTACAAATCATTTGCTGATTTAATTTCATCAAGTTATCCGAGAGTTGAACAAATTTTGAAAGAGGACAGAATGTGCCACAACCAGTAATGTTCAACAATCTAGGCTCGTTGTAGCCATTTTGCAATAATACCTACAAAATAAAGCATTATTATTACTATTTCTATTGAATGTATTAATAGTTTTACTTTAAATCCGTAAGTTCCTCGGATATTATGCACTTCAATGATGATATAAGCACCGTATAACATCTCTTCGCCTTCCCAAACATTCAAAGCCTGCAGCAGATAATAAACGTTCAAATCATGACCAGCGTAGAGAAACATTTTCCTTCCCGGCGGTTCTAAAGTGTTGCTAGCTTTAGCAACAGCGTTATCAGTAATGAGTTTTACCAATGGGCCAATTAATCCAACGGTTTGCGAAGTAAACATGTTCCAATCTTGCATGGCATATTTTCGTAACGGTTCAGGATAGATACTTTTAAAATCATCTGGTATTTGTAATCCTTGTTCTGACTGAAAAGATTTAAAAAATATATTAAGGATAAAACGGAAATAATTTTGCTTACTGAAGTTTTTAGGTAATCATAAACTAATAATGCTTGTCGATATCCAACTTGTTCAAATCCTGAGCATTGCTTTAAAGTTTGAAAAAACGTCTTTGTTTCAGCATCTATTTTGTTCAAATCTGGATATTTAATGTTGTCCATCATAAATGGACAAGTTAATTGAATAGATAAAGTATTATCCTGCTCTGGTGGTATAATAAAATAAGGTACAGCATGCCATGAAATGTTTTTGATAGGAACATCTTCTAATCCTCCAAACAATCCGGTGTGCAAAGCTTGCAACGACATCTGACATCGTCTATAACTCGAAGAAACAGATTCTACTAAATCATTAAAGTATATCTCTCCTAGAAAGTCATTGTAACGTTTGCGAAGTTCGAGTCCTTTGTTGTACAATGTTCTTTGACCAGCCTGCAAAATAATTTAATCCTTAACCTTTTTATTGTAATTTTAGTGTTGTTAAACTAACCAAAGTTAAATCACCATAATCGTATGGAAAAAATGTATCATTCACATACGGATTGTTAGGATAGCCAGTTTGTAGTTCCGGAATTCTGTCACCATGTCGAAATACAACTGATGTTAAAACTAGCGTGTCTTTAAAACTTTTGTCAACGTGTTGATTGACTTTATTTATAATCAGATCCTTCAATTTATGCTTTAGTATTGCTTCTAAATAACCTGGAAGTGCATCAACTGATATCACACAGAAAGAAATGCACGAAACACCTATCAAAACTTGATAAAACATCATGTTTGTAATTATTATAATTACGAAATGAAGCAAATTCTACTTATATAAATTGCTAGGAATTCATATGATAATAAATGTAATGTGCAATTTATTGCTTTAATAACTTTAATTATATTTACACAATAGTTTTAGCACAGTAATAGGTAGATATAATTAAACAAACAAATACAGTGTTTAATTTTGGGGTAATTATATGATAAGTGGTTGTGTTGCGTCGTGCTTTTTCCCAAAACTGTCTAAATTGCGCAAATGGTGTCAAATTATTTACGTAGACAGTGACTAAGCCGAAAATATGCATCTGTTCAAACTTTAGTTTATTTATTAGCGAATAAATATGCATGTGCAGATTTTTAGTATATAACTTATTCATTATGTACTACTGATTTAAAAATTTGTATTTTTAAAAGGTTTTTTTACATCCAGACTTTGTAATAAAGAAAGTATTAAGCTAATTTTAAATACAACTTTTAATTTAATTGTGTAAATGAATACATTTGTAGAGTAATGACTCACACAGCTATATGATTCATGATCACGGAAATAAATAAGTAAATAAATAATTATCTAGAGGTATATCTCTCAACATATGTAAAAGCAACACATACATTTACATTTTATTTAAGTTTTATAACTATGTTAAACTATTTTAGTGACAAACATTTATTTAGCATGAAGTCAATTTTACATTTGCGTCTTTTGCCGTAAATTTAATAAACTGCCAAAGTGATATTTTTGCTTAATGTTGGATTATATGTATGTTCTACAAGTTTAATAAACTGCTTTAGAGGACAAAACAATCCGCAATTTGGAATGTAAATGGCTCCGTCCTCCAATCCGCCAGCATTATTTCGGAAAAACACCTAAAGCAAAAATTTTGTTACTTTTGTACAACAGCTTTTAATATATTCTATGAATACACTCACTTTAAACCCAACCGTATCATGAATTTTATGCAATTCAAACAAAAGCAAAGCACCATACTCAACAATTTCACTTTTCCAAGAATTTAAAGCATTCAACAAAAAGTGGATTGTTATATCATGACCAGCATAAAGAAACATTTTAGTAATCGATACTCCTTGATTACTCAACTCTGCATGTTGCACGATTCTTTGCAAAAGCGGTCCGGCGCCAATTCTTTGTTTTTGATCAATGACCAGTTTCCAAAACTTCATTCCTACAGATTTTAATGGTTCCGGATAAATTTTCTTTAACCAATCAGGTGGGTCCAATCCAACTTCAAGCTAAAATATTGTAAACAAAAGTGGATTGCTGATAAAAATCAGAAAGTGCTCACGTTAGTTTTGGTATGATCAAAAATAGTCAAAGCACGCATGTAATCTATTTCATCATATCCAGAATGTTGTTTAAGATAATCAAAAACTTCCTGAGTTTCCATGTCAAGTTCAGGAATAGTAATATTGGTTAAAACTGATGGGCAAGTTTTGAAAATCGACACATAATCGTTGTTGATTGGTAATGTTTGATAAGGAATTGGTTGCCAAGGAAGTCCTTCGACAGCATTCCAATTGTTAGTCCAAAATAAACCAGCGTGCAAGGCTTGCAAACTCATTTGACATCGAATATATGAAGATGATGTTGAACTAATTAATCCACCGAAATATCTATCACCAAGAAAAGCTTTATATCGTTTTTTAAGCAAAAGTCCTAATTCAATCATTGTTTTTTGTCCTTTCTAGAATGGTTATGCTATTGTCAAATGCATAATATTAAACACAACCTTACTCTTGTTAAATCACCCAACTCATATGGAAAATATGAATAATTTTTATACGGATTTGCTGGGTAATCTGTCATTTTGTCAGGTATTCGTTCGCCATGTCTAAAAAACTAACCAATAAAAGTTTAAAGGTTATGTGCACAAGTGACAGACATTTGAGGTTAAGTAGTAATTCATGTCTTAGAAATAGATATTTACCGCAATAACTGATAATAAAGTCTTTGCAAAATCTTCTTTGGATTCTTCATGATAAGAATTCACTGATAATCCACTGGAAAAATCAACAACAATTAAACTTAGAACTAAAATAAAACTAATGTGACACCACTGCATGTTGAATAAACTTAAAACTTGGTTTAAATAAATTTTTCATAAACGTCTATCGTACTGTTAATGTAGGAATAAAATATACTTTAAGAAAAACTTAATGTCTATTTATATCTTTTGTCGACGTAGCATCATAATGAGTTCTTTACTCCTTGATACTGACTTTTCTTATCATAACAGTTTTTGCATTGACCTCTATGCGTCATAAAAGAATGCATACGAAAGAATTACATACTAATGATTAAAACCAAAACAAATGTTATAAATTGATAAAAACGAGTTTTGATTAAAATTGTTTTTTGTAGTTTTTTTAATACATTTTATATTAAACAGTAGTAATTATTTAATAAATACATGAAAAATAAATTAATTTTAGTTAATTACAAGGTTCTACATCGATCTGAACATCTATATAAAACGTAATTAATTATAAACTACCAATTAAGTATTGTCTGTACACCGTGGCAAACAAAGAGAATTCAATTATTCGACTTCAAAGAGATTGGTGGATATATAAACTCCAAATTGCAGCAAACTTGAAGAAATCTTTGTGTATTGTGCATTTATCACAATGACTCTTAAGAAAGATAATGAACCTAAGAAATCATCCAAAAAGAAAGTAAGAGTTTTGTGACATAAATTAATTGAATACTATTCATTTATATTATGTAGGTACCAATGGATGCTATATCGAATGAAATAGCCATAATGAAATCATTTGGATTAATTCCTATGTACAACCAAACAATGCCTCAGAATCGCATTTTATTCTACATGAAATACGTCATCAATTTAATTGTGACATTTTCGTTTAGCGTTTCAATCTGGATGAATATCATCTTAAATTTTGAAAACTCGGGAGAAGTAATTGAAACTTTGTATTTTGGCTTGACTGAAACTACATTTGTTGCAAAATTGATCAATATTCACTTTCGTTATAAAACATATCAAAACTTGGTTAAATATCTATCAAATCCGGTTTTTAATCAATACACAAGGGAGCAAGAAGCTTTCATCAAGAAAGGAATAACACTGGTGCATATTTTTGCACATGCTTTTCGAGGATGCGTGACAATAACAATCATGTTCTTTATTGTGTTCCCATTTTTGGATAAGTCTGATAATCTTCTCATCATTCCCAGTTGGTTTCCATCATCAGTCGAACGATATCAGTTCTTCTGTTATTTGTTTCAACTTTGGGGAATTATTATCAATGGTTATGTGCATTCTAGTCATGATAGTATGGTTGCAGGCTTGATTATGATGGGATCGGCGCAGTTTGAGATTTTGAAGAATAATTTAAACAATTTAAGAAAAGGTTTGAGAATGCCTGCTAGTGATATAGAAAAAGAAATGCAAGAAGATTATATTTTGAAGAAATTGCGGACATATGTACACCATCATGTTGTTACAATCAAGTAAATTACTTCGAAACATCTGTTTTAAACAATTTATAACTTTAATTGTTTTAGATATGCGTATGAAATTGAAAATATGTTTTCTTTTGTTCAGTTTGTCCAGTTCTTGGCAAGCAGCATCATCATTTGTGTTACTGGTTTTCAGATTATTGTAACACCATTCACAGATATGAAGTTTATAACGTTAATATTGTATTTTTCTTGTAATTTGATCCAGGTTTTGATGTGTTGCTGGTTTGGACACGATATTATGACTCAAGTATTTTAATATTCGCATTTTATGCTTTTAATATAACTATGAATGATATAATTTTTAGAGTGAAGGCATTGGTGAAGCATGTTACATGTCCGATTGGTATAATTGTGGTATAAGAGTTGGAAGAACAATTTTTATAATTATGGAAAGATCTAAACGTCCAGTAACCTTGACAGCTGGAAAGTTTTTTGATTTAACACTACAAACGTTGATGCAGGTTATATTAAGATATTTAACAGTAATTAAAATATGATTTGAAAGGTTTCTTGTAGGTTTTGAAGACATCATACTCTTATTTGGCACTATTAATGCGAATGAATGAAGTTGAAAGGCTGTAAATTGATAGAACTTAGTCAATGATTAGTCACGATAGTATTTTAATATATTTGACAATTACTGCAGGCTATATAGTTTAGTTTCAATTGAAACTGTTTTGTTTTGCATAAATAAATAAAAATTAAATAAATTTACACTATGTCCGCATTTATTTTAAATATTTTTAAAATAAAAAAAACTATATTTTTGTGCGATGTGGCGCCATCTCCAAACATTCCAAACTCTATGTTTATAACCTTGTGATTTGTGTTTGCGTCACTTGCGTCAGGCCGGTCAAACTCTAAGTCCGTAAAAATTTGTTTGTATCGAAAAATACTTCATATTGACCTAAATATACCATCGAGCAGCACGGAATTTGAGACGCAATAGGTAAATCCAAATATAAATTTTATATTTTACTGTACTTTCACCGTTTTAGAAACACTTTTTCTTCTAAATTTGTTTTCTTGTTTAATTGTGGCTATGGTTTTTAATTATTTGCATTCTTGTTGTAGATGTGCAATGCTTGCTAATAGCACCACTAAGGGCACCGTTCTTGTCAGTAGATTAGGCAAATTTCTTGGGGCCACAACACGTTCAATGTCCAACTACTTAAACCGCAAAGTTGAAGACAATGTAGAGGAGCAACAATTTGAATTGCCTCTTGATAATGATGATGTGGCTTTTATTCAGTATGAGTTGACTGACCAGACCTACGATCTAGTAGAGACTGTGGTTCCTAAAGAGTACTCTGGGCAAGGATTGGGAAAATTATTAGCCCAGGTTAGTTACACCTGACACTATAAATGTTTTATAAATCTCACTATAAGAACACTTCACAAAATAATTAGTATTGATGGTGTAACAATGATTTACCATTGTTCTGGGGTCCATTTCATTTCTCACTTTCACCACATTCTTGATTCTTAATTTTTTTGCTTAAGTGTCAATATTTGTTTCAGAAAACCTTTGATCACATTATCAGTCAAAATGGCAAGATGAAGCTGACATGTGATTTTCTGGTACATTTCTATTCACAAAACAAAGATCAATATAAAGAACATATTGTGTAAAGATATTTTATAAAAAATAACTATTTTTCTATCGTTTATTTGCTGCAATTAATTAAAATGGAGTTTACTGACGTGAAAGCAAAGATTAATTTCTTTTTGCGCGAGAAACTTTATAACAGCATGCTGCAATCGTGCAACGATGCTCTTAAAAAGTTTGTTGGGGAAGTTCATTTGAATTTGTATCACGCCCTTGCTTTGTATTTGAATAATCGCTTCACTGAGTGCATTCGCGAGTTGGAAGTTCTACGCTCCGAGACTGACGTGCGTCTTGCGAGTACCATTGGTTTGATTTACACTCACAAACGGACACAGACCACCGACAGCGAAGTTCTGGGTGCTTTGGATACTGCTTTGCGTGAACATCGAAAGAATGCCAATGCTTCGGACTTCTACAACTCGGCGTTTGTTTTGTATTGCCTGGAGAAGTACGAGAAAGCTTTGGAATATGTTGAAAAGTCTCTGAAGTTAAGTCGTGAACAGCTTGATGTTCAAGGGCTTAAGGGTTGGATTTTGATTAAACTGGCATATCAGAACAAGGCTAATGTGCAGGACTGTATTCAAGTATTTGAGAAATGCGTTCGAGAATCAAAAAGACATTTGGATTTGAGCATGGGTTTGTGTGAAGCATACATGTTGGATAAGAATTATTCAGATTCTTTGAATGTGGCGAACAAAGCGATTGTTCGTTTTCCATCGATGAATTTACCACTGATGTACAAAGCGAAGATCTTGTTTTCAATGCAGGATTTTGACCCAGCCATAGAAAGTTGCAATCGTTTACTTTCTGCTGATGAGAATAACTACATTGCGTTAAAGCTATTAATTTTGATCATGATTTGTCGAAATGGTAACTACTCTGAAGCCGCATTGGAGATCAGCAAGTTTTCGCAGATTCTCCAAGTGGCCGAGCCGAAAAATGCCAAGATATTTATTGAAAACGGCGCGCTCTTTTCACGTCTCTGTGCAAGGGACGAATCTGTCTTAGAACAAACGCATGGCATGCTAGAAAAAGCAGTTTATATCAACAGTGGCGATATTGACGCAATGATTGAGTTGGGTTATCAATGTCTTTTGCAAAACAAATCAAAGGACGCTTTGAAGTACTACAGAACTGCGTCGAAGACTGATAACACATCGTTTAATGCACTGCTTGGGATGACTTTGAGTGAAATGAGCGAGAATACTAAAACTGATCAGATAAAACAGCAGATTTTTTTCTTATTGGAGTTAGAAACTGAACCAAATCCACTGTTATTGTATATGAGAGCTAAGTTAGCTGATGGAATGGAAAGTTCAGTGCAATTTTTGGAGGAAGCATGCAGTGAGCAACTCAAACCCATTATGAATATGCCATTCTGTGATTACTACTTGACGAAACTGGATGCTGATTTCTTACTACAAGTTGTTAAGTATTACCTAACATTTGCTCCCAAACCCACTGGCATTACGCAAACTACCACAAAAACAACTCAGCCCAACAATATATTAACTAATGCATTGAACACTCTAAGAATTGTGACAAGAGCTTTACCAGGCCATGAAGAGGCACATTTACTCTTTGCTCAGGTTCAGTTTTCAAGGGGTGATTACTTTGAAGCCACGCAAACATTAAATCACATCACGAGTTTGGATACTTCGAGTAGCGATGCTCATTTGTTGATGGCGCAGATCCACCTAAACAATTCACAATTTGATAGAGCTGCGCAATCATTGGAAGTCGGTTTGAGCCATGATTTTCAAGTTCGGGAGCGTCCTCAATACCATTTAATTTTTGGTTTGATTTACAAAGCAAAAAATAACTTGGATGATGCCATAAAATCATTCAACACAGCTTTGAGTCTCATGAATTCTATTGAGTCAAAAACAAGGGCGGAAAATTTATTGGGAGGCTTATCGATGTCTGACAAAGCGACAATCTACATTGAGTTGATTAACGCTCACAGGGATTCAAATCAAATGCATGAAGCTTCTAAGTTGATGGAGGATGCCATTCAGGAATTCCGGCATACCCCCGAGGAAGCCAGATTCATGATTCTAAACGCAGAATCAGCTGCAAATTTAGATGATGTCGAGAAAGCAATTGATATGCTATCAAAGGTCACGCCCAACGAGTCGTATTACTTGACTGCGAGAACTAAACTTGCTGAGATCTTTCTGATTCATCGCCAGGATAAGAAAGCATTTATGAATTGCTATCAAGAGATGGTTCAATTTAACATGAGCCCTGAGAGTTTCCTCTTGTTGGGTGATGCATACATGACGATTTTGGAACCGGACAAGGCGCTGGAAGCATACAACAACGCGTTGCAAATGAATCCGAAAGACGTTCAGCTTATGTGCAAAATGGGGAAGGCATTAATTGACACGCACTACTATAAAAAGGCGGTGAAATACTACAAAGATTCTATAGAGTCGACTGGATATCCTGAACTTAAGTTACAATTATCTGAGTTGTACATGCAAATGAAGGAGTTTGATAAATCCGAAGAGCTATTGACTACAGAAATTGAACGGGAGAAAATTCTGCCACAAAATGAAGATTTAATATTGTTGCAACATCGGAGCAAGATTTATAAACTTTTGGCTGAAGTAATGGAACGAAGTGGAAAGGTAAAATCAGCGAGTGAGGTATTGAGGGCTGGCAGAGACAACCAAAGCCGCGTTAGAAAAATTCTCTCTGTGGAACAAGCCGTGATTCCCACCGAAGAAATTGACTTACTTGTTAATTTCAACGTTAAACTGGCTGAAATCGCTGTTAGTACTCGTGATAATGGGCAAGCCATTAATTATTATAAGGATGCTTTGGCTGTATCTCCAACCAATCATAAAATTTTGGCCGCGTTGGCAAAATTATACATGCAGGTAATTCATTGGCCTATTTTAATTATGTTATCTAAAAATTGCCCGCTTTTTACTATTAGCTGAATCACTTGGAGCTGTGCCAGCAAACTTGCTCGAAACTGCTCGCTCTTGACAATGACAACGAGATGGCTTCGGTGCTAATGGCGGATATTTCCTTTAGAAAGGTAGATTTCGACATGGCGGTATTCCATTTTACCCAACTGGTAAATAAACAACCTACTAACTGGGTTGCCTTGGTCAGATTGGTCGAAGTTCTGCGACGCACTGGAAACTTGGGCGAAACTTCACAATATTTAAAACAAGCTGAGCAATTTTCTGAGAATAACCGCGAACCAGGGTTATTTTATTGTACCGCCTTGTACCAATGGTACACAGGTAATTTAAATTCGGCATTAAGGAATTTTAATCAGGCAAGACAAGATCCCGATTGGGGTGCAGATGCTATCATTAATATGATTGAAATTTGCCTGAATCCCGATGATGATATGTTTGGAGATCAGTTTAATGTCGACGTGGATGATTTTGACTACAGAGACTCTCGTACAATGGCAATTAAAACAGGTATTTGATTATAAAATGTTACTCGAATACAGATACAGCGATTTTTTTTCTAGCTGAAAGACTTCTTCGTGAATTGAAGCAGATTAGTTTTGGTGAGTCTACTTTAAAATGCCGGTTACTACAAAACTTTATACTGCTGGCATCCAAAGAAAAATATAACATGGAGCGTGCCTTGGAAGATTTTGTAAATTTAGCTTCACAGGAGAACTACAAAGATCAGGTAGGTCCTATCTTGGGTGTGGCGACAGCATACACCATGTTGAAGCAGTCACAGCGCGCCAAAACACAGTTGAAGCGATTGATCAAAGCCGTATGGACTTTTGAAGATGCTGAATATTTAGAGAGATGTTGGTTACTTCTTGCCGATTACTACATTCAATCAGGAAAATATGACCTGTCGAGCGATCTGATTAAGAAGGTATTGCAGTACAACAAAGCATCTAGCAAAGCTTACGAGTTTGCTGGTTTCATTTCGGAAAAAGAACAGAAATATCGTGACGCTGCCGCTCACTACGAAGCTGCCTGGAAGTATAATGGCAAAAACAACCCTAGTATTGGATATCGCCTGGCATACAATCTAATGAAGTGCAAGCGGTACGCAGATGCAATTGACGTGGGCCAATTGATCTACAAAATGCATCCAGAATACGTAAAGATTAAGAAGGATATTTTGGATAAGAGTATTAATAATTTACGCACTTAATGATTAACTTTATAAACGTGTTTTCACTGATTCACTAATTGTACTTGATGATGAGGTTGACGCGTGTTGACGAGTATAAATATATCGCACACGTGTTGGTTCTGTAGGAATTTTATTTCTTGGCACCCGGTTGTTCATCTCCTGAATCGATCGCGATTGGCAATGATCTCTAAAATCATTATTACTTTTAAACGGTACTTCGTCCGCGCTCGTCAATTTTACTGATTGATAATGTACACGAAGAAAAAACCAGCTACAAGCGTTTCGTGGGCGGGAAGTGATGTCCTAATCGAAGTGCATCAATTGGACTCGGATGCCGAGATCGACGATGAAACGATGGAAGGTAGGGTGAAATAAAGTGAACGTTGATTATGCGCGACACATTAATATTCATGAAATCATCTTACAATCAAACATATCAGACATCAGACACTCAAACACAATTATCAACGAACAATTAGACGAAGTGCACTCGTTCATAGTTCCAAGTACATGACTTGAGTGGCACTCAAAGCCCCACAAAACGCTAGCATACTAGCGACAGCCACCACGGCAGTCGTAGTGCCGGTGACGACCACAATCGTGCCCATACAGAGTGAGAGTATAAATTGGGCCAGGAAAACCATACTAGAGACGATTGCAATGTCAGTACCCAAACCTCGTACCTGCCCACCTATGACTCCGATCCCTTCTTGATTTAGTTCAAACTTCAAAAAAATGTTAAACAATCTCTTCACATATAAAAATCAATTGCGAATCTTACTGTCCCGGTTGTGTGATAATGCGCGACCAGTAGATACGGCATGGTGAATAATGTCGAATACATTACTCCGGCAGTCCAACTAAATATGATTACACCAACTTTATGCTTGGTTAATGCCATCAGACACATGCCGGAAGAGTAAACCAATAATCCTCCAACGTACACACGTTTGGCACTGTAGAGTTTCAAACAAGATTACTAAGCGAATATAAAACTAGTTTATTACCTACCCATATTTCTTAATTAGTTTTTCAATAACAGATGAGTAGCAAGCACATGATAGTGAATACATCGACATACCCCAACAACCAAAACGAACTCCATCTTCGTACAACTCTCTACTTTCACTTCCTTCCGGTGCCTATGTAGATAGATGAATATTTTAAAGTGTTTATTATGTATTGCTTTATATTTACGGTTGGTGATCCATTAAAAACTGCCTCTCCAACGAAATCAGTAAAATACAGCGAGTAGCAGACGTGCGCCATCCAACAGAATAAATTTGTCAAGCAGAGAATTTTCAAACTTCTCGGCATACAGACAATGCTCTGTAAATACGTCACAAGGGACGCATCTGGATGAACGATAATACTCGACTGTTGCTTCATTATTCGTTTTCTATTGCCAGAAATCTCATTTTCAACACTTCCCATTGCAACGCCTTCACTTTCATTAAAAGCCGTTTCTTTGCAATTCTGGAAATGAAACAACATCATTTGTATCATGTTCAGCTTACATCTCAGTTGTTTAATAAAAAAAGGGAAACATATGAAAGTCGTAAATTTGTTTTGTTGCCCCAACGGCACGATTTGAGTCGAAATTGAAATTGATATGGGAATGGCAATAAAACCTCATTGTTCCCGTCGGTTGGAGCAGGGGAGAGACTGCCGTAGCCGGGACCGTTCGTATGCAAATTCTCTAGTTGATGGCTTTCCAATAGCTGGAGCGGGATTTCCTTGAAGCTTGTCAGCGTCAGCGTCACGCACACGACAAAAATGATTGTGATGAGTGTGAAAACTGCGCGTACGTGACCGCCCAATAAAATTCCTACAATACACATAGACAATAAAATTGTTTCACAGATGATCAAAGATCAATCAATGCGACAAAGTTTATTTATTGCATCAGTAATTGAATCCATTTTGAACCGGTTAAAATGAAATGGATTTATGTGTATTTGGTCAGGTAGTATCTATTTTTAATTTTTGCATAGAATTTTATCAGTAGACATATGTCGGTTTATCAGTAGCATCCGTTTTTGACTCACCAATGGTGGTGACATCCCAATTAATGCCTCCTAATGCATATCCAAAGAATCCTCCAAGGCCAGCCATTATCGTGAAAGTGCTTAATCCTTTTGCGTGGTCATCTAGATTTAATTTTATTAGTTTGCAATGAAATTCTTCAAATATGTCAATATATTTTAGTACATATTAAATTTCACACGATAAAAATCGAAAAACACATAAAATATAGATTTATATATTTGAAAGTTGAAATTAATAAATACAATTATGTTACCTTCGACGGTGACATCCAAGAGGTAGGTCCTCGCGGGACTTTGACATGCGTCAGCATCAAAATCCAATAAGACAGTACCCAAAATAGTAAACAACACACCCCACGGATGACTATTTGGATGATTAGTATTATCATCAATATTATTCTCAGATGTAGCGGAAGTTCGATGTGAAACTATTTGTGTAACACTAGTATTGTAATAAGGATCTCCAAGTGCATAACCAATATCCTCGCCGTTTGGCACAAGTAGCAAGCCTATAAGATTATATAATTTGAAAATTAAATTTCTTTCTGTATTTTTTTTTATGAATTACCCAGTAGAACACCTAAGGACATACAGAAAATAAACGGTCTGCGTCTGCCAATGTTCAACGGACATTTATCACTCAGCGATCCTAAAATTGGTGTGAGAAAAAATCCAATTAAAGGGCTTAAGGCCCATACTAGGGTCATGTGCTTATGCTCAACACCGATTTTGAGCAAAGTTGGCGACACAAACGCCGTTTCGGCAGCGTATGAAAACTCAATTCCCATCACTGCCGCAGAGATACGAATCAAATCCGTGCGAGATTTTTGTCTATAAAATTACATCAATCGGAAGTATATTTTACTAAAAAATTTAAAAATTTACCTGAAAACGTGTGCATGTTCTTCAGTGATCGTATCACCAGGTTGTGGAACTCCAAAACACTTTTTTCTAACACTCGCCAATAATCCATCAGAGTTATCCTCCTTATAACTAGCAAACTTTTCTCGGAGATTATCCTTAAACGTATGCCAACGACCAGTTATGCCTTGATACTCATATAATTTTTCAGCCATATTGCTCAAATATTATGTTTTCACGTGTGTATTATTTGGAGACACATTGTGTGATGTACGGTTGAAAGAGCTCACAGAGACTGAGTAAACATCCAGCTGGCGGTTAATGAAGTCCCTGCAGACGGCCGCAGGAGAGACAATACGAAGTCCTGCGCCGTTTTCGTTTCTGTCGCGCTCGACGCTCCTCGCTTCGGATGAGACGTCGCGAATGTTTGCGATGCAGCTTTTTCTTGCGCACTGGCTGTCGAGCAACGATAAGAAACCCTACTAATTAGGTCGTATAATTGGATCTGGGATCGGCTTGTCGTAACTGTTTTGTGAAGCAATCGATGCGCTTTTCTTTTTGCTGGCGACAAAAATATTGAGGGATTAATGATTTGGAAGGTTTTAGTGTTAATTTTATTTAAAAGAAAGGTTAACTTGAATAAAACACACATAGGTATTATACAGTATATTGGACTTTTAAAGTAAATACCTACGAATGTGTGTGATTTTTTATCTGAATTGCATAAATTTTTGCTAGTGACATAAAATATTGAGGGATTAATGAATTTGAATACTTTAGTCTCAATTTTATTAAAAAAAAAATTAATAAAATACAAATTTTCAATTAAATTCCTCAAAATCAATAGAATCATTCGGGAAATATTAATTTTCAATGTTGGTAATGCTGCTTTTAAATAACATTGTTATTCAAAGTAAATTTTAATGAAAATGCGTTTCTTTGGATTTAAATTGCATAAATAGATCGATTATGCCATGGCAAATTAAACTTCAAACTTACCCTCCTGAGAATCCCTAAAAATCCTTCAGAAAATATTTAATTTCAATATTTGTAGAGTTGTTTTCAAATAGCATTTTAATTATAATGATTTATTTTCGTTCAGTTATTATAAATAAAAATAGCATAAACAATTTGTCACGTTGAAATTTATGGCGCTCGTTATAAAAATAATCGCAATGCCTCGAAATAAAAGCAACAAGTGTGAAGATAATTTACGACACGAGAAATTTTTTGGTCTGGTTCCGGATTCTTGGGCGTCGTTCCGGTTCGCCGCAAAACATTGACTGACAAGGACTACTTCCTTTTTCTTCGTCGTTTATGATGATGTTAGTCACGTACCATCAGGTTCCACCGGTTCGCGTTGAATACAGACCCATATATTTCGACATCTGCTGAAGTCATACATTCTCACTGCGACAGAGTTACGATGTGATTACGTATACGGATAACATGCTTGTTTGTTTACGAATGAATGAATTAAATATTTGGGCTGGACATTTGGTTGGTATACATTTATCAGAATACTTTTTCATTTTCTTACCATAAAATCCAGAAGGTTATTTTTAAAATGTATACATTGGACAGGTTGATGAAAGCATTACGATTACATGATGTTGTTTATTTTTACCGAAAGTAATATGATATGGTGATGGATTAAAAGGGTTACAAACGTGATGTTTTTGTGCAGACCTTTTATTGTCGGCGGGTTTGTAATTATCTGATTTTACATTATACATCGAGGAACATGAGAGCCAAAAACCGGTACCAACTAAAGAGAAGAAAAATTGCAGTGTCAATGAAACTGATTTTTAATGCGTGACTTAATATGCTTCAAGATAAATATCTGTAGCTTATTTACACAGACAGCTTTTCGAGTAATCTGATAAATTATATTTAATTATTAATCACTTGAATTAAATTTTATTTTTCAATCTTAAGTTCCCCAAGTAATGAAGCTATTATTTACAAACATTGCTTTATTATTACGTGTTTTAATACAAAATAGCCTAACTAATTGCGTTATTGTTCCTTTGACCTATTATGAGCTATCTCTGACAATAAAATCATCAAATTTAATTTAAAGAAATGAAGAAAGTAATAATGAACTTTAACGCCATCTAGCGTCAAAAATATACAAAAATTTCCAAAATTTCAAAATTTCAAAATTTGTTATGTGTTTTTAGCGCGAAACCGTCACAAATAAACAAACACACATTCGCATTTATATTTTGAGTTCCATTTATTACACTAGTTACCAAACATTATGTGATCACTACTTCCAGATTCCAATCTTTAACTCATTAATGCATTTCATTTCCGTCTTGTTTGAAATATATTATTAGTGTTATAAATCGTGTTACGTGTGGTTTGGTGTAACTCGCGGTCAAGTAAAACCGGCGTCGTTCTTGACATCCACGCTGCTTGTTGAATTCTGCGCGAAATAATGAAACAATCGCGCTGTAACCGAGCGGAGAGCTGTCGCGGATGGCGCGCGAGTTGAAGCAGAGCATTGAGCATCGTCATCGTCGGCGAAATCGCGACGAGGTCGTTCATTGTCGCCGCGTTTTCTTTCCGTCCGTCCCTCGGCGATACACTGACCCTCTCGCCGACATTGCTCCGGCCCGAGCACATCCGACATCGGGCACCTCGCCACTTCTCATGAACGGTGTCGACACTAATTGCACGCAAAATTACTTTGATCTCATAAATATCAATATATGCACGAATAACTTTTTAACATTGAAGATAAAGCTGCAAATTTTATTGGAAATATTTTTTCACATCTTCACTTTTCATATATGTGTGTGAGTATGAAAACCTTTTCATGAATTGATTTAAATTTAATATTTATTGGGTGCGTAGTTGAAAATTACGTTTGCATAATTATGCAAATTGCCGCATCAAGGATTTTGTTTCGTCTTCGAGGATTCGCGGGCGCATTGTTCGTAGATATCGCCGGATTAATTGTTAATCGACGGGCGTGCGCGGTTTTGCGCAAAAAATAAAAGTGGAAGTGTCGTGAGACGCGTGATTTACATGCGAATTTCTCGCGACGCGCCGAAACAAAGGACGAACGAAATTGGGTTAAAGTCAAGAAATAAATCAACGGTGGTGGCAGCGCAACTCAAAACATGACATCAACTAGATTTCAATAAATTCAAATTTCATCAATAAATCTCATAAATTGTGTCAGAAAATAAATATTTTTCGTTTCACATTCACCAAAAAAGGAAAAAGAAAAATTTACAATTACTTAATAACACATTATTGATTATTTATAAATAACAGCAACAACAACAACATGTTTGAATATGTCAACGTAAAATTTTCTGGAAATAAAGTTAAACACCGAGCCATGGTCGTAAAAATGTCGCACGAAATTCATAAGTGGTAACCTAGTAAAAAATCGCCAAAAACAAGATAGATTTGTGCCAATAACAGCGATATTCGGATAACAACATCGCCAATGACGAATTCCAAGCAATCCAAACATTCATTATTACTTATAATATGATTTCAAACACATAAACTGTGAATATTTCAAAATTTATGTGTGCTACTAGGAATTGCGGACGGGAGACGGCGACAAATCAAATATCGCGGCACTTGTTCGAAATTATGCGGCATTAAAATCACTACCAATGTCTGACGCGGTGACATTCTGCGAAATTGGCGAAAAGGCAAGGAGGAGGTGTTGTTTATTAATTTTCCATGGTCACATTCAGTCTGAACCAAATTCTCAATTTCTATTATTTATCTCTGAGCTCGCCGCTGATTTTTGCGGACTTGAAAATTAGCATTTCGGTAACTTATGTGGTTACCAACCGTTTAAGCGATTGGTAATGGTCGTATTACATGCCAATTATCATATATTCCAACGTTATAATACAAGAATAAACACTTAAAAAGTAATTTGATCTGTATTCGGATAAAACAATATTAATCTAATGACAGTTTAAAATTACAAACATTAAGTACGAAAATATTGTAAATTATTTTTAATAATTAATATTTAAGACATTTATCAAGTGTGAGATCATTGTGAAAGGTCAGAACTTATTATTATACCGTGCAATTTGTTTTTTTAAGTCTGCCACTTAATTCTTTCAAAATGTTATGACACGCAAATGTGTAGGTACTATATGTTTATATTTTTTTTTACCAAGCGACACGTCAATCACGCGTTCAGACCACCTTTAACTCGCAGTCATACAAATTTTCGCTAATTACATCCGTTCCAGATTAATATTTTTTTCAATCAATTAATTAGTTGTGTATGCTTTAAATCGATTTTTAATTAATCGCAAACCTAGTTTATTTTTGCAAGGATAATAAAAGGCGATGATTTTTTGCGTATTTTAGGCTAACTACTAAAAATATAGAGGTCTATAATTAACGTAAATGTATGGAAACAAACATTAACGGAGAAAATGAAATTATAATGCCATCGCGTAATTAGTTGACATAATAATGGATGTTTCACGCATTGAAGGAATTAAACTCTGAGTTCTGATCAATTTTAGTATACAAAGTGTTTATTATTTTATCTTTCGACAAAAAATTAAAAATTAAATATTATGATGTTTTAATAAAGTTGTTTTTAAAATATCTGTAATTAATAATATAAATGATGAACTTGTTGTTGTTGTGCATATAATAGAAGTTGTCTTAATCAATCGAATCGATTATTCTGGGTCTGACATTGTTACGCAGTGCGATGGCACGGCACGAGCGATCATTTCGTAATTACGCCTCGTTGCAAGCACTCCGGTGTTCCGGAGAGAACCGGATTCGACCGCCTTTCGAAAATTTTCCCCCAAAAAGCGGAAAAAAACACTTTTTCCAAAATAAATTCCACCAACCTAACAAAACAAATTAACCAGTGACTAAAAATATATCAAACACAACAACAAATTATTATCAATCGAGGATGTTATGACAGAGCGTAAATTTTCGTTAATTATTATTGTTATCATGCGTGCACGGCTATAAATAAACAAGTTTAGAACAATCGTAAAGTATTTTTAGTCGAGACGTTGATATTTATAACCAAATCACTTGAAACATATTCACCGATTACAATCACAACGTGATAAGTTCCTTTTATTAATAATCTACTAATAATGTATACAAAGTAAACTTGTTGAGAATATTGTTAAATTGAAAATTTAAAAAATTCCGTCACGGTTCCGCAGTGTGTAAGTTTTTGGGGGAAGTGGCGAGAGTAGCGCATTGATGATATTCGCAGCCGCGAGTTGCTGATCTTGAGATAATGAGTGATAATGGTGATCGCGCCAATGAAACGCAGTGTCCTTTGAAGGCTACTCCTGCCCGGCTTTTTGGCTGATCGCGAATCGACAGCTATATAATTAACTATTGTCGGACCGCGTGCGTCTTTAGTGAGAGTTTGCGCAAAGCCAAATAAACGTTCTTTTCGCGACGAGCTCGCGACTATAACTGAAAAGTGTCTGCGAAAAGTTTCAAACATTGACAAAGTTTACATTTATCTTCAGACAAGATGGGTTAGTTCAATTTTAAACACTTAAAATCACCTAAAATCAAATAAAAATAACAATAATTCATTGTGTTTTAATATTTGTGTGTTTTTAGGGTTGGACTTTTTGGAGTCACAGGGAGAAGACTTTGAACGAGCGCTTGAAAGCACTGGTGAGTTATAAAAATATTCATAATCTATTAATAAATAGTTTAGTTAATTAATTTGGATTCATATTAATTAAAAATGCGTTATATTAAATTTATCGCGCCATTAAACGCACATTAATTAAATATTCAAGTGCCATAAAATGTGTTTCATTTGAATATAAATTTTTTAATTTACACACGAAATTTTACTTTCTAGACGTTTTATTTTGATCGATTACACAAGTGAATGTTTAAAAATTAATTAATTCAAATTGATTACAAAATTACAATGATTGAAAACGTAGAACTTTAAAAGGATACAAGATTAATTGTGTCTCGAATATTCGGACATGACGTGAAAAGATTAAATCGATTCGCAAGACACACGCACAAAACGTCTCAATTAAAGTGCTACTCCCAATTATGATATATCGTGCACTCCATTAAACGAAATGTTAATTAAGTGATCACGAGCGCTAAAAATAAAAAAATCTTAAATTGTTTCGAAATAATTTATTAGTTCATTTTGTATAAATGAGAAAATTATTACCTGTATTTACACCAAATTCAATCCATTCATGACAGATAAGATCAAATTTGTTTAAGTGATCGACAACATCTGTTTTTGAATGGTTTGAATCGTTTGAATAATATTGAAATCGAGAGCGGAATCATCTCGCGTGAAATAGATAAATCAAATCCAGAAGGTGTTACTCAATGTTATGGGCCACCAAAAAATTTCCATCGGATTTGAATAATGCATAAATTAACATACGCATTTAAATAAATTACTTCGACTTTAAATTCAATTCAATTCGGTAGAAATTTGTATAAATCAAAGAGAATAATGCGTGAGTGTGATACAAATGTATTGCAATAATAAAATAACGAAATAATGAAATGTCAATCATGGATTTACTGATTTATAACTTGAAATGATTTATTGCTTTCATAGTGTCATCACTATTAAGAAATAAAATTAATTCAGTTTAAATTTAATTATTATTTGATTTTTTAAAAATTATAACCTCAAAAAATACTATTTTGAAATCGTGAATAATGTATAGTATTCTATTTGACTGTAATTATGTCAACATTCAAGCACTTGACCTAAAAATAAATCCCTTTTATTCCAATTCTGAAACACATTTTTATTATCGATGCCTAAATATCGTTCATGAGTGAAGTGACACTTGATGCTCCTAGTATAATTAAGCGATTATGCGTGCATCTGAATGGCCCTCGACCTTGGTCATTCTTTAATATTCCAGGCGCGCGCGCGACGCTTTTGTACGAGTTATTTTTGTTTGCTCGACGCGCGGCCTGAAAATGGTTTCTTCCTCGATGTTTGCACACCGGCGCACGTTTGCAGCCGCTTCGAGTAAAAGTGGTAAACATCTTAATTAATTAAGAAGCGCTTCACAAATCGTTCGATATATCGAGTGCGTTCGCCTCAAGGACGTTCCATAAGAATTACTTAATATAGTTTCGTGTGTGTTACACATGCATTATGACAATGTTTTTCATGTTATTTTCGTCAAACTGATCGATCGAGCTGAGTTAATTTCTGTACAATTATAAATAAAGATGTCTGTCTGATAGGTCAATGTGATCAATATTCAATAAGTTTAAAAATTGTTTTTTTTTTTTAATTTTAGGTTTTGGTCGATTTCACTACGCATTACTGACACTATGCGGCTTGATTTACCTGAATACTGCAGTGGCCATCACGATCATCTCGTTTGTGCTACCGTCGGCGACCTGCGACTTCCAGATGACGTCCTCTGACAAAGGATGGCTGACCGCTGCGCCAATGCTAGGCAAGTGATTTATCTGCGCTCGAAATTCACGCATGATTAATGGATGACAATTTGGCGAAATCGCATTGAAATGAAAAGCCTTGCCACTTGTCGAATGTTTAAACCCAAAGAATGTCGATTATATCGATTATAAATGCAAAGGTTATCCGTCAATCTCATGCGCGCGTTTTTCCTTTCTTCCTTAACAGCTTCAACCTAGACCAAGTCATTTCAAACTAATTCAAGGATTTGCGTAGACATTAGTTATGATTCTCATTTTTCATTTAATTTTTAGGCATGTTGTTGGGATCTTACTTCTGGGGTTGTCTGGCTGATACCAAAGGACGCAAGGTTGTTCTTATAGGTGCACTAATTATGGATGGACTTTGTGGGATTCTCTCCAGTGTTGCTCAAACCTATATTCTGTTTTTGATCCTAAGGTTTATCAATGGATTTGCGTAAGTTACCTTCTTCTACAACTCAACTTAAGAAATATTCTAATTTTATTTAAAAATTTAGCATTACGGGAGCTATGGGTATATGCTTCCCTTACCTTGGCGAATTCCAACCCGTCAAACACCGTGAAACCATTCTTTGTTGGATGGAGATATTTTGGACCATTGGAGTGATAGTACTTCCTGGTATAGCATGGATTGTCATCCCATTGGAGTTTGAAATCATCATGCCCAGTTTCAAATACGCCAGTTGGAATCTTTTCGTTACCGTTTGTTCAATACCTTCGATTCTAATCGGAATGTGGTTGCTCTTCTTCCCTGAAAGCCCCAAGTTTCTCCTAGAATGTGGAGAAGCAGATGAAGCTCTTGAAGTTCTCAGAAACATGTACTCCATCAACACTGGTAAATCTCCAGACACGTTTCCAGTTCACTCTCTACGAGAAAAGGTGCGCACCATGAGTGTGGTCTCACAGAACTCCACCCGTAGTGTACGATCACTTCGCATCAGAAAACCAAAAGAACTTAAACTACTTCTTCAAGAAATTTGGGAACAAACAAAGGCGTTGTGCAAACCACCATACCTCAGATATACTGTATTAACCTGCTTAATTCAATTTGGTCTCACCTCGAGCTACTTCACATTGATGATCTGGTTCCCTGAGTTATTCTATCGTTTCGAAGAGTTTGAATCTCTCCACCCTGGACAAAGTGCGTCGGTGTGTGATGTGAGTTCCATCGTTATTGGAGGTAATTCCACAGATGTTGAATACTGCGGGGAACCAATTGGTGATGAGGTGTACCTTCATACTTTGATCATCGGTCTGGCGTGCATTCCTACCAGTTTATGGTTACCACTATGTGTGCATCGCTTCGGCGCCAAGTTCTTCTTGGTGTTCAGTTTGCTGGTTGCTGGTGGGGTTACCATGGGTTTATATTTTGTTGACTCTAGCAGTACCAACTTAATTTTGTCCTGCATCTTTGAAGCTCTGACCAGTTTAGCTATCAGTACAGTGTATTGCGTAATGGTTGATCTATTTCCAACACAATTAAGGTAACTTATGAAGTTATAACCTATAAATATGATTGTATATAACATATTGTTTGTTTAGGGTAATGGCGGCAGCTTTATCATTGACATTTGGACGAGCAGGTGCGTTGATTGGAAATCTCGTCTTTGGTTTCCTCATCGATTTGCATTGCGTTGTTCCGATAGCCTTGTTCGCATTTATGCTCGTCGGGAGTGGACTGTTGTGCTTCAAATTACCGAGCACAGGACAAGGGGCTTTAGATTAAAGAGTGAACACGTTTTAAATAGCTTCAATTTATTGAGAAGTTATGAAATTATGAAATTGTGATACAAGTTTTGCAATTTAGCAAAGACATCAAACATGATCAGTGTCTTTTAAGAATCTATCAATTAAATCTAACCTTGAAGGTGCAATAAATACAAATGTAACAAGTTTGGTGCTAAAGTTTGATGCACAAGTAGCAAATATTAATGAACACATTTAGTACAATATTTAATTTAAATAAGGTACAATTATGTATAACTTAATTAATTTATTTTAAGTCATTGTTAAGCCATATCTGTATACCCGTAATTATTTATTATTCCTATTTATTGTATGTAACTCTTAGTTTAATTATTTATGAACAATTTTGTTATTTAATGTATTTATTAAATTTGATTGTTTGCCATGTTTGAAACGGTTTTGTGATTGAAAACACGTTACTTTACTGCACAAAGTGTTGCACTTTGTATGGAATGTATTAGTTACCATTGAAAATAAAAAAGCAATACGACATTTAATATCTGAAATATTTAAAGTATACATCTATAATATAAAAATGAATCTCAGAATCTGTTGGTAAGCGCATAACTCAACAACGCCGAGACCAATTTGACCAATTTTTTTTTAAATGTTCGTTAAAGTCCAATAATTGTTTTTGCTGTAAGAAAAATTCGAATAATTGTCGGGAGAACCCTAAAAACAGCCCTTTTCTATAGGATAAAAATTGGAATTGAGATTCAATCATAGATATAGTTAAATAGTTCTATCCAAGATGGCGCGCTGAGGCGCATTATTAGCTATTCTTTATATAATTAATTTCTTTAAAATAAAATTGCGAATCTTTTTGACAGAATTGACACATACTATGTCTAGAACAAGAGAGTAAAAACGAATTACATTTTTATTAAACACTACCGGGACAAAGTTGCGGGCAAAGGCTAGTTTTAAATATTTTTCCAAAAAATATAATAAAATGCAATCGTTTACGTGTGGTTCGGGTGGTAATCACATAAAAATGTTATGTCCGCGCAAATAAAATTTGTATTATGTATTCATGAAAAAACAGGAATGTAAAAAACAATTTTTAAAATGTCCCACTCACGAAGTCCATCTGGAAGTGTGTACTATCTAATTCCGAAATAAAGTTGAATGAAACCTATATTGAATTATTAAAGAATTACTTTTTGGTGTCTTGATAACCAATTTAATTGGTCTCCCAATAAACTACTTTGCATTATTTTGCATTTTATGGTTATATTAGCAGGAATCACCGACTTAAGTTAACAAATCACATCAAATTAAAAAATATATATATATAAAAACTATATAATATAAATCAAGTTTCAGTTATGGACAAATTAAATTCATAAGAATATGCGCACCTATGAGATGTTTTTGCATATCTACCTATTATAATATTCATATATTTCATGCAAATATTGTGCATTTTACAAATTATTGTTTTAAATGTTCAAGGTGATTTGAACCATTTAAATCTTTTTTGTTAAGAAATCGAAATAGCGCACCTCATTTATCCTCACATGATGCTCAATGTACCAAATAGAAATAAATAGATAAAAAAGTTACATATCCGTAACTACTATCACACTGTAGCAATAGTTTGTTTGTACAAGTTTCGTGCACGTTTTAACCATCTATTAAAATAATTGATAAATTCATCATTATTAATTATCAGTTAAACATTAAAACAGCTATGAATAATTCACTTGACATTTCGTAATATGGAAATCGGTCAAAAGATCAGTGTAACATTTATCATGACATAGCAATTGGGCACGCAAAAATCCAAAACCACTATATACATCAAAAACAACGTATGACCATGTGCGATAATGATGCAGACGCCGTTATCAACTACGACATGCTGTGTCTAGATGGGCGCTATGATTTTATGCATAATTAATAAGGAATGATCAAAGTGGGGATGAGCAGAAAAAAGAAGATCGAGACGCATTGCTCGTATAAATATTCAAATTGTCAATAAAAGCAATCAGTTCAAGATTGTACTTCACGAGAAAGTAAAACTTGACTGCATAATATGTATTAACACTCAATTGCAATTGTTGATAACTCGTAATAAAAATAATATCACAAGTTTTTTTGCGTTGTCAAGATGAATTTGCACTTTGCGTTCGCGTTTTTCGCATTAATTGTGACTATAAATGACTGCAGAGCTCTTGATGGAGAGAGTAAAGACAAGGAATTGGTACAAGCACATGTGGTGAGTTATAATTTATAACAATAAAACATAAAACAAAATTTAAAAAATGTTTTTTAAAGATTTTTAGGCATGGTGAACGTACTACCTATCAATTCTATCCAAATGACCCCCATATTAACAAAACTTTTCATCCTATCGGACTTGGCGGATTAACAAACGTAAGAATTACTTTTATATTGCTTTATTTTTATTATAATCAATTAATTATATTTTATATTTATATTTAGAATGGAAAACTTGGCGAATACAAACTTGGAAAGTTCCTGCGAAAAGAATACAATTCCTTGATAGGTGAATTATACTCTGATCAAGATGTGGACGTGAGAAGTACCAATACAATTCGGACAATCCAAAGTGCGCAGCTAGTCCTCGCAGGACTATATCCACCCGTTTCTGAACAGATCTGGCATCCCGAGCTGCGCTGGCAACCAATTCCGGTTTTCAGCAAGTTAAAACCAGAAGAAGACGTATGTAAACTGAACTATATTGCACGCGACAATAAATTGCGCTTATCGCACGCGACTCGTGTGTTCGCATCGTAGGCAAAGTCTCATTTTCATTCTCGGCCGCATTATCGCTCGTCAATGTCAATATACTATGACGAAATGAGTCTTTGCCAACACAACTCAAACTGGATTGATCTACAATTAATTCGATTTTGACTATTCATCAATGAATTTTTCTAGTTCAATGTTGAAATTGTGTTTGCAGCTTTTGCATCCTGAGTTATGTCCGAAAAAACTTGCTTACTATGATGACTTACCAAATCAAGGCAGCATTTATCAAACTTTTATTAAACCATATGAAAGTTTATATAAATACGTCGAAGAAAAATCTGGAATGAAAATACGACATCCCCATCAGCTTCTTGAATTCTATTTTGTTGTGAATACAGAAGAAGATCTTCATTTAAATCTACCTGAATGGGTACACAAAGTCTACCCGGATCAAATATACCCAGTGGCTAGTCTGACTTATAGCTATCATAATATGGACAATGAAATCAAGAAAATCAACGCGGGATATTTAGTGAAAAAGATTCTAATGGATGCTTTTAATATGACTGAAGTACCGAAACAAGAAGGTGTTAAGAAATTGTATTTGTACTCTGGCCATGAGAGTACTTTAGGTTATTTACTTTTTGCACTGGATGTCCTCAAACCGCACATTCCTGCCTATGGTAGTGCGATAATGATTGAACTTTACAAAGATAAACAGTCGGAATATTTTATTAAAGTAATATTTAACTTGTTAATGTAGGCAACACAAATAGCACATTTAAAATTCTATTTTCAGATTAAATACCGCAATAGTCCTGTGGCCAATGCAGCTCTAGAATTCATTCTTCCAGGATGTAATGGTAGGACTTTTTGTCCACTAAAAAAGTTCTTTGATTTGCAGAATCATTATCTGCCGACTCTCAGTATTGAAGAAGCTTGCAAACTGGATAGTCCATAGCTACATTACGATTTAATATAACCTACATTATTTTTAATATTTATGTTAAAATTTATTAGACATCTAGAATGTAGTCATAATTTTAGGTAGAACTGACAATAACTGCAATTAAATTATCTTTTAGATTTAGTTTGTTTTAGATTTACGAAAAGATTTATGTAAATTATTTTTAAACTGTCACAATTTCCAAGCGAATAAAGCACCTGTTATCATTTCAAAATGTAATCTTCCAAACAACCAAGCGTGTTAAATGTAAAATTATGTAGTAAACATAATTCCCTCATTGTGGTAATCAAAGCCTTCAAACAGTTCAACATGTTACGAAACACCTCAAACCATTCAAATTCAAATTGTTAACTTATCAGACCACCATTATGTCTGCTATGAAAGGTACCTTCATTATTTTGGCCTGCTGGGTTGTTTTGCTGGTCATTATTTACTTTACTGGTATCTGGCCTGGATATTATTGTGATCGATTGAATGAAGTTGATAAAAATATTCGAATAATAATTCATTAGATAACGATTATTTAAATGATATAGAAAATGAAGCATGGTTTCAAAAATACTCTGAATATTATCCAGAGAGAAATATGAGCACATTGAAGTTATTACATGTGGTAAGAATACAATTATTAATTTTTTATATAAAAACATAACAAGATTGAGATGGATTATTTATTTTTGTAATGGTTGCATCAAAAACACGTTTGTGATGTTTTCGATGTTATAATTTGTTGCTAGGTAAGAAGTAAACAACGAAACTCAAATAGTGTTATTATGGTGTTACCTCAAGGTTAAAACTAATGTGAAAATTGAGTTAAACTGGCGTTAAAAGTTTAAGTCAATATCAAATACATATAAAATTATATAATAGATCAAATCTTTCAGCTCGTTAGACATGGTGATCGAACCAATTTAGAAGAATGTAAATATCCAAATGATCCATATTTAAATGAAACCTACGAACCGGTAGGTATTGGGAAATTGACCAATTTAGGCAAGCGGAGAATGTATGAAGTTGGAAGAGCATTACGACATCAATATAACGAATACCTAGGTGATTATAAATCAGAATATTTAAATGCTGTTGCCTCAGAGTTGGGAAGAGCCAGAAATTCGTTGGAATTGATTTTGGCTGGATTGTTTCCACCTAGTGAGGAATTTATTTGGATGAAAGGATTTAACTGGCAGCCGATTCCGTTTCACTCCAACAGTGGTAAAGATAATGTGCGTTTTAATTCAAATATGATTGCTAATATGATAGTTATGCTAATTATGTAAATTAAGTACAATTACTATAATAATGACGATATCAGTAGCTGTTATTTTTAATTTGCGATAGCTTTTGGGAAATCCCCGTCGTAATTGCGCTAACTGGACGCAATATTATGCAGAATCGCACGCGAATTTCCAAGACGTGATGACTAACTATTCAAATTACTTCGATCGACTTGTGGAATTCACCGGATGGGACCGCAATCTCCTAAGCGCCAACTTGATGTATAATTCAATCACAACGAATGTAATTTTGCGTGAAATTTGAATGTCAATGTTAAAAAATAATATTTGGTTGTTTAAGTTGGCTTGGGGCTACGAACTCGATGAAAGTTTAAAGGAATTCTGGCCGGAACCGACGTTGACATTGAATAATATTTTCTGGAAAGCTTTCACAAATACGGAAAACACTCAAATTGCAGGAGCTGGTACTTAGACTAGTTATTTTATATTATATTATTTAATAAATTTAAATTTAGGTAAATTTATTGATGAGCTTCTTGAGCAAATAACTAAAAAACTAATGGATTCAAATATGACAAAGATACATATTTATGCTGGAAGTGATTTTAACATTATGTTTTTAATAAGGATTCTTGGACAAGAAATTTTTGATAATCCTCCGTTTGGAGCACATCTTATTATTGAATTTCATAAAAACGGCGAGGAATCATTTTTACAAGTACTAATGTAATATATCTTAAAAGTATTTATTAAATATTTTTGTTTACAGTTTTTCTATCGGCCAAATTTGGACGGACCGCTTCTAGAATTAAAAATTCCTGATTGTCAAGCACCCGCAAGTGATGGTCAAATGCGCTGCTTGTTTGACGACTTTTTATTGACTAGAATTAAGTTTTTGCCATATCCAAACTACTGCTGAATTTAAATTTATTCATAAAATGAGAAAAAATGTAAATATTAACATTTTATCGTGTTATTAAATCGTAGTTTTACGACTTTAATATTCTCATATTAACATCACTAATTATTTAATAACATGTTCTATTCTCATTAATACAATTACAGTTTACAATGTCTGCCATATATTATTTTTTAACATAAAAAAATAATTGAATGTCGTATATTTTAATTTTAGAACAATGTTTCATTGCCTTTCGAATTTATGACTACAAGATTATTGCCTATAATAATAGTAGAGTGGATGTAATTACGAATACAATAAAAATTATTAATTTTCTACACTAGGATCGATGCATTTTTAAATTTGATGTAAACTTGGTGGGTCGTTGCAAGAGTCAACGTGCAGAAGGTCGTTCGATAAATTTCAAGGATGACTTCTATACGCTTCTGCAGGCGCGTAACTTCCAACAAGAATTAGCCAACTGCGGGCATACCGAGTGTTCCATCAAGATATAATATAACACATGCATACAAAAAATACTTCACCAACTCATTAAATTTCCTCGTAAAGCGTTTTTAAACGTAATTATTTTTTTGAAGCATTTTAATTAAAGGCAATTATTTAAAATATTTTACAAAAATTTCGAACGTAAACGCTGGGTATATCAACAAACAACTCATTAACGTAAAGTAAACTTAATGCATGGCAAAATCATGTGCAGAAAAGTATTAGGTATTCTCTTAATTATTATCGGCTTTGAGTACTTGACTGACGTGTGCGTTGTAATTTCAAAGCGACGGCAAGCATGTAATAATTCTTCGGCAGACCATTTTTGCGTATTGTGCGCACAATTAATCACACGCGGCACGTTTATCTAGTGCAAATAGTTGTCGATTGATTAGTCTTAAGTCTTGACCGATGACCAAAGAGCAAAGAAGAATTGTACTCGTACTAGAAACTAACGCCAGTAGTGCGTGTGTTTCGCTATATTTGTTTTGGCATTGAAATTGACTTGACTCTACAAATACACGAACAAAACAAATGCGTTGATAACTGGTGACAAATTTATATTTAGTTTGCGCGCACTCGGTGAAAATGTGGTTTGGAAATAACACATTAATATTTACGCACGTTTATTGTAAAGCACAAATGCGTTGAATTCATAATAACTGAATGAGAAATCAAAATACAAATTTACAACTTAACCGCATTTTTAACCACAAAAGCGCTAATTGCAGTATATTTCCTTATCATTTATTTTATGTCAAGGAAGTAGTATTTTATTTATAGATTAGTATTTATTTTTATTGATAAAATAATATAAACTTTGGATTTTTCCGTTAGTGAATTTCAAGGACTTAGAGTTTGTTTGTGATTCATGCTTCAGTGCGCCGTTAAAAATGTAATAAAGTTGTATAATGATTAAAAACCGCAAATTCCGTCTCTTGTACGACGAGCGAGATTAGGGCGCACTTGAGTCGGTCAAGTTTGGAGCGTCGATGATTAGCAAATGAATGGTAATTAGCAGCACTGACGTGCCGCCGTGGTTGGGAAACGAGTCGACATCACTTGGATTTGCCGGCGCGGTCGGTGCGGTTCGCGAACGCCCGACATTTAGCCTAGCGCTCTATAAAGTCAAAACGAATAATTCCGATTCTCACAAATCCGTGCGAAATGCCGTCGCGCAAGGTGCTCTCGTCGGTGTCGCCATCCGCGTCAGGATCAGTGCCAATGCTGCAGAAGACGTTCGCCATTCTGGTAGCGCTCGCCGCCTGCGCCACCTTCGCGGCCGGCTATCGCATCTCCGAAAAGGACAAGAATAAACATCTCGATGACGATTCAAATGAGAGTAGCGACACACTAGTCCTAGCTCATGTGGTAAGCAAATCAAAATCTATTAATATTAATAATAATTAACTTTTATTTCTAATTTTCAATGATATTTATTCATGATCATGATTCTAACCTTTGTATCACAATGCAATTCCCAGTTCAAACAGTTCAGTGTTTGTTATGAGTGTTATAAGTATCATACTCACATGAATGTTATTACTGTTTATATACTTTTTTATAGTTTATTTGTTTTGAATTTGTTTAGTTATTTCGTCATGGAGATCGAACACCAGATGTCAGCACAATTTATCCCACTGATCCGTACGCCAATGAGACGTATGCTCCCTACGGTAAAGGACAATTGACTCTGCAAGGAAAAGAAAGGGCTTATCGACTTGGTGAACTTCTACGAGAGCGCTACGACAATTTTCTTGGACCCATTTATTTACCAGACCTTGTAGAAGCAAGAAGTTCGTCGTATCCTAGGACTAGAGCAACTTTAGAATTAGTTCTTGCTAGTTTATTTGTTCCTACCGAAGAGTACAAAATCAGAGACAACTTACTCTGGCAACCAATTCCATTTGAATTCACACCAAGAGAAACTGATAATGTAAAATTTATTATCTTAAATTTAAAAGTGTATAAAACTAATATTTATATTTGATTACAGTTAATTGCGACGTTTATCTCATGCGAAAAAGTATTTGACGAGGTTGAGGAAGTCCAGAAAGCTCCGAAAGCAAGGAAGGAATTCAGGAAAAACAAAAGAATGTACGATTACCTCAGCGAAAAGTCAGGATGGGATGTGAATAGCACCACACGCGCTAGTTTTATTCAAAACACTCTACAGACTGAATCTGAGTGGGGTCTACAACTCCCAGAATGGGTGGAGAAGGTGTGGCCCGGTCCATTAAAACGCGCCGCTGGTGAATTCTGGAGATTCTACGGTAGTACCCCAAAACTACGAAGTATGGCAATTGGTAATCTCTTAGGGAAAATGATCAACGACACCATTATGCACATCACCAATGATTTACCACAAGCGAGGAAAATGTTCCTTTACGCTGGTCATGATTTCAATGTGGTACCATTTGTTGCTGCACTTGGTAACCCTGTTTCGGAGACACCTTACACCGCACATGTTATTTTGGAGGTTCACAATGTTGACGATGAATATTATATTAAGGTACAGTCAATTTAATGTTTATGAGGTCAATGGCAGTAGGCAATGCACATTATTGCCTTCAAGCATGAATAACATTGTTCTTTCTTTATTCACTTCATGGTCATTCATGTAGTAATTCTCTATAATTTAATTTCAGGCATTTTATAATGATTATTCTGAACCGGAACCTAAATTACTACGAGTAAAGGATTGTCCAGAGTTGTGTCCTTTTGAACAGTTCCAGGATCTGATGAAGGAAAACATACCAGCGCCTAATAAATGGTGCAAATGATTCATTTGCATCTTATTCTTGAATGTTTTAAATTGGCTTAAAAACTCAAAGATTTATAGATGTATTTATTAATTAAATATGATTATTTATTAAGCGAGTACTACGTAAAAAACTAATTTTATGACAGCAGTGTACAAATACATGACCAATGTGTGATTTTATGATTTTACAATAAATATAGTATTTTTTGCCATAAGATAAATCCGAATTTGTAGATAATAAATTCATTTTCAGAACTGAAAGCATTAAATTTTATTTCACATAAAAAAGAAATGTTTTTTAAATTTTTCAAATTCTTTGAATATAATATCTGTATGTATTTTTAACTGATTATTTTAAATTCTTTAACAAAACAAACAACATATGATACAGTAAAGGTTTAGTTTTAACAATGAATACTAGTCAGTGGCTTGTACATATTGGCATTGTTCCTCTTGCAATAGTAAGCATAATCATTGCCATGATAACTATCTCAGAGCACGTTGTTAAATACCCAAACAAGACAGAAAAATTACTGTTACTGCAAGTAGTAAGTATCCATATATTAAATAAATATACAATTTACAAATATTACTTCAAGATATTTGCTAATGGTGAACAAGACTCATTACCCTTCATTCCACAATCTTCTTCTGATGCTGACATCTACTGGTTAAACGAAAGTTCAGTGCTTTCATTGCAAGGACAAAAGCGTGCCTTCAAACTCGGGAAAGCAATAAAAAACATCTATCAGTTATACCTTCAAAACTATGATTTTTCATATGATTTAGTTTATTCTAGCACTGGATATTTAAATATTTTACAAGCGACATTACAGTGTGTACATGCAGGGCTCTTTCCGACATTTCCGGGCGCTCAGATTATTAACGTTAATCTTGATTGGAGACCTGTACCTTATGAAGTTTATCCTAAAAATGATGACATCTATATCTACCAAACAGAAGTTCTTAAAACATTAAGAGATTTAAGAGTTAATGGACAAAATGATTCAATGTATGAGACACAATTAAAGAAAACTTTAGATGTTATCTCAAATATTATTAAATTTAATGCTAGTTTGAGCGATGTAGTTATGATTAATGACTATTTAAACATCCAGGTAGTATTTAATTTATAGAATTAGTTAAAATACCAAATAAAAAAAATAATATAATTATTTTAGAATAAATTTAGAAAGTTATCAAATGAATGGAACGAAATTTGGCCTGGTGACACAACTGCGTTAGTAAATGAATTTTGGAAAGAATTTGCATCACACGCACAACCATCTGCTGGTAAACAGATACAAAAACATAAACAAAATTCAATACATAAACATAAATTAATTGTCAATATTTTAGTGCCACTACTGAATGTTTTTCTAGAAAATATTAAGAAAAAAATAGCTAATGAGCTTCCCACGGCTAGAAAACTACATTTGTTTTCTGCCCATCGTTTGAGTCTTGTAGAGATTTTATCGGGTTTAGAAAGTTGGGATATTCTAAACGGAACCATTACACCTTGTTCGTATATTCTTTTGGAAATGGTCCAAGAATTTGCAACAGGTTATTATAAAATACATGTAAGTTTATTGCCAATTAAACTTAAAACAAAATAATTTTTTTCTCATTTTTAGTTTTATTTTGGAAACGGGACCGAAGTAGATCAACCACGACCGTTTACACCTAAAAGATGCGCAAATGAGACTTGTACAATTTTTGAGTTTACGAAAATTGTTAATGGCCTAACACTTTTATAAATAAAATTTATTATAATCGATATTTTTTGCAAAAGAATGCAATACGATACTTTACTTCTAAAGTATATAGCGCATGCGCGTTACGTGCATAATTTTCCTACTTTTTCCCACCTTTCTCAAAAATAATTACTGATTAACAATTGATTACTAATAATTATATCTTGATGATCAAAATAAATTGCATGTAGTTACGTAAATAATTATTGTTTGCCATTACGTCAATTGGAATACGACATTTGTTTGACTTTATAGGTAAATTATTGAATTTAGTCTAGCGCTCAACTAATTTCTTTCAACCAATTTGCATGTTTGAGTACTGATAAAATTCACAACTACGTTTAACTAGCAACTGTTCTGCCATAATCAATAGTGATAAGCTTTTGCAAACATTCATTCGAAATAACATAACTAAAATTATCGACACTTTGACGGAATATAAAACTATTATAATTCCTACCTACGTGAACAGTCCTGGTTGAAATTCTACAAAATGTGTAACATTTTATTCACTGGAATAATACTATTTATTCTTAATGTAAATTTTTGTACAGCAGCAAGAGACCAAGATACGCTAGAACTTGTCCATGTTGTAAGAAATATAATAGTGTATAATTTAAATGTTAATCTTACGTAAATGTTGTGAAATTTTAGATTTTCCGCCATGGCAACCGAACTACCATTCCAGATATGATTTATCCGTCTGATCCGCACATCAACGAAACCTATTATCCTTTCGGGCAAGCAGAGTTGACACTGGAAGGAAAACGAAACGCTTACAATTTCGGAGTGGAAATTCGCGCGAGGTATCAGAGTTTTCTCAACGAGACCTACTTCCCACCGGAGATCAAAGCGTTCACATCCAACATATCTCGCACACAGATGACGCTGCAATCTGTGTTAACAGCGATGTATCCTCCAATATATCCAAATGTTGTTTTGCCATATTTAATGTGGCAACCCATATCTTACGAAACTATTCCAACAAATGACGATACCGTATATAATAAATTAGGTTTAACACAGCTACCCCAATATTTAAATTTTATTTTTAAGTTGATTATGGTTAACTGTTCCAAAAAACTCGAGACACCGGTAAAAAGAGACCAAGAATTACAAAATTTGTACGATTATGTCAGTGCACACGCTGGAAAAAAGATGATTGACTCTAATGATATTATGAATGTGTACAACACAATTTTAGTTGAGAAACAAAATGGTTTCCCAGTTCCAGACTGGGCAGAGGAAATTTTAACAATGGCAAACTGCAAGATGCAGCGTTATCACTTTGGGTTGATATAATCGAACAACAATTACCAATAATTTCAGGAAATTTAATCAGAAAAATAACTGAAGATAGCGTTAAAAACTAAAAACGAAATTGCAAACCAAATATTTCTTTATTCTGGGCATGATACGACAGTTGCTGGAATGCTAGGTGTGTTTGATGCTTACACCAAGTTTGAGTTGGAATATTTATCGCATGTTTATATAGAGTTACATAAAATTGACGACGTATATGGTTTCAAGGTAAACACAAAGACTTTAATTGTTATTATGCATTATACTGACGTTATTGTTGTAGGTATATTTCCAAAACGGACCTGGCAATGAGCTACGCCAATTAAAATTCAAGAAATGTTCCAAAGATTTCTGTAAAATGAAAGACTTCATAGAATCGACAAAACATTTGTATATTCCCGAACCAGTGTGTTACTAACACAACTATTACATTATTACACAACGTAGACATTATGTCATTAGTGAGATATAAATGTTAATCCTTGATAAGAAGCTTTACTTACAAAGTCATTATCATGCATCGGCATGTCGGTGAGTGCATGCTATTCAACGTAGAACAGCAAACTTTGTGGTGTCATTAAAAGTCTTGATTTTAGTTCACTAAAAATGTACCTTATTTTGTGGCTAATATTAAACGTAGTTCCTAATTTTGAGGCTTTACCGAGCAAACAGGATTTACTAAATGAGCTTGTAAATGTTCCCCCGGCTGAAGACACTTTATTGTTTGCACATGTTGTAAGTTTTTCTCTCTAAAAAAAATTGATATATAAATGGGTAATGTATACTTTTTTAGTTGTTTAGACATGGAGATAGAACACCTACGTCAATTTCAACGTATGCAAATGATCCAAATAAATATGCATCGTATTGGCCGATAGGAGTTGGCCAGTTGACTAAAGTAATTTTAAAATAAATATGGCCCAAATGATAAAACCTGGAATTTTTAGTTGGGAATGTTGGAAACCTATAAACTCGGTTTGGAATTACGAAAAAGATATGACAATTTCTTGGGAAATGTTTATTTTCCTGATTTAATTGGTGGTTTAAGTTCACCGAAACCTCGTTGTAAAACTTCATTGCAAAGTGTTTTCGCTGCATTGTTTCCGCCGAGTGAAGAAGAGCAATTTATAGCTGATCTTCAATGGCGTCCAATTGCTTATGAATATTTATCAGATAATGAGGATGATGTATTAAAAAAATATTTTACTTGATTTTCTTACAATTCATTTATTTTTGAAATGTTTAAGACTTTTGCTTTGTACGAATGTGACAATTACTGGAACCTGACTCATGAAGTAACCGACAAAAGTCTTTTTGATTTGTATGATTACCTAACAGAACAGACTGGGGAACCAATTCGAAACAGTTCAGCACTTTTTATCCTGCATGAAACTATTTCAGTCACGGTAAATATTTTTAAAAAATTGCATGAATTGATATTGACTAAATTTGATGCAAAGATTAAGTTGGGAAAACCTCAACCAAAATGGGTTTTCAACATTTACCCGGAACCTTTGCGGTCTGCTTGCCGTGAAGTCTACTACGATATGCTCCAGCAACGATTACGACTGGGTGCTTCCGGTCTTTATCGTCGTTTAACTTCCGATATTGTTAAAAAATTAGAAGGTAAGTTATCGCCGCCCAGACGCAAAATGATGCTGTATTCAGCACATGAACAGACATTAGTTTATGCTCTTGGAGGAATTGAGGCATACAGTGGGCAAGTGCCTAAATTGGCATCTTATCTTGCCTTTGAGTGGCACTATATTAACCAAACTTACGGATTGAAGGTATTTAATCAAGAAATATTTGTATTTTAAAATCAAACACAGTAATTTCTAGGTACTTTTTCAAAATTATGACGAGGTTGCTCCTGTGCCTATTAATATTTTACAACAAGGAGAATTTTGTCCTTTAGAAGTACTTTTAAATGGAACAAAATGGTTAACTGAAGGACCTAAACCTTTTTGTCGAAAATAAAAACATGGATTTAACATAATCTTTACAAGTTTATGATAATTATTTAACCTAATAGTTTGTTCAAATATTGCCTTAACGTTGTAATTAGACTCTAATCTTAAGTAAACCATAAAACGTAATTTAATGGGTTTAAATATGAAAATTAGATCAAATGCTTGCACAGATTCTAATATCATTCAAAATGTTAGTCATATATAAAATTTTGTGCCCGTTTTTCTTTTTAATAAATTTTGCAAATTGTGAATTGCTGTTGACACATGTGGTGAGAATAAAAATTGATCAAAAAAAACAAAACAAATAATATTGGACATTAATGTTTTAGTTGTTTTCTTCTGGAGAAGTAGTTCCTCTGAGTTATCCTGGAGATGTTTATAAAAATCATATGCATTTTAAGCAATTTTCTGGAACATTAACCAAAGTAAAAAAATAAATTAAAAGAAAATTTTCAGGCAAAAAGTTTAAATATCTAACTGTTTTAGGAAGGAGAATTGTCTTCTTATTTTCTTGGTCAGCAACTAAGGACACGTTATGATGACTTTTTGGGAAATATCTATCAAACCAATTTATCACAAGGATATTCTACTTATTTTCAAGCATCTCAAAGTAGTTTACAATGTGTTCATCTAGGATTATACCCTCCTCAAGGTGTACAAAAATTTGAATCAAATTTAAACTGGCAACCTGTTCCCTATAAAATTTTAAAACCCTCTTACGATAAAGTAAGTAATACAAAAACCAAAATAGAACTCCTACAAAAATTTTCATTATAGTTTTTATCGCCACTGCAATTTTGTGGTAAGTCATCTTGGAATCTACCATCGAATATGAATTACAGTCAAATGTACAAAATGCTTTCTGAAAAAATCGGGCAACAAGTGACAACAAATGAAGATATTTATCATATTTACCATTCATTCAACTACCAAGTGAGTTCAACACATGTATTATCTACTTATTGCCTGTGTTATAATTTACGTATATATTTTTTTAAGGAAAAGAACAATTTTCATCTTCCTCAATGGGTTGAGCAAGAAGAAAGCCATATTTTGAAAGATCTTGAAATTGCCTCTACAGAGTTTTTTAAACAATTAATTCAAGAAAGGAAAGCAATTGAGTTGGCAGATTTCTCAAAGAAATAATCAATCTAACAGAACAAAAACTAAATCAAACATTGAAGCCACCAGACAGAAAAATGTTTCTGTATTCAGGTGACATTTTCAATGTGATGTTCATATTATCGGCATTAACTGAAATCAATGCAGTCAATGTCTCCGACTCAAGTTGTGTGTTGTTAGAGTTGCATAGAGTGAATGACCAAGTTGGTTTTAAATTGTTTTATCAGTTGAATGTAAATCAAACATCACACATTTCAAATCAGAAAAACGAACCGCAAGGTTTTCAACAAGTGAATATTCTTGATTGTGGCGAGTTTTGTTTGATGGATGATTTTGTAAACAAAGCTAAAAAATTCTACGAACCGAATCCGGAATGTTTCTAGTTATCACAATAGTTCAAATTGTTGTTTACAGTTATAAATATTTATTGCAAAATTATTTCATGGTGCTATTAAATAGAAATAGTTCAACTGTTTCTTATCAATGTATAGGTAAAATATTTAAAAGTCTGGCAGTCATGAGTTAGTGCAAATATTTTCCTATTAAAAAAATAATTAAAATATCTGATCGTAAAGATTAGACTAAATCTATAGTAAAGTCGCTGGAAATATATCCGTGACCACACAAAAAAATCTGTAGATATTTTAAACTCGTTCTTATGAACACGTAAATCATGTGGATAAATTTTCTTAAATTGTTAATCTACAGCCAACACAACTATCGATACAATTCTAGTTATATTACTCTGTATGTCCACAGTTGTCAAGGTTAACATTTCGTTGACTTAATTATAATTTACAACATTAAATGTTAAGCTTGGAATTGTAAATTATGGCAAATAAAAAGTCGATCAAACAAAGCGTCAACAAATAAATGTTGTCTGTCTGGCTATCATCTATGTGGCGAAATATTGAGGCGACACTCAGCCTGAGACAACATTCAGACAATGAATTGCAGTCAAGTTTAGTACATGTACTTAAAAATAATTAATAAATATGGCAACTGCCAATTCATTGGTTTTTGTTCAAATTGTAAGTACTTAAAAAAATATCATTTTATAATTTAATCATTTTGTGATATGAATAGGTATTTCGTCATGGTAATAGAACACCAGCAACATCGTTCCCAACCGACAAACACAAAGATAACCACTTTAAACCCTATGGTCAAGGACAATTAACGCATCAAGGCAAAAAGGAATCTTTCAGTTTGGGAAAAATCTTGCGTGGTCTTTACGGATCGTTATTGGGAGATGAATACGATCCAGATGTCTTGTATTCTGTCACATCCGGCATGGCGAGGACCGAATTAACGTTGCAGTGCGTTCATGCGGGTTTGTTTCCTATTCGCAAAGACAAGCAACTTGAGGAAGGCCTCACCTGGCAACCAATTTTGTACGATGTTTATCCCAAAAGCGGAGATAAAGTAATTTTTAATTTAATTTTTTAAGTTATATCCACATCAATTAATTCAAATATTATTGTATCAGTATTTAGCATATCATCGATACAACAACTCTTTGTTAGACGTTCATAGAAAACTTGATCCGGAAACACAGAAACTGTACGATTATGTGAGTCAACATGCCGGGACAAAAATACAAACATCGCATTGCTTTTTCAAAGTACAAAACGCCATCCAAGTTCAGGTCAGGAGCATAAACAATAATATTTGATTTAAGTTTAAAAAAAAAAACTTATTATAGGCAGAACTTGGTTTAGAGCCGCCATCTTGGGCAAAATCAATTCCTTCAGAGGTTATGATGGACCACACTTTGAATTTTTGGGAGGACTTGGCTACACTTCGTTTGCCTGATGTAGCAGGACCTCTAGTGCAGTTAATAACAAATAATTTCAATGCAAAAGTGAACTCCGACAAAGGATTTGAAGAACGTAAAATATGCTTGTTTTCTGGACATGATCTCAATATTGTAGCATTATTAGGAGCGTTTAATTCATTCAAACGGAAATATACTGGTTATTGTTCTTTTATTGCAATGGAACTGCATCTAATTGATGAGAAATATTTTGTTAAAATTGTTTTCCAAAATGGATTGGATGAAACTACTAGAAAACCCTTGAAGATCATTCCATCTATGTCAGAAGACTTTTGTACTTTGGACGAGTTTATTAACGCCACTAAGTGGTTGTATACATCAGAAAGTTGAAATATTTAAGATAATAAAACGTCACTGCATATTTAAATTTCTTTTCCATTATATAAAAATGAATCGCAAAATTTGTTGGTAAGCACATAACTCAACAACGCCTAGACCAATTTGGTCAATTCTTTTTTGTAAATGTTCGCTAAAGTCCAAGAATTGTGTTTACGGCGAAAAAATTCGAATAATTGTAGGGAAAACCTTAAAGTTAGCCCTTTTCTAGAGGATAAAAGTTGGCATTGAGATTCAATCATAGTTATAGTTAAATAGTTGAATCCGAGATTTTTTATGAAATCAATTTCTTTAAAATAAAATTGCGTATCTTATTGATAGAATTGACACATACTATATCTAGAACAAGGGAATAAAAACGAATTACATTTTTATTAAACACTACCGGGACGAAGTCGAGGGCAAAAACTAGTTCATTATAAAATCCTTAATTCACTATATTTGACTGTGGTTTGTACTAAAAATCACGTGCGAGTATTTAATTATGTATTAACTTACTTAGTTTGCACATCATCTCACATATTAAACTACATTTTATTGCATCACATGTACTGCACGTGTTTACCTTGTGCAAAGATTAAATGTTCATCGTTATAACGAATTTAGAACAATCATATAAATTCACATTATTCTCGAGCTCTTAGATTAAGTTATTAGTCGTTCCTGATGAGTTTTGATAGTTAATACAGTTTCATAATGAAGTGCACCAAAAATTCTTCTTCTTAATTGTAACTATTGCTGTAATTTCAGCTGCAGTTTCAGCAATTGTTGCTAGTCTATTAAATAATAATAATAACAGTAGCAGTAGTCAGCAAAATTTGCACATCAAGAAGAATGAAAAGAATGATACGTTAATTTCAGTTCAAGTTGTAAGTATTTAATAAAATAAATCTTATAATTTAAATCTTTTATATTGTATTTGTTAAGGTTTTCAGACATGGTCACCGCACACCTGAACCTGGCAAACTTTACAAATTAGATCCTTATAATAATTATTCGTTTCATCCAGAAAATTACGGAGAATTAACAACGGTAAGTTGTAAAATAAAATTTAAAGTAGGAGACAATTTTCCAGTTAAAGTTAATTATATTTTTTGTAAATATTTATGTATTCTGGATATTATTTTAGAAAGGTAGAAAAGTTGCTTATGATCTTGGACAACAGCTAAGACAGAAATACGACAGTTTCCTTGGTAAAACTAATTTTTATCCGGGTTTGATCAAGTCTTTTGTTTCGGGTTATGATCGCACTCAAATGTCCTTGCAATGCGTGCATGCTGGTCTATTTCCAAATAAAAACACTATCATGGGCATACCCTGGCAACCAATTCCATATGAAGTTTTTGAGTTTGATGATGACAACGTTAGTATATTTTTATTTTTATTGAAAATACAACAACAAGTATCATTTTTTTAAATATTTGGTAGAGAATTGGAATTATGGCTCATTGCAAAACACTAAAAGTACCACACATTAAACCAACAGATAATACAACTAAAAACCTATTTGAATTCTTAAGTGAAAAATCCGGAGAGAACATTACAAGTTATTATGATTCTATTGTGGTATCAAACGCGTTTCAAGTTGAGGTAATTTTTACTTATATAATTTTTTTTCAAATATTTATAGCTCATTGTTACAGACAGGTTATGGCTTAGAACTACCCGAATGGGGTAAGCCTTTGTATCCACATCCACTTCTAACGTTTGATGAAATAGGCTGGGCACAATTTGCTAAAGCAAATATCCGATTGGGTGCTGGCGGTTTGCTTAAAATGATTACAGAAAATGCACTCCGGGCAAAAATGGCAAAGCATTCAGAAACAGAACATCCAAAAATGGTTCTATACTCAGGTCATGATTACACTTTGCTATTTTTACGCCATAGTTTAAAAATCGCCAACGTCGATTCGGCAAATTTTGGAGCACACCTAATTTTTGAGTTACACAAAATTCATGGACACTACGGATTCAAGGTAAATTAAAAATACAAATATTTTACAATAACTATTCATATTAATTTTAATATATTGTAGATATTTTATAATAACTACCAGAAAGATCATCCAATATCATTGAAAGTGCCATTCTGTGAAAATGACATCAATGGTGAATCATTTTGTAAATTGAATACTTTTATCAAAAACACTGAATGGTATTATGACCCTACCCCTGTTTGTTATTGAATTTAGTCTGCACTTGAACTCAAAAGTGCGTTTATAACGTAATAAAATTCGAGTAATTGTTGGCCGCTTCAACAAATATACCTTGCTGGTGTTGCTTAATATTAAACAATCAAATAATTTTTATAGCAAGATTATGAGTTGCAAGGACATGTTCAAAAGGAATAAATAGAATTTTTTTCAATTTAAAGGTTGCACTCAAAATATATTTGAAAAATGACTCCAAAAATTAAAATTTTAAGTTTTGTAATTTTATCAATACAAAACATATTATGTGAAACTGCCATCAATAAAACTATTCACATTGGTCCAACTTTACAGAGAACTCTTTTCAAAGCCGATGATACTCTGGTACTTTCTAATGTGGTAAGATAAAAACTAACCAAATAATTTCAATTATACAGGTTTCATACACATTTTAGATCTTTAGACATGGTGACAGATATCCAGAACCTGCACATTTTTATTCAAATGATCCAAATAAAAATAGATCCGTGTTTCCTTACAAATTCGGCGAATTAACCAGAGTAAGCTTCAATTTTAAATCATATTAAATCATATTTATTTAAATTGTACTTAGACAGGACAAACGCGTATGTTTATGATTGGAAAACAGCTAAAACTTCGTTATGCAAATTTTCTTGGAGACACGTATTACACCGATCTGGTGGAATCAACGACTTCCGATTATCCACGCACTCAAATGTCACTGCAATCTTTGCATGCTGGGCTATTTCTCACGATGAAACCAAACACAATTCCTGGGTTTTTGTGGAAACCGGTTCCATACAGAATTATTCCTTGGTCTGAAGATAAGGTATTCTATATCCTAATAATATGTTACTACACATTTATGAAATATTAATGATATTATAGTACCTTGCTGCATATAAGCCGTGTTTAGCAATTCTTCTCAACCTGACGTATCCTCCAATACCTCCAGATGTTCAAGACTTATTCAACTACGTAAAGATGCATACGGGTGTATCACAAATAAGCTATCATGAAATGTGGGTGCTGGCAGATTATGCAAAAACTATGATAGAAACAAATATTCCTATACCCGAATGGCATAAGAAAATATATCCGAACCCATTGGCGCCATTGTCGGCAAAATATTTAGATATGTTGCGAATACAAAAGAGACGCATTGGTGGTGCATACCTGGTGAAACGGATTAGTGACGATGCACTCGCAAAACGAGACAACACTCTTGTGCCACCAAACAGAAAGTTGTTTTTGTATTCTGCTCATGACTTTACTATATTGTTTTTGAGAAGTGCGTTGAATATTTGGACAGCAGAACCTTGTGAGTATGGCGCGTACGTTTTATTGGAGTTGCATAAAATTGGACCTGAGTATGGGTTTAAGGTTTGTACTTACTAGAATAAAGAAATATTAAACGTTATTATAACCATAAATGTTTAGGTTTATTTTAATAATGGGTATACGAAGCCTCAACTTCAGACAATTCCAGGATGTGGGACTTTTTGCCCGTTGGATGAGTTTATTCAAATGTTTCGACATCTTTATGAACCCCCTCCAATATGCAAATAATTTTAAGTTATATTAAAAATGATTAAAATGCCTAGTTGTGTTTAATTATTTTTATCTACACGACAATTGTTATTTTTAATGAGATTAATTCTATGTGCAACATGGAAAATTATTTAAATATTTATATGTGTATTTAAAAAGTTGTTTTTATATTTGTCTATAAACATTTAGTTACTAAGGACGCATTGACATACGTAAATGTTATCTTAGATTATGTAAATAAATACAATTACACGCAGGTATACGTATCTAGAATCATACGGTTGGTTTTAATAGTGTTTTTCGCAATCACAATTAGTAAATGAAATGTTTCTTTAAATTACTTTTACGCTATCTCTATGGTATATTGAGTTTTTCTACAGATCTATGTACTTACATTTTAAATCCGATCAACTTAACTGTTTTTGGTCATGCTAATGAACACCGTTACATAAAACCTAATTACTTATGTTTTTGACGTACAAAATTTAAAATATTGATGAAAGAACATTTTTACTTTCCATCTGTTTACAAAAACATAAAAAAAGTAAAGTTGGGAATTTGTAATGTTTTCAGTACCAACCTTTATTTTGCTTGTGCTAATTTACTTTAATTTGGATACCCATGCTTCGCAATCATCTGATGGCGTAGATGATGTTAGCACTTTGGTTTTCACGAATGTTGTAAGTAATTTTTTAAGTTTCATTTCTATTCAATACTAGTATACCAAAAATTTAAAATTTTAGTTGTTTAGACATGGAGATCGTATTCCTGATGAGTCAACAGTGTATCCAAATAGCCCATATACAAGTTCTTCATTCGCTCCCTATAATTATGGCGATTTGACTATTGTATACAATTTTTTTACAGAAAAAAATTAAACATTCACAATAATTGTTTTAGAAAGGCCAAGCTCGCATGTTTAACGTGGGACGTAAATTAAGGCATCGCTATAATGACTTTCTTGGTGACACATACTTTAGTAACCTGATTAGCTCATCAGCATCAAACTATTTTAGAACTCAGATGTCCTTACAGGCTCTGCATGCAGGGCTTTTTAAAACGAATACACAAAATCCCATTCCTGGCTTCTTCTGGCAAGCTATACCATATTCTATTTACGAACAACAAGACCATGTATTTATTATACATATTCTAAAAGATCAATTCAGTATTTTTTACATTTTAGCTTATAGCTGTATGGCGTACATACCCACAATTATTCTACAACGTTACCTTTCCACAACCTGACGATGCTACTCAAGAAATATTTGATTACCTCCAAATGAACTCTGGGTACTCTAAGGTATCCTATCTGGAAGCATTGCAGATTTCGGACTATACAAAAACATCAACAGAAAATGGATTACCGCTTCCTGCATGGCTCAGACCTATCTATCCAAACCCTCTTTCTCAGATGACTACTCAAACATTTGGTGTTATGGCAAAGGAATATGTCAACCTTGGATGTGGATTCCTCTTGAAAAGATTACTGAAGATGCACTAAAAAAATCAACTGGCTCTTTATTACCTATCACCAGAAAAATCATGTTGTATTCCGGACACGATATGAATATTCATTACATGTTGACTGCATTTAATTTATGGTCAGCGGAAGCAGTAGAATATGGCGCCTACCTACTATTTGAATTGCACAAAATCAACAACGTATATGGATTTATAATTTACTACAACAATAATAGACCGAACACGAGATTACTAATTATACCTGGATGTAAAAGTTTTTGCCCTTTAGATAAATTTATAGAGTTAACCAGCCACATTTATAAGGATTTTTAATTTTGAAATTAACAAATAAATGTTTCGTCTATTTGGTATTTGTGTTAATATATCGCAGAGTAAAGTTTACAATCATTTAAAACCATTTTAAAAATGTAATATTGTGTTTTACCAATTATGGAGAGTTGCATACTGCAAAAACAAAAAAAACTGCGTTTCTCCATTTACACGACTGCATAATAACGGTTCCCGGACATTTGCCCACAAGACGATCGCTCACACGACAACTGCACACAGAAAATTGCCCGCAGTCATAACTGCGCACACGGACAATTGCTCACAGGGCTTTTGCTCACAGGGAATACTCCCCACAGCGACTTTTGCTCACATTGACAATTGCTCACGGGACTTTTGCTTACACGAACAATTGTGCACACGGACTGTTGCGCAGAGTGAATTTTAATAAGAATAGAGTTTATTATTTAACGCCAGTAACAATCCAGTGTTGCTTGATATTGCATAGAACAGAACTACCCTTGACAACGTAACGAACTTAACTAACTGACTAACAACACACAAGGTGGCTAGAAAGCCCTTAAGTCACTTGGGGTGAACCCCCCCCCGTGGCGCAACGCCACTTGTGAAAGAGCGCAAAACTCAACACTCCCACTCGCACTTTCACTAATTAATCTACACCGAGATCACGCACATTTTTCACAAATTTGTCCTTAACCAAAGGTTTCGTTAAACAGTCCGCCAGTTGCCCGGAACTGGCCACTTTGCTTGCGCCTGCTTCTCCTGCTCGTTGAGCTCCTTGATCGCCCGCATCTCCTGCTCGTTGAGGTGAGGCACAACGCGTGCGCCATTTCGATGCGTCTCCGCCGCGTCAGGTAGTGGTTCGTGTGGAATTCCTTCTCGAGCTCCAGCGTCAGGTATCCTGGCAGGATCGCCAGCTTTTGAACGCGTTCTGTCCGCAATTCTTGACTCTACCTTGACACAATCGGTATCAGGTACCACAGCGTTTTCTTCCCGAGCCAAATCAATTACGGCTAAAGATTTTGGTACCACTTCGTTTATTACCACATTGCGGCTTGTTATTACCCGCAATGTTTCGCGTTTCCACAAACGATAGCCCTCCGAAGAATATCCGACGAGCACCATCGGATCAGATTTCAAATCCAGCTTCGATTTCTTTGGATCGTTTGACAAAACATATGCCGTACTGCCATATATTCGAAGATGACCGACCTTTGGCTTACTGCCATAAAACGCCTCGTGAGGCGTTCGACCCCTTAACCGTTTTAACGGGATGGTACTTCGAAGAAGTGCCGCTGTTGTACATGCTTCCGCCCATAGACTTTGAGGAAGCCCGGCGCCGTTTATCATGGCGCGACTCATCTCAACAATGGTTCGATTCTGTCTTTCGACTCGACCCACTTGTTGTGGTGTATATGGTGCGCTGTACTCAATTTTAATTCCGTGGTGTCGCATAATCTTTTGCATCTCACCACTCTTAAATTCACAGGCATTATCCGACCTCATGCGTCTTACCTCGTGCCCAGCTGCGTTAAATTCTGCAATTACATCTTGCACTGCAGCAACAATCTCAGCCTTTGATTTCAATGGCTTAACAAAAATCAAACCCGAATAATCATCCACAAAGACTGCCATCACGATTGCACCACTGAATGATCTACAAGGCATGGGACCGCAAATGTCAAAATAAATCAACTCACCAGGATACATTGCCCGTTTCTCATTTTCTTCAAACGGCTTCTGCGTTTGTTTAGCACACACGCAAATTTCGCAGAACTCCTCCGCTTTGCTCCCACTGGTCGTTGACTTTGTTGCATTCATACCGATGACAGCCGATCCTTTGGCCAACTCCCTGACAGAACCGTAATTTACGTGCCCCAGACGATTATGCCACACTTGAAGCGATGCTGGTTGTTCGGCAATATGGGCACTTGCATCCACTTGAACAAAGTCAATTTCATACAAGTTATTTGCCTGTCGATGCCCCGTTGCAATCGTTCTTCCATTTTGTTTCATTATCAGCGAGTCTTCTCGGAATCCGATCTCTACTTTCTTCTTCGTTGCAGCACCCAACGATAGAAGATTTCGACCCAGCTTTGGAATGTAGAGTACATCAATCAGCAACACCTTTAATAAGAATAGAGTTTATTATTTAACGCCAATAACAATCCAGTGTTGCTTGATATTGCATAGAACAGAACTACCCTTGACAACGTAACGAACTTAACTAACTGACTAACAACACACAAGGTGGCTAGAAAGCCCTTAAGTCACTTGGGGTGAACCCCCCCCCCTCCGTGGCGCAACGCCACTTGTGAAAGAGCGCAAAACTCAACACGGACAATTACTCAAAATTTAATTAAAAATTGTTTTTTTTAAACAATGAATAATAATTATGAAATAATTTATATACAAATATATAAGAATTAAAAGGCCTCGCTAGCACGCTAATAGTGTTTGATTTTTCAAATAAACAATTATATCTTAATTAATTAGCAATAAATATAACTCTTTGAAGTTTCACTTCTAGTATACTCATGCAAAATTTTTAATAATTACTCAAAACTCAAGTTTTATTCCGTATAAATTAAGAACCATTTTATTCAACAACAAAGAGAGGGTCCCCCAAATGTTTATTTCAGGTATTTATAGATATGATTGTCATTTTTGCAACTCCAGGTATATAGGGAAAACTTGTAGAAATTTCCAAACTAGGTTCAATAAACATGAAAAACCCGACTCTAATTTTCCATTAAATACAAGTGTAATAAGGGCGTGGAAATTCCAGTGGAAATACAAAAGACATTAGGGAACCCCGTGGTACAAGCCATACATGAAATGTCAGATCTAAATAAATCCCCTCTTCCCAAAATTTAACCCGATTTAAGCCTGATAATATTATTTAAGCAATGTCTTTGAAGTGCCGTGTTGATAGTCCTCGTGCAAATCCAGTGCAAATACTCTTTGGAGTTGTTCGATATCAGTTCTCTTCGTTTTGGCATTTGTGAAATTTTGTGTTTGATCTTCTACCTACATATTGTGATATTTGTATTTTTTAATAAAGTTTTAAAGTTTCCTAATCTTTGGTAAGTTACTATTTTATTACATATTATTGTAGACCAGGAATTTCCTTCATTTTCTTCATACGCTTGTAAATTCTAAAGAATTTTGCTTTCATTTCATTGTATTTTCAAGTGTTTCAGTTTTCTTTTTATTTCATTTTTTGAATTCCTGGTCTTATTATATAATACTATAATTTGATTATTATTCTGGATTTTCTTTTTAGTTTAATTAAGTTTCTTTTTTAATTGAAAATGGAATTTACCAAGAGTGCAAGGGGCAAGCCCATTCTTATTTACGCTGGGTTTGAATATCTTCAATTCAGAGTTAAAGAAAACATCATTTTTTGGAGGTGCAGGAAATACATCAAATAACGCAATTATTGAAGAACCCACTACACATTGCCATGATTCCTGTCCGCAACGAATTGAAGTGCAGAAAGCCCGAATTAGGATGAAAGAAGCGATTACTGATATTGGTGCAACGCCAAGAAATGTCATTGGGGCAGTGATGGCGACCGTGCATAATGATGTATTAGCTCATCTTCCCAAGCAATCGTCCCTGCAAAGGAATTTGCGTAGGCATAGGCAAGCAGGACATTTGCCAAACCCAAGAACATCTGCTTTCGATATACCGGCTAAGTATGCCCCACTTTTTAGCTTTGGGAGATAGATCCAAATAGAAGTAAAAAGCTGCAGACGACAAAATGCAATACAGTGGAATCCCGGTAATCCGGACCCGGCTTCATTCGGCACCTCTTGTAATCCGATATGGTCATATGCCATATGTTTCTTCTTTAGGATTTGTAATTTGTCGGATTACAAGGTACTTTTTTGAAAAAGATTCCGGACTGTAAGGGGTCTTAGGCAGTCCTCTATAATCCGACAAATTCGCTCATCCGACACTGCCTTGCAAAGTGATTGTTGGATTACCGGGATTCCACTGTATTTAAGGATATTGGCAAATTTACAATAAATACTAGTTTACAATAAATATAATTATTTGTTGTTTTTTTTTGGTGAAAAATAAATTTAGTTTTAGATTTTTCATATGTAATTATTGTTTTACTTATTGTTTCACGTACTATTTCCTCAACCGCCTAATTTTGTACAAATAAATAAAAACCTATTTGACTAATAGATCATTTATTAGTTATTTAATTATGAAATTATTAAAAATTATGTGTGAGTATATTAGAAGTGAAACTTCGAAGAGTTATATTTATTGCTAATTAATTAACATAGAATGAACAAATAGTTTATTTGAAAAATCAAACACTATTAGCGTGCTAGCGAGGCCTCTTAATTGTTATTATATATTTGTATATAAATTATTTCATAATTATTATTCATTGTTTTTTTTTAATAAAAAATAATTAAATTGTCAGCAATTGTCCGTGTGCGCAGTTATGACTGTGGGCAGTTTTCTGTGAGCAGTTGTCATGTGAGCGATCGTCTTGTGAGCAAATGTCCGGTCACGCATAATAACAACATCCAATTTGCGAGCGATCCGCGTGACGTTGAACATTTCATGCTCCACGCTGTAGTGTACATTGCGGGCATTCTTATCGCTTGCTATCGTATTTCTCGGAATGCGCTTGCTGATAGTTGAGATATCTTTGTGTTGCATGTACGTGAATTTCGTTGATTGTACTATTCAATCAGATTTTCCTTCAAAAAATCGCGTTATATTCCTAATATTATCAGCTATTTAGTTGAAAATTAACGTTTGTAAAGTTTCATTAATAATTACAGGCGCGCTATATTTTTGTTAGGGTTCAAATTCAAATTGCAATTCAGAAAATATTCGCGTTTTCTTGGTGGCTGCATGTTTTCGACTACGGTTTTATAGCGTGTTATGATGTGTCATCGCTGTTTGCTCGGATGACAGCGGATGGGCGTTTGTTCTTTGACTTCATGAAATTGTAGTGTCGATCTTGATTCCCGTTGAGTAACATACAAATTATATTCGTGATTTGTGTCAAGCGGTTTCTATTTTAAAGGAGTGTGTTGTACGTTCTATTCCTCTGATTTGCGAACATAATCTTACATTGTGCCTTAGTATTCGATGGACTATACATAGGTAGTAAATTGAATTGTTGCGGCACTTACATGATGAAACTCCATTATTATCGTAAAATGAACGGATATACCTTAAGTTTCGCCACACTGTGGCATCATCAGGCACATGAATATAAAAATAAAAAGTGCAAAATAAAACTATTTATATAGAAAAAAAATGTTGAAAAGTGGTGGCGGAAACTAATTTAAAATGTGTAAATTGAGCAAAAGGGATATGTTAACTTCTACCTGATTGTTAGACCATAATTCCTTCTAGCTATAGATGTTAATTTTCAAAGATTCTAGTAAATTCAATTTTGTGCTTTTATTAGATCTATGAAAAATTTTGAAATTTGGATCGAATTTATGATTAAGGTTTATACCTAAGGTTTATTAAATGTTTTGCATATGTTGAATGTTTTGACTTGATTTTAAAACTGTGCGCGTGTTCTTTAATCCGGGCATTAAAGGACCTCCCTGTTTGACCAACGTTTCACCTATACCTTAGGGCAATTCCCACATGATTATAAATAAACACCAGAATCTGTTTTGGGATTTACTTGGTCTGTACAGTTTTTAATAAATTTACCTATGCAATTGAATGTTTTAAATGAAACTGTTAGATCGGATGTTCTTAAGAATTTAGTAATGGTTTCGGAAGGTTTTCCATCATAAGTTAGAGAAGAATAAATTTTCGATTTAATGTTCGAGATTCTGGAAAAATAAGAGAAGTAACTAAGTTTAGATTTAAGTATTTTATATATATATATATATATATATATGTCGGATACACCTCCTCCTCAACTACATTAACAACATTCCAATTTAAATTACGCGCCATTTATTACAAAACAAAGTATGTCTTAGCTTAAACAATACGAATTGAATCGGCGTAACGGGATGAGTTCTGGGTGCGCGCCCAACGGTGCTCTCAGAGTGAGTGTCTTCATACATGATTCGCCTTTCCCTCGAAACCTTCGAATCCCTTCTGCGCTTGTCGCTCTTACTCGAGACACACACCCAGACCACATCGATGCAAGACTGCACCTCCATTAGCTGATTCATCATTATGTCTAGATGGCGTCCTTGTTCGTATTCGAATCCGACACGGCCATCCTGCGCACACACGTCCTCGTGTGGCTTATTCTGTAAAACAAAGTAAATCTCAGAATCTTGTTCGAAAATTTTAATCACTCGGTCATCTCTGACCACATCTCTGTCATATCTCTCTCATATGCAGCAATATTACATTTCACAAAATCACAAAAATAACATGTTACAAAACCACTACAATGGTTTTCAACCCTGCACAATCACTACAATGATTTGCAACATCAAGCACAATCACTACAATGATTGACTTCTAACAATTTCACAACCACTACAATGGTTGGAAATTCTACTCAGCCACTACCATGGCTGGCAGTTCACAACTAATCACACCAATGATTAGGTCTCATGTCACACAACCACACCAATGGTTGGCAACCTACTCAACCACTACAATGGTTGGCAGTTCACAACTAATCACACCAATGATTAGGTCACACGTTACACAACCACACCAATGGTTGGCAACCTACTCAACCACTACAATGGTTGGCAGTTCACAACTAATCACACCAATGTTCACAACTAATCACACCAATGATTAGGTCACACGTTACACAACCACACCAATGGTTGGCAACCTACTCAACCACTACAATGGCTGGCAGTTCACAACTAATCACACCAATGATTAGGTCCCATGTTACACAACCACACCAATGGTTGGCAACCTACTCAACCACTACAATGGTTGGCAGTTCACAACTAATCACACCAATGATTAGGTCCCATGTTACACAACCACACCAATGGTTGGCAACCTACTCAACCACTACAATGGTTGGCAGTTCACAACTAATCAAAAAGAAAAACAATTTAGTCATAAATGGTACACATTATAATTATCCATCAAACTACAAACCGTCTCATGCTCAAGAAAAACATACATACCGTTACAAGTACTACAGCTATTACACTCCCCGTGCAACCCTTCCAATACTCCTACGTAGTATTGCCTAACAATTCCTCTGCCGCGACTTGTGCGTCCGGCATCTTTCTTAGTCGATCGTGAGCGTACTTGTACGTTCTCTTCGAACTTAACGACTTTAATTTGTATCTATCATTTTCTAATACCTCTATTATTTCATAAGGCCCTTTATACTTGGCTTCTAGCTTAGTTTGGTTACGCTCCTCATTTTGTATGAGCACAAATTCTCCTACTGAAAAACGCTTTATTTTTGCTTTTGTCTTGTCAAATCTTGCCTTCTCGTACTTTGCCGATTTTTGAATTCGATCAATTGCCACTTGTCGAATTAAATTAAGATCTACGTCATGTTCCGCGTTATCTACCATCATTGCCAACGGTCTCGCTACTTTCCCTATTAAGAGTTCTAAGGGGGACGTCTTTGTAGTTTTATTAATTGTGCAATTAATTGCTAATTGAATATTTCCTAACTCATTCTGCCATGACTTATCTGGTGTAATTTCGATTGCCGTTAACATTGCTTTTAAAACGCTCATCACTCTTTCCACTTGGCCGTTTGCGCGCGATGCTCCCGTCGCAATAAGATGTAGGTTAATATTTTTTGAATTACAATAAGTTTTAAAATCATTACTGGTAAAACATCTACCTTGGTCGGCTATTACTCTTGTTGGGGCACCAAACAAACAGACAGCCTTATTTAATGCGTCGATACAGCTGTGACTATTGATATTTTTTGAGTGATGTAGAAAAACAAATTTTGTGAAAGAGTCTATTAATACGAAAACATATTCTTTGGTATCATTCTTTCCACTTAGCTTGCCTGTTGCGTCAATATGTATCGTATTCCATGGGGTAGTAGTCTTTGGAATAGGGTGTAATTCTGCCTGAATTTTGCCTGAATGTGGTTTACTGAGTTTACAAGTGATGCAGTTATCTACAAAACGCTTGACAAGTCGTGACATTCCTTGAAACCAATAGTGTTCGTAAATCTTTTCGAGCGTCTTATCCGATCCTAAATGCATTATTGACTCATGAATATTATTTATGACCGACCATTTCATCGAGTGAGGAATTATTGGTAGGCATAGAGACTTTCCGTTTCTTTGGATATGCCGGTGAAGAATGCCCGATCTTAACTCGTATGTCGCCGCTATGTTTTCGTCTAATGTGTTATTCGCTAAGTCTAATTTTAATTTCGAAATCTCTTCATCTTTCAACTGTTCTGCAAGTAGCCAATTGTCTTGTAGTTCTGCTAAGTTAACAATTTTCAGTTCTTTTCTATTTTCCATGCGCGGTGGGTTTTTTATTTTCGCCTAGGTGGTTACGTGATAGAAAATCTACATGTGCCATTCGCTTTCCCTCCCTATACTCTATGTTAAATTCAAACGCTTGCAAATACGCCCACCATCGATGTACTCGTGGTGTTAAATCACATTTCTTTTGTGCAGCTTTTATGGAATTACAATCCGTAAAAATTGTAAATTTGCGTCCGCTTAGATATTGACGAAAATGTTTAATGGCGTTCACTATCGCAAGTGTCTCTAATTCATACGAATGGTACTTAAATTCTGTCGGTGTTGTTCGCTTGCTATAATACGCAACTACATGTTTCTTCTGTTCCTTTATCTGCATTAAAATTCCTCCATAACCGTCTAGACTTGCGTCTAAAAGTTCTTTGACTTTCCCACGCATTGATTCTCTTTCTTCGAATGAGAGACGATAAGGGCGTCTTTGTACTGTTTTTGTTGAGTCTATAAGTCTGATCTCAAGTGTGCCCGTGTTTACGCGCGTTAATGGCATTTTGGTCACAAAGTATTCACAGAAACTACTTATCACGCTTTCGAGTTTTGCTTTTTGACAAGCTGAAATATGTGTGTCTAGATTCTCTAATTTAAAAGTTGTGTTGTCTGGAACACACGAGTGGATGTTTTTCAAAAGCTCTTTTTTAAGTTGAAATGAACTTTTAGTTATTATCGCAGTAAAATTTTGATTCAAAACCTCACGACCCAGCAATACGTCATGAATCAAATACAAATCAGGCAAGACGTGAAACAAGATCTCAGCATAGTAACTTTGAATTTCAACTTGACATAATATTTGTTCAAACGAATTTACTTTACTCGTTCCAATTCCAACCATCGTAACTGAATTATAAAATTTCTTCCCGCAGAAATTTTGTGCAATACTTTCTTTTACTAATTCTTTCCATTCTCTCCAGAATTCAAATGAAAGGGTTACGACTCACCGTTATGCTTAAAAGTACCCCCAGGTAAATCAACTGCACAGACGTTGACCGTCTTGACAGAACCCTCATTCTTCCTGCAGCGGTTGGCGAAGTGTCCGGTCTCACCGCATTTGAAGCATCTCCCGCTGTTTGACGCTCCCGATGTGGACCGCTGAGGGGTGAATTTCTGGTCTTGTCTCCGCTTCTCGGGGCAGTCAGCCTGTCGATGTCCAAATTTATTGCAGTTGAAACATTTCGTCATCTTGGGTTGAAATGATGAAGTTCTTCGCATCTTCTCCGGGCGTTGCGAAGCATTGTCTACTGCGGCTGGTCGTTTAAAAGAGAGTGCTTGTAACTCCTTTTGTAATTGCTGTCTCGTCTGAATTTCGTTGGTGAATGACATACCCTGTACTCGATTATCGAATTGAGCAATATGCGATAATATTGTCGCAATAGCGATTTGCTCGATGGACGCATCTTTCCAGTTAGTCATCAGCGAATTGAAAAGTCGCCCCGCGTAAGAACTCAAATTTTCATCACCTCGTGGCCTTCCACAGGAAGAAAATAATGAAAATTAATTGTTGTATCTGTATGGGTAAATTTGTGATAATTTTTTTTGAACGCGTGTTGATTGTTTACATTTGAAATAGTAAAGCCGAAAAAGTTAATTGATTTGTTGATTACAATTTCGAAGGCAAAGATTTTTGTACATAATATTGACCACCTCAGAGGGAGGTATACTGGTAAAGAAATTTATTTCAAATTATTTGGGATTCTAATATGTTTAATTTTATTTACGAGCTCATAAGAATTTTTATATTAGAATCTCAAATAATTCAAAATTAATTTCATTTAATGTCACAAATTTGTTTTACACACATTTTACGATAGGTAAGTATATATTTAAATCAGATTTATCGCAAGAATGCGCCTACCTAACACGAGTTTGTGAAACAGGTAGTTCTTATTGCGATCGTAGAACGGGTGGGGAGTAACCGAAACTCTTTTAATTCGTGAATAGTTTCTGATATTTTTGTGATCTCTGCATGTTCATATATACTCCTCCTCTTTGATTACACAATGATAATTAATCTCGCGTGCGTGAGCGTTATCCTCCTTTTTCTTGGGATACCGAGACCCTGGAGTCGGCTCATCTTTTTAGTGGTCTGCACATTGATCTGGTTTTATAAGATTTGCTTGTTATTGCCCAGTGGACGATACGCGAAGCGTCCAATCGCTCCACATCCTTGTGTTTAACTTACAACCTTGCTCGTATTTTTGTCGAGAGAGATTTTTCAGTTGGGTCTTTATCTTCAGCCATCAGGACCGCATCCCTTGCATAGTACAATACGTTGAAACGTCTTTGCCCTATTCAATATCCTATTTTAAATTTCTTTACTTTCTTTATGATATTGTTCTTGATAATGCCGTGATATAACGTGATATTCTTTTATCTAATTTCGTCTTGTTCTGGAATGTAGCCTATAGTGCTTGAGTTTGTTCTTACTTGAGTTCAGTTATGGATTTTTGGGTCGATTATTAAAGTTGGTAAATTAATTTCCAATGCTTCTTCTTCTAAAGTGTGTTCCACATCGGTTATTCGGATTTTGTCAAATGCTTTGGTTAGAGCAATAAAGTACAAGTACGCGGCTTTTGCATATTTTATTGCCTTTTCTGCTATTTGCCAAAGTACAAACATTGTGTCCAGTTTTGTTCAGTTGGAGCGGTTTGATCGAAATTCCTGCTGCTCATCATTTGTTGTTATGCGGTTGTTGATTTTCTTCTGATTTATATTTTCTGTTTGAATCTCTTCATCTACTGATTTTTCATACTTCCTGAACAATGTCCATGTTCTTTTTGCGCACTATAGATATCATGTTCAATGTCTATGGAGAAGTTCTCTCAATACTGTTTTATTTTAAAACTTTAAGCGTTGATATCATTTCTAATCACCTTAAATCTATCGCGTTCTTCAGCTGTTTGGGTATTTTTGTATTTTTTGTATGGGTCGTTTTCCTGTGGGAGTACTTTTAGTTCTTGCTTTGTTCGGCAATCTTTTGTAAGTAAGCTTCTTTGTTCCGGAGTCTTTGTTTTGGATCTCAGATTCCTACTTCTAGGCACAATCAGAATGTTAGATTTATGGCAATGTTTGAGCGAAAATCAGACAAGTCAAAACCTGTCGATAATACGTCAAAGTGTTAGCAGGTGCAACCACCTGCAAGGATACAGCTAAAACTACCTGCTTTGTTCCCAAAATTCACTCTTAACCTGCAGCTGCATCACTCTTGCGAAGCTAGGAGGAATATTTGCTCAGCCTCATTCGCGTCAGTCTTTGATTCATTCGCACTTGAGCTCTTGTGAAAGTTACACTTAAATAAATCTTAAAAGTAGCAAGACATTTGGTTCATTGTAAACCTCATCCGCCACCGTTGAACTATTTTATTTTGGAGCGCGATGCTAGACCGGCTAACCTCAATCAGAGTCCTTTTATCATCGCAAATAAAAATTGGGCTAACCGTCTATTTGCAAGAGGCATCCGCCGAGGTTGGTCTAGGGCTTCACACGAGACGAGACTGGACGAGACTATCAAAGGTATCGTCTCGGTCTCGGTATCGTCTCGGAAAAGCGATACGAGACCGAGACGCTTCTGGTTTTAAAATCAAATTTGTTTTTAATTAGGAAACACATTGTGATATCCCACATATCTTTGACAGGCACAATGTTCCTACAGGTTCTTATGTTGCACTTCGCAGTATCGAGAAGGTTGACGCATTACTGTCTAAAGTCATATCCCATATTGCGTGCTATAGCTTGTCAACAATTAATCTTTTGTTTTGGAATCTTTCAATTAATAAATTCCAGGCAATCTCGTAATTATCAGATGTTGGTGTGAGAGATGAAATAGTATTTGCTGCTTCTCCAGTTAGGCAAGAGCGCAAATATTGAGTTTTCTAGACGTTGTCTATAGATCAGGATGGTTGTGAATTGACGATTGAAACGTCTCTGAAAATGACGTTTATGCGTTATATTGACCGTTGAATTTAGGCAAGACTAAAGTCGGTAATTTTACCTGAAATGAAGTTGCACTGGATTCAGTTACATTTGACGTTAGTTTAGCATCTAATGCAGAATCCTTAAGCAGATTTTTGTATTTGGCAATTATAACAAAATATGAATTTTTGAAAGTCTCATGCCCATTGTTGTGCATATCTGGGTTTTCGTCATCATTGAACTCTATTTGATCCATGATATCATTAAATTTATCAAGCAATAGCAAAATTGTGTCAAGTCGCACTTGAAAGTTGGTGCGGTCAATTACTTCTAAATTGCAATTATTATATAAGGTATTTGCAGTATTTACAGTTAGAATTTTCAAAAAATTGATTTTTTTTTAAATTTAATTTCTTAATGTCCATATATTGAAGAATACATACTCGTACAGACAATTTCATATCGTTCCGATGAATATTTTTGAAGTTACACGCGAATTCGAAAAGGCGTTTCGTTCTTCTCAGAATGGTGTTTTCAAAGTCGGTGACTAACATTACACGAAAAAGGCTAATCCGATTAGTCTCAAATTTCAACATGAGCTTCTTAAATATATTTTTCAGTAATTATTCAAAGATTTTTTTGCTCCAATAAATATTTTTAATTTTATAAACAATTTAAGGCAAAAATTTTGGGGAAAAACGATTTTTTTTTTGAAATTGTCATTTTGCCAAATAAAAAATTTGCTATTATAATTCCTTTGATTAATTACTAAATTTAACATTACTTTAACGAAATCTGTTTGGTTTCTTAATTTCATATGATTCAGTTCAAAGATATAGTGGTCACCGCAAAACGTCTTTTTTGAGAGGAGCCCCCATAGATCAGCTGTAGCTCTTTTCCAAATAAATATTTGTACTAGTACTAAATCTTAAAATATAGTTAAAAGATATTATAATATGTGTATAAATTTTTGGATCAATCAGTTTAAAAGTTTTCTCAGAAAAAAAATCAGGAAAATTCACTTTTTTCGGCCTTCTAATTGTATATAGCCTCTTAAGTTGTCTCTTTCAACCATTCTGATACAAGCAGATCGGCAATTGAAGGAGGTAAAATAAAAAGCATATAATGAATTGACTCACTCTTTAGTGGTTGATGTTGTCGGGGACGAGATGCTGCACACGATGCTGGTAGACTGGGTAAATTTCGTAGAAATGGACGCTGACCAACAATGCAACCTTTTCGACACCTTACGCTTTCAAGGGCCAAAACCATTATGTAAACAAAATTCATCGAAACCAAAGCATACTTCTAATAACGCTAGTACTCATGTTCGGCACCTGCAAACTATGCAATAAAAACCATTTTATTCGTTTATGATTCCAATTCAATGCTTTGCCATCAACCGAAAAACTTGCGAAGACCAGAGATCTAAGTCTGTACCAACTGCTTGGGTAGCGGTCTATGCAGAGGCAATGTAAAAGCAATCATGTCTGGAAGATCTGCCAAAAAAAGCACCACTCGATGTTGCATGTTAGTAATCAAAATAAGGGAACCCAGACTTCAAGGTCCCATTTTATTCCTATGGACATCCGGTTTGTTAATTTCGGGAACGTTCGGGCCGTTCTGAAATCGTTCGAGAATATTCGGCAATGTTTGTATGTGGAATGGGGAGAGTGGGAGATACTTTGTGTGTGGGAGTATGGTAGTTGACATTTGACGTGTTCGGCTGCGAAGTAACAGTGGGCAGTGTTTATACTGGATGTTGCAAATTGTATATACGGGGTGTTAAAAAATAAAATGTAAAAATTTAACTAATTTGGCGAACAAAGTTTGAATGTTATGTCCGTTCAATTTTTATTGAAGAATTTGTGATGTGTAGTATGGCGCTCAATGGCGTTATTTAACGGCGAAAAATTTGGAATTAGACTAGAATTGAATTAGGCAACTAAACTCTACATCATGATGTGAGTGGAGCAAGCCCCTAACTCTCATCCATGTCCAAAAATCAGTTTAATATACTGGACCCGCATGCGGGTCGTATCAGATATTAAGCTGATAAGAACCGATTACTTACCGATACACTTTGATCTTAGCCGGAGCCGAGAAGCGATAACAAAATTACGTAGGTAGTAAAAAAAAACACTTTTTTTTTTTTGGAAAACATTTAATAAATTAAGTATAAACAAAAACAATTAAATAGAAAATAACTTACACAGTACATATTTCTTATTGTTTACGATTTAATAATAATTTTTATACAGTACCTTTTGACGAACAAATTACCTGCTAATTTTTAAAATTTACATATGATTGACATCATTGATGATTTTACGACGAGAGTTTTATTATTATGTCACTTGTGCCCTGATACGTAGGTAGTAAAAAAAAACACAAAGTAGAGACGTTAATAATAGGGAAGAGAGGGGGAAAAAGGGGTGTAATTAATTTAGAGGAATATTTGTGAGAGTTTTTTGGTTATTTCTATAATGATTTTTAAGGGGATGATTTAGTATGTTTTCTGTTAAGTTGGACGCTAAAATGTGATGTTTATAAAAATTGGTATTTAATTTTTTAATGTAATTTGAAATTGTTTCGCAGCGCGTACGTTCATGAATAATTTTGGTGCGAATTCGAGATTGTCGCGTGATTTTGAGTATGTTCCGGAGAATCGCGTTTTGGAAAATTTGCATTTTGGATTTAGTTGTTTTCGCAGCAAGTTCAGTTACTTGTGATCCGTACGTTAAAATTGGAAGAATGTAAGATTTGTAGATTTGGGTTTTCAGATGTGTATTTAATTTTGAATGGGGTCCAAGAAGAGGGTATAATTTTGTTTTGGTAATTCTGGCTTTGCATAAGGCTGAAGAGATGTGTTTTTTGAAAGTTAATTTTTTGTCAATAATTACGCCTAAATATTTAGGGTCGGGTGTTTCTGGGATGTTTAAATTGTTTAAAGAAGGAGTAGACACTTCCACAAAATTATCGTCCTATTAGCTTAATTTCTATGCTCGGTAAACTTAACGAAAAAATTATTAATGTAGAGCTAACAAAACACACCCAATTACTTAAAGTTATACCTGACTCCCAATTTGGCTTCCGAAAACATCATTCTACTAACATGCAAATAGCTAGAATTATTAACAAAATCACCATTAACACTAATCTGAACAAAACTACCTCTTTAACTACAATAGACTTAACAAAAGCATTCGACACTATTTGGCATGACGCGTTAATTTATAAACTTATTCTCTTAAAATATCCCAAAAATCTAATCCTGCTAATACGCAACTACCTGAGCAATCGCTCTTTCCAAGTAAAACTTCAAAACACTTTTTCCAACTCGCAAAAATTAACCACAGGGGTCCCACAAGGCGGCGTACTTTCTCCCCAACTTTACAACATTTATACCCACGACATTCCTACCGATCCAAATACCGATATTGCCTTGTTTGCTGATGATACCGCAATCATCACTACATCATCTCAAACCGCTCAAGCTAACAAATACACCCAACAACACCTAAACAAACTCCAAATGTATTACCAAAAGTGGAAACTCCTCCCAAACCCGGAAAAATCCACAATTACCTACTTCGGCAATCGAAGAAAATCCAAGATAACAAAATTTGGATTTCTGCACATCTAAATACAAAACCACTAATTTTTCAACATTGGAAGTACTTTACCGCCCTCTATGAACAAACTACGCAACTATAAACTTGTGCTTACACATGTAAACCTCCACTCACAATTTGGGTACAATTATTTTTTCTTAAAGGATACTAATAATACAATTACACTGTGGGGTCGCGTATTTATAGTTGAACGTGACACTTGTATTAATACAAGATTTGGCACAATAATAGGTGATCAAAGCAACGATGTGTACTCGTAGAAGCAACTCATTTCTGTAGCAGTTGTAAAACGAACTCTAAACTAATTGTGAACCTATTGTCTTGTTGATCTCGACCTTTCTCTCCTCACCAACTTCATTCATTGTAGTTTGCTGATTGGTAGAGTATTGAGAAGGGTGGCTTGGCACCCAGGCCAATCAATGGTTATTTGACAACAGCGCTATTTGGAACTTATGTTTTGTGAATTTCAAGATTTAAGAAAAGATGCAATAAAAATTATTTACAACACTATTAAGCAATAATGTGAAGTAATTGAAGGTAGACGGAATTTTTTTGGATAGTTGGGAATAAATTTTGGTCGAAGATACTCAAAATACTATATATCTAAGGGGACTACCATCTCACCATCTGTGCTATTATAATTCGTGATGACGTTCGGGCTGCGTAATGCTGCGCTGACGTTTCAACGTTTCATTGATGAGGTTCTTCAGGGGTTGGATTTTGCATTCGCTTATATTGACGACATTTTGGTCGCATCGACCACTGAGGAGGAACATGTGACATCAGCTATTCCATCGCCTGAGCGACTACGGCGTTGTAATCAATGCTGCGAAGTGTGTGTTTGGCCAGAATATCTGGTGTCCAGTCAAGGCACCAGCCCGCTCCCAACAAAGGTCAAAGCGATCATGGATTTTGCGCAACCTGAGACAGCTAAGCAACTTCGGCGTTTTCTCGGGATGATCAACTTTTACAGGAGGTTTATCCCTCGAGCTGCTTCTCTTCAGGCCCCACCAAATGAGCTACTTCACGGCAATATTAAGGAAAATAAACCAATCAGTTGGAATGAGGTGGCATGTGCAGCGTTCCGGGTTTGCAAGGAAGCGCTTGCCAAAGCAACGTTGCTGAGCCATTCAGATCCTACAGCGCCACTCGCAATATTTTGCGACGCGTCTGACTTTGTCGTAGGTGCGGTATTGCAACAAAGGGTGGATAAAGAGTGGCAACCTTTGGAATTCTTTTCAAAGAAATTATCGCCGGTGGGGACCAAATATGCTGCGTACGATCGCGAGCTGTTAGCCATGCATGCTACTGTCAAGCATTTCCGGTACATGGTGGAAGCACGGGATTTCCACATTTTCGCTAACTATAAGCCCTTGACGTTCGCTTTCAAACAGAAGACCCAGCCGTCAACACCACGCCAGGTGAAACATTTCGAATAGATTGGGCAATTTTGCACAGACATTCGTCACGTCGCCGGCGAAGAAAACGTGGTGGCCGATGCCTTGTCTCGTGTCGACGAGATAAGCATCGCCATCGATTTTGTCGCCCTGGCTGAATCACAAAAGAAAGACCAAGATGTGACAAAATTCAAGGATGACAGCAGTGGTCTGAATTTGAAGCTCCTTCAGATCCCTGGAGTTGAGGTATCGTTGGTGTGCGACATATCCACATCGAAAGCTAGACCCTACGTCACGCCCGAGTTTCGTCGAGCAGCTTTTGCTTCAGTTCATAATATTGCATATATTGGACCCAAACCGACAGCTCGTGCAGTGGCGGAGAGATTTGTGTGGCCAGGAGTGAAGAGTGACTGTCGGGAGTGGGCAAAGGCTTGCCTAGAGTGCCAGCAAGCAAAAATTTCTCGACATGTATCTGCTCCCATTGGCAAGTTTCAGACGCCCCTAGGAAGATTTGGCCATATATATTATATATGGGGTATTCCATGCCAAATCGACCACTTTTGAACCCGACCCTTTTTGATTTAGCTAAAACTTTTTCATTCTTTTCTACCATTTGAAAAACGTTTATTAGAATTTTTTCAAATTTTTTTTTCTAACCTCAAAAAAGTTATGAATTTTTCAAAAAATTGACAATTTAATTTTCAAATAACCATAACTCTTTCCAAAATTGACCTATTGATACGTTTTTTTCTTGAATATTTTTGCTTTTGAATGAATTTTTTGAAGAAGTAGACAATTTTTTTTTAAATAATTAGAACTATGAAATAATCCCGTTTTTTTTGAGTAAAATTGTAATTTTTTCGTTCACCCAAAACTACTGCTACAAGGTATGAGTAAACACATTACATTACGAACTCCACTTGATACTAACAGCCATCATGCGACTCATAAATAACCTCAATCGACTAAGGTTGGCTCATTAACGCTGTGTACATTTTTCTTCTTTCTTTTTGCGAGTGCTTAACCGTCAGGTCCGGTTTTCGTTCAGACCCTCGTTCTGAACCGCCCCCGGGGTTAGGCCTCCACTGTTCGGGTAGTTCAGCCCCTCGTACTGAGCTGCCTCCTGGGGAGTCTTCGGCTTAACTGTTCGGTAAGGTTTTCGTTCAAACCCTCGTACTGAACCGCCCCCGGGTTAAGCCGATAACATTCTTGGTACGACAGTTTTCGTTCAAATCCTCGTACTGAATCGCCCTCGGGTTAAGCCGATAATATTCTTGGTACGTTTAGCCCATCGTGCTGATCCGCCCCTGGTGTTAAACCAACTACTTGTGATCAATGAGATAATTAACAGATAACGCCCTTATTCCGTATACAAAGCATACAACCAGTAATCTACAATGTTTATTTCGCTCCCAAGGTACATATATTTTGAACGAGCAGACGAGAGGCCATTCATAAGAAGGAGACGAGACCAGCCAACGTATTCACTTCAGCAGCCTCATTTACCTTTACACCGGGACCAGATAACACAAATACCGCAACCTCTCCATTACATTTTTTTGATAACTACACACTCGCACTGTAAATTAAATTCATAGCAACTTTCTAAATACAATTTATACAGAATGAGACAATTTTTCAATACAATTATGGTGATTTGACACTGGTTACTTTAACAACACATACATGACATTAAAAACGTTTCAAATTAAATTAATACACAAGATGGTCAAAAAATATTGTACAACAAAGGACTTAAACTTCGCAAACGTTACAATGACTTTCTAGGAGAGATAGGTATAGTAGAGAGATTAAGTAGAATCTGTCACTTCGAGTTATTGCCGATGTCAGATGTCGTTGCAAGCTTTGCATACCGGATTGTTTGGAGGCTTAGAAGCTGTTCCGATCAAAAACATTTCATAGCAAGCACCTTATTTTATTATACCACCAGAGCAGGATAATATTCTATCTGTACAATTAATTTGTCCATCTATGAAGGACAACATTAAATATCCCGATTTGAACCAATTGGATGAGGAAATAATGTCGTTTTTTCAAACTTTAAAGCAATGCGCAGGA